AGAGTCAAAACAAATGGAGTTGATGAAACTGTTGTGACCCTCAAACTCCTGCAGCAGCTGGCCGTTCACATCATCGACGTCAAGCCTCCACACTCGCACCAGAGAGTCAAAGCCGCCCGTCACCACCAGGTTCTGGGCTGTGGGTTGGTACTGAGCGCAGTACACAAAGGATGGGTGGGGGAGGACCTTCTGGGCGGTTCCCTGAAGCTTCTCCACGTTCCACTCTCTGACAGGGGCGAGCAAGAATTTTTGAATGATGCTAAACTCCTTTTGTGCAAATAACCTATCTAGTCAGCCGATGCCCACTTCAGCCCAAAATATGCCGTCACTGGAGACATGAACACGCGATGAGCCACTTTCTATGAAGGGTACTTAGTTTCCATGGAGATACTTTTACGAACAGCTATTTCAGTCGCTAAAAACTATCCCTTATTGTGACACCATTCACTCTAATCAGTTTCATGTATTTTTCTACCCAACCAGCGGAACTTACCTCACAGTTCCATCGGAGGAGGCAGACAAAAGGCTCACATCGTCTCTGGACCAACACAGATCATAGACTATCTTGAGATGACCACTGAAAGCAGCCAAAGCCTGGCCAGAGGGGATCTCATACACTGAAACATGAAATGAATGGTTTACTCATTGAACAAAATACCGTTTAAAAATAAATATATGCTTGGAGGTTGCAGACTTATCGTCATCCCCTGAGCTGTGGGTGCATAAACGGCAATTAATGAAATAACTAGCATGTGTTTACTGGAGTGAAGAGAAGCATCAGCAGGAAGAGTTGTACGCGGACGAGGTGTTGCTTACCTACTACAGGGAAAGCATCCGTGTCGGCACAAGCAGCCGCCAGCATCGTGCCGCCATGAGAGAAGAGCAACGTGAAGCAGCCCATCCGACCACCGCGGAACGACAGCATGGACTTGTTAGGAATCCGACAGACCTTCAACAGGGAATCATTGGTAGGGCTTGCGCAATTTAACACACAGTTCAGTGACAGGTTGCCTTTTTGTGATATGGCCGTATGTACAGTGCTCTTAGCATCATCTCGGATTCAACATCACTGTCATTTTGTGCAGAACATGGAGAGTGAATTTGTTCTCTTATATTCTACATAGGTATTGCATGAGGGAGGGATTAGTTGACTTGACACTTTGCACAATAGAAATGTCAAGACTAGAAACAGCTTTGATGTTAACGTGGGAGCAATAATTTGCGAACACCTCTCACCTGTCCAGGCAGCCTGCTCCATCTCAAGGCTGGCGGCTTGCTGTCTAGAGGCTGCGTCAGGCTTCTCTTGGTGACCTCATTCTGCAGGTCACTGTAGGAGGTGCTACCCCTCTCCTCCTGCAGTGCCATCATGGAACGGATACCGGGGTCCACCTGCAGAACATAACCCAATCTAAGCCTCAACATGTCACTGAATCAACTTGCATCCAGAGTAGCACTATTACATTTCAGGTCAACCATTTGCATATCCGCTAACGTATAATAGAAATTAAGGACCAAATGTTATTTTAAAATACTAAAAACATACATTATAGCACCTATAAAGCAACAAAAAAACGTACATGCTCGGGGAGCTTAATGCCTTTCACTGTAACATAAAGGGTGGAGGCGTATTTGTTCCGAGGGTACTTCCTCCACCACTCGAACACCTCAATAGTTTTGGGTTGTCTCTTTGCCCGAGGTGGAGGGAAGAAGAGCTGGAGGCGAAGTCTACTGTCAATGTTCAGCACACAATTTGTGCCGACGAGCTAAAGGATACAGAGAAAATTGTGACAATTAGGAATCTGAAAAACAGCTGAAATCCGAGTTAAACCAGACCAGACATGATACCTTAAGAAAAGCCCACGCAATTTTTCTGAATCCTCGCTCATGCTGGTCAACATCCACGTTGGCTTTTGCTTCTTCCATAGTTATGAAGTCCAGAATCTTTAAGAAACAATGAAATACAAACAATTATTGACAGGTACCTTGAAATTGCCCAACATGTCTCGATGCGAGGTCTCTTACTTCAAAGAAAAGTATAACTCGGGGGCTTTCATCATTTTGTTCCACAAAGTAACCAAAGCGTTCATTGAAGATGATCTGTTCCTGCCACTCAGGGATGATGGATTTGTTCTTCTTGAAGTCAAACGGCTGAGTCATGATGGGGAGTATGTGGTCAACGTTATCTTGCTCATAAAATGAGGAGACTGGCCGATGGCTGGGAAAGACAAAACATTGTGTTAATTCAAAGGCTTCACCACACTCTGCAGCTTTTGAATTTAGAGGTTAAAATAACGGTTGAGCATTCCTAGATGGAACTAAAACAGATAAGAAGATATTGTCCTCACGTTACAAGTTATAGTGACAAAGAAGGTATGTACCCGGCAATAGCAACACAAGTGTTAACAAAGAATTTAACACTGAACTAAACAGCAGAAATGAAGGCCATACGGAGCGTCCATTCTCACCAGTCTTCTTTCTTCACATACTGTCCAGTGACTTCATCGACGACGTGTATCTTCACCATAGGGTGTGAGATCAGTAGGTCCGTCTTGAGGGGATCTGTTCGGTGGACGTACACTCCGAGCACAAGGCTGTCATCAAATGCTGGTTTCTGTGGGACTTCTGCCTCAGCTTCACTCTCTTCTTTGACAACTAAGGAAATGTCAAATCAGAGTTCATTAAATTCATCAACATTGTAATTCTGGACATTAGCTATGCTGTGCATTAACATTCACTTACCATGTTTTGTTTTCTTTTTCTTCTTCTTTCCCTTTGATTCTGTTTCGTTGTCCACATTAGCATCGTGACCATTATCTTCATCTTCATCCCTAGTGAACCAGAAAAGTATTACATTTTACTTCCATATGCTGCTATAAATTCTGTAGCCATATCATTAAATGTCAAATAATTATAAATGGAAAAACTCCATGGCATACTAGTAGATATACACACCCTACTTCCGACTGTGTGATTATAGACTTGAGCTTCTTCTTTTTCTTCTTTCCGACATCGTTATTGAGTGAAACATTTTGGGGGAGACCACTCTCATCCTCATTCTTGGTGCTTGTTGTCTTTAAAGTCCTCTCCTCCTTCTGTTCAATCTGCTGCTGGTATTCATGCAGCAGCTTGTCCTCTACATCCTCCACATGAGCCACAGCTTTTTCCTCTGTATCTCCCTTGGCTTTTGCCTTTTTACTTTTCCGCTTTGGTCCCTTTCCATCACCTACATCATTTGGCTCCAAAGCAATCTCAGAGTTGGAAGCCTCTGCAACCTTTTGGGTGTAACTTTTGGTATCCGTAGGTACTGGAAGCGGGGGAAGATCCCTCCTGCTTTTCCTCTTGCCTTTTGACGTTGGACTCTCCTCTTGGTTTCTAGTGTTGTTGATGTTAACCGTTTCCCTCTCTCTTTGCTTGTTCTTGGTGTAGCGAGGGCTGCCCTGCTCAGGGTGATATGTGTTCTGGAGGATGGCCTCATCATCTGCTGTGTCCTTCTCAAGGTTGAGATTCTTCTTTAGACTCTGAAGCTAAAGAAACGGCGGGAAAAAGGCAAAAATATGACATGTCAATATATATGCATTTAAAGCGTGTTCTCTTAAAAAGAGGTTGACCGTATGAAATACTTTGCGATGTATTTTGGCGAAAGTTGATTTAGTAAACACACAGGGTATCATTTGAAACATTTTGAATACACACCACAATTGTCTCCTGAGATTCAGCTTTTTTCTTCTTTAACTTTTTCTTGTCTGATTCAGAGTATTTCTTGAAGACTTCATTGAATCTTTCCCGGGTCTTTGCCCGGTCTTCAGTCGCACCTGTAAAAAGAGTTCATGAGCAAAGCCGCCCGGGGCTGTCTACATGTTACATGTTATCAAAGCATGTATGTATGTGTATGCATCTATGTTGCTGTTGTGAGAGGTAAATCTACTAAAGGTAAATTCATCTTGTTATTGTACTCAAATACAATTTTGGGGTGATTGTATCGGTATTTCCATTAAACTTATCTACTTGAAGCTAAGCTAGTTGTACCACTGAAGGTACAAAAGACTTGAAGGAACAACAGGGAACTTACCTACTAGCATCCTCAGCCACCACTGTGTATTATCTCATTCTGAATGCAAAAGGTGCGTAAGGAAGAATTTCATCCTACAAATAACGTTACACAAAACAGATCATGTTAACGGTGAACACAACGATCTCTGCATCATCGTTTTAGCGTAAAGTGAGTTAGTTAGTTTTGTAATGTGGACGAACACATTGGAACGGACCCACGTAGTGTTTTCTGTGGCGTCTGCTTAGCTGAAGCTCAAACAATTAGGTTAGGCAACCTTTGTGAGACGCTAACAGCTAACGCTAAGTGCTAATTGCTAATATTAGCTAGCATAAGTGCCTTTATAAGCTAACGTTAAGAAAGTTTAGATTCAAGCGACCACTTCAAGCCCAAATGTAACCGTATTCCATCGTAGTGGGTTTTATAAACACGGACAGGAGGAAGTTGAGGCGTGTATCTACCCTGCAGTGATTGTGCTGGGCTCCAACTTCACCAACGACGCTGCGACGGTTTCCAAGTCAACCACAGCGAGGCTGGACGTGGGGGCGGGGCCTGGCGACCATGTTTGTGACGTATGGACAATAACAATACGTCCACCAATGGTGAAGCAATCTCTCAGCCGCAACCATGGCAACATAAATTAAGAAGTAATAAAAAAAAACTCTAAAAGACACTAAAAAACATATAAAGCAATAATTAGAAAACGCTGTAACGTTAACTCGTGACAAAAAAATAACAATAATTATGATCAAAAAAAGTTGAGCCAATATGTGGATAAAGATTTAACAAAACTTGATATAATGCTTGAAAATACAATTCAGACATTAAGCCTCCATTCTTCAGTGCAATTTTCTAAGATTTGCTTGTGAAACAGGGTTGAGCGGGTCTGAGCTGCGACCCTGCACCGGGGTGTTGCAGTGGGCGTGTCTACGTGCAGGTCGGGTGACACAACAGGCAGGTGCGATGCCTTTCTGCTGAAGATGTGGCCATGGCTTCTGGCTTTTGTGAAAATTGCTCCCGACTGCTTAAAGAAATTTTGGTTTGCTTGAGAAAGGTTTGCAGAGAGTTTGAGCAAAAAATCGGTGATTTTTTTAGGGAACTTTCTCAGTGCACCTGTTTTAGGAGAACCCCACACAGTGGTCTCCTGAGGAGAAGGACGCAACAGTTTCCCTCTTTACAACTGCTGTATGGTAGGAACATTACAACGGCTCATTTTCTTTGTTGCAGATAGCATCGTTGTGAAAGCCTTATCTCTGCCTTTGCTGTTTATGAGATGTCTAACTACAACGTCACAACAGGGTTTTTGTAATTTAAGAAAACATTGGGAATATCCGTCACTGTGTGTCTGTTTATTTTCTCAGATGAGGAAACTCAACTACTTAATCAGGAAAGTCTACACACGCTGAGCAAACTCGCATTCTCGGAAAACCATGATCTACAAACTACAGCAGCTATGTATTTTTTACATGTCAGTCATCATTGTGAGTAAATCAAACCCATTTGTATGTTGCTTGACTATCTTTATTATAGCTTGCCGATCAGTGGTGCACAGAATGACATCGGTGTTTGCATTTCAGGTTTTTCATGTTACTAACTCCCAAGATAAGCCCTGCAACGAGTACGGCTGGTATAATGCAAATGTTCAACTGTACTTTTATCCGAAGTTGGCCGATACTTCTCAACTTGTGTTTGCTTTAGTGCCAGTTTGAAGATACAACTAAACGCTTTCATTTTGAAATCCCACAGTATGACAAGTATAGAAGCGATGGTTTGTATAACATATTACATTTAGCCCAGGTTAGATCCGGTTATATGCAAAGTGTAACCACATACTTTGCATAACCGTGGCAGTTTGCAGATACCCATGTTTACTGGGTTGCGGTTGACAGAACACAGGTGGGTGATCTTATTTAGGACCTGAATTTAAAACACAGTTTGGGCTTTAGCTATGGCGAATGACAACTAATTAAGATTGTAGAACTTTAACAAAAGTCTTCTTCTTCAACCAACCAGATTTCTTTTGCTTTGTGTGCTACAGTGAAATCACCTTTACCAGATGCTTTCATGGAGCCAGTCATGGCCTTACTTCTATCAACTGACCCAGATGTGCAAAACACTATATCTCACTCATTGGTCAATCTACTAGCCCAAAATAATGGTAAGATATAAGTTATACTAGCTGTTAAAAAAAGGAACAACTTACACCAGTATGTGGAACCTATGGTTATAATTTCTATCCATGCAATCTGTTTTCAGCATGCAGAGAGTTAGTGATTGAAATGGGGATGCTGGTGCCCATACTGGAGCTGTTCCAGTCTGGTGATGCCACCACTCGGTGTCACTCGTGTGCCTGCGTCACCATGCTGGCTTCCTCAGGTCTGTAGAATAGATCTCACAGATAATTGGTGATTTGGTGATATTGATATTTGTGTTTTGCTAATTTAGTAGAAGTAGGATTTGCAAGTGCAAGTGTATATGTTTTGCATCACTTGTGCTGTGAGGATAGTAAAATATTGTATATGCGGTTCTGCACACTGCCGCATATGCTGTATAAACTTTGTTTGTAAAACATATGGAAATGAGATTGTCAGAGACTTAATTAGAAAGAAGATGCTTCATAAAATGGCTTTCTGCATCGTCAGTATTCCAGTCTTATTCATCCTAGCGCTCTGTGTAAAATCTTGATATATGATTTCAAAATATAAAAAATATGAATAATAATACAAAACAACCTTTAATATGATCTCGATAATAACTCTTATGAGTCTGCAGAGACACAACATACTGTTCAGTCAAGATTCAGCTGAGCATTCAAGTTCTTCTTTCTTTTCATACAGAATCAAAAAGTGAGGCTATCATGTTGGATTGCATTATGCCGCTGTTAGCATTAGCTAAGTCCTACGAGCCACAAGTGCAACAGAATGCTACCTGGGCTCTATTACATCTTACCCAGTCAGGTGGGATCATTTCCTTTTTTTAACCTCAATGTCAACATAGTTTTTAATGGAACCCGAAGCTGCTCTGTTTTGTTTTTCTTACAAAACGTTCTCTTCTTTCCCAAGATTGGTCAACAAGGATCTTATGTGAAGTGGGAGCCATTCCAGTCCTGGTTCTTCTGCTGCAGTCGTCAAATTCAGAAGTTCAATTTTACAGCTGCAGCGCTCTGTGCAACATCGCTGCTGTTCGGGAGCATCACCCAAAGTTGCTCAGCATGGGGGGTCATTTTTTGTTAAAGTCCGTTCTGACTCTTGTGTCTTCCTCTGTGCAAAAGGTAATTGTGAGCTCAACTATCTGAAAGCTGAGTTTGAAGTCAAATCACAAAACAATGCTTGACAAAAATCCTATCGATTTCCTTCTCAGAATTCAACTCAAGCATGCAAATGCCTACAAACCCTCACAAAGAACGGTAATTATAAACAATGAAGCCCGAGTGGTGGTGCCATATGTAAAGCAGACGCTGTTTGTCCTACTCCCTTTTGTGTTTAGTGCTGATCCAGGAGCAGCTGATGGAGCTTGACTGCGTGTTGCCCATCAAGGCGCTGCTGAAAAGCTCTTCTCGTGCGTGTAGAGAATCAGCCGTGACGCTGCTTTCAGCACTGTCGGCACACCCACCAAACAATGTACGCCTTCATAGCACGGTCACAATAATGACCCGGATGTGAAACAAATGTCCTGTTAACATCTTAACACTGATAACATTTTCATGGCTTGATTCCAGGACGTCCTTGTGAGTGAGGGTCTGTTGGAGGAAATCGGTCAGCTGCTTCATCACCAAACATCAGTCGTGATCACACACAGCTGCACAATAATCAGCAACCTGCGCAGCTCCAGCGTGGGTCAGCAGGTACGCTGAGGCTACAAATCATGACTTCACGTGGGAACGGACGTGGTGCGCGTGGTGCCTGAGATTGATTATTCTAATCATTGTTGTCCAGGCTGTGATGGAAAGTCAGTGTTTATCTGGACTCCTGAGGGCCCTTTTGTCTCCGTCGCTGTCAGATGAGACCTTGCTCCACGTGACATCATGCCTACATCACCTCATGACTTGGGGTGAGTGACTAATCAGTTCTGTGTGTGAACATGATGCGATGCCACTTTTTTATATAAATGATTTTCATAACCCTTCACCATGGGTCACTATTTCAGATGAACTGAAGTCTAACTTGTCGGTGACAATAACATCGGAGCAAGTTTCAAGACTTGTGAGGTTGTCTCGACAAATGCAAAATCCTCAGTTGTCCTATAATAGTGCAGCCATCATCAGCACACTGAAAATGACCGGTAATGTTATGTGGTACTCCTTTGTTCAGATAGAAAAACATCAAATAATAAGCTTGGCTTTGTCGGATGAAATATTGTCTTTATTATCTGTGTGTTTTCACGCTATCCACCCAGATGAGATGGTCCTGTTGCTGAGACCTCACTACATCACCATGCTGGAGTACCTGTTGGTGTTTCTCAAAAAGAAGGATGTTAAGTTGCAACATCTCTGCATAGTCACAGTATTGAACCTGAAGAAAGGTTTGCATTTCCTGCACTGTAGTCACTGCAGCCATTTCAATTATCTAAGGTGTCCCAGAGTAAATTCTAAATATTACGTCATTGCAAGTCAGGACCTCTTGTCTGTGCTTTGTGCCGTCTTCCTCTGCAGACGGAGGCTTTTTGTGTCTGTTGGCTGGCAGTGAGTTGGAGGCTCAGCTCTGCAAGGTGCGTGCGCAGACGGAGGAAACCAGGCGGCTGCTGCAAATGTTTAAGCCTCTTTAATGATCTTCTGTTAACCCTTGACCCCCTCAGCACAAGCGCTGAGAGTTGTGCACGGTGTTTACGTTCATGCACATGATGGACAGGCAGCCTTTGTTTCCAATCATGTTTTTTTCCATTTAAAATGTTGGTTTACAGTCACCAAAGTTAGTAAAAAAACAAGGCACATATGTGGTATAGTATCAACTTTATTTTAAATATGGCATATACTTTTTAACAGGTTAAGCGATTGTTATGAGCAATACTAAACTACAGGATCAAATATTGAGATCAGATACATTTGTTTTCATATGATTTTATAATAATAAACTCTCTTAACTTCGCGCCTCAAAAGACTTCCTTTGTTAAGTGGTTTGGGTCAAACAAAGCAAGTCAGTGCAATAAAGGTTTTGTGCATATTCTCTTAAACAAGACTTATTAATCTGAAGCAGTCTTTGAAAACTAAGTTCCTTAGCAGCTTTGAATTATATGATTGCTATAGGCCACAAAATCAAAAGGGAAGACAGGAATTTACATTTTACACTTTCACCAACAACCTAAAGTCATTTGTTCTCAGCGAAAACTGCCACTTGAGCTTTTCTAAATCCACAGTGACAAAACTGGGGAAGGAAAAGTGCTTAGACTGCAAGAAATATAACAGGAACAAGCAAAAAGCATGGCTAGCATGTGCTGTGAGTGTTAGAATGGCTGTTCCTAGTATTTCACAGAGGCAACACTCGGCAGCGAACTATCATGACCACCGTCTACGTCTACTGGTTTTTGTATCTTCGTTAATAACTCTGGAAACCTGCTGAACCGCAAGAAAGCAACAAAAACAGCCCGATATTTGTGCCACAGGTTACACACAGAAAAGTGAGCAAATGCTGACGTCCTCAGTGAGAGGCGAGGCTGTTCTCTTACATGCTCTTTCATGCCCGCAGGGCAGCAACATGGCTGTGCTGCAGTGTGACTCTCCAACAGACCCGCTGAGCCCACGTCTGCAGGTTCTCAGATGACTTCTGGAGAATGCACAGAGGGGAGACACAAAAAAACTGATAATAAATCAAACGTTTCATTTCAGAGCTTTGAAGAACATTTGTGATCTGTAGGTTTTATATTCAGGTATGTGGTGGGAAAGAAGACCTTTTTCACCTTGAATACTGATGAATTGCAATAATGATGATAATAATAGGCCCTTTTTCACAGCAGCCATGTTGATATGTCATTGCAGGGTAAACATATATGTAATACACAAGGCCTTGTTCCACGCTGGCTCTTTTGCATGTCTGTGACACACTTAAATAGGACCATAAATCAAATAATCAGTTACACCTGCTGCCGTGAAAAGACAAGAGTTTGCAAACTCCAGTGTACGTAAAGGAGTTTTTTCCCTTTGCCGTTTCTTTGTCCTGCATGATTTGAATACTAAACGCAGAGGCCACCAGGGTGTGAAATGTTCTCGTCCACCAACCAAAAGGACTACCGGACACCAGCGCCTGAGTCTTGTTTACCAGCTCTCAATGATTCTTTATACATTGACTGCTCAGTTCACAGTCCAAGATGGCTCGATGGTCCAGGTTGTGTGGCCTCTTAACACTGCCGAGCCTGATTAATTCTGATTGGAGACCGACATGACAGATGATGGGACGAGTCGGTGGGTTTCTTGGTCTCTAGCCTCGGTGATCCGACCTCACCTGCTCGTTGGTGGCTCTGGATTTCCTCCAGGCCTGTGAGAGTCCTGAGGGACCTGCGTTCTTTGAAGGCCACGACAGGTATCACATCCTCCTCATTGTTCAGCTGTGAGGTCTTTGTCCCCACTGTCAGCTTGACAGCAACTTCGATAGATCCGTTGTGGATGGGCTCCGTGTTTTCCTTTGGTCGGGCTTCACTTGGCAAAACACTCGCTGGAACAGTTTTCTGTGTTGAAGAGGATTAACCACTTTGGTCTTAGAAACGGAGCCGGTTGGGCGTAAGTGGATACTTGATGTGCATCATACGAGCCCGGGGGCAATGTACTTTTATAAAAACGTAGCAGTAAATCAAACCGTATCTGGAGAATCTGTCCTTCTGGTTCTCCGCATGATCTCCTCAAGTCGCTGGAAAAGAAAAGTGCTTTTAATAAACTTGACTTAAGAAACCGTGCAGGCGCTTTAACGGGAAAGAGCTTCTCGAGTACAGATAACACATTGATGCTTACAGGTATAGAAATGAACTCTTCAGATTATGGATCAGATTATTTAGGAGCACAGTCGAACCTTTTTTCTTGCTTGGCGTGCTGCGTCCTCTTTCTGTGCGAGTATTTCTCGCTCTTGTATGATCTCCTCTGCCTTTGCCCTCTCTTTGGCTTGTTCCTCCTCTCTCTAAGGGAAACCATAAATGTCCATTCAAAATAAATTATTAATAAAAAAACAAAAATCATCCGCAACAAGGCGTGTGTGTGTATATATAGTCCGTTCTGCAAATGCCGTTGTGCACTGAAGAATGTTTGCATTTCTCACCTGTTTCTGCAGAAGCGCGGCCTCCCTCCTAGCCTGAGCTCTTTCTTCCTCGGCTTGTCTCTGCTCCTCTCCCTCCCTCCTCATTTTCTCCTCTATGAGACGCCGAGCCTCGGCCTGTTGTCGCGCTCGCTCCCCTGCCCTCATGTGCTCCAGCTCCTCACGACTCCGCCTGGTCATAAATTCATAAATTTCCGTCCTGTTACCATGAACTGTTGTACCACCGTCTTGAAGGCCTGCTGCATCGGGGTTTAGGTGCCTACCTGTCGGCCTCCTCTCTTTGTAGGCGCTCCTGCTCCTCTCTCTCCCGTTGTAGTCGGGCCTCTCTCCTTTTCTCAGCCAGGAGACGTGAGGCCTCCTCTTGGTCTGTGGTCCCGGCTGAAGGTCTACACGTGACTTTAGGAGGCTGTGGATCTGGACGAGGAGAGGTTTGGGGAGGACCTGAAGATAAATATTATCAACTTCAATTCACATTTTAACCTCAACACTTTATTAAGCCTCTTTTTAAAGCTTACTTCCATGTCCTGTGGTCGCGGTTAAAGCAGGTGTCTCTTTGTGGGGCAGATTCAGACATGGAGTCCCTGGTGCATTTTCATCCATCATTGTCTTCCGTTGACCTTGAACTGGTGTCCTGGCGGGCCTTGAGTTGCCAGGGGAGAGGGCTGAACTACAAACGGTAACGTCCTCCTCGGGGACAGGTGGGAGCTCAGGCTGCAGCGGGGTCGAGTGTGTGCGGATTGATCGTCGGGGGGTCCTTTAAGGTCCAGAAGAGCAGATGTCCTGCTTGGTTCGGATCACCGTTGCTGTGTCACGAACGTGAAGTGGATGTTTTTGGTTAGAAACATTTCACTTACCGTTCGGGTGACGGCGGTTTGACTTTGGCCGTGTTGGCACTGGTGTTGGCAGGAGGGGATTTAGTATTGGAGTCCTTCCAATGAGCGTCCTTCTGTCTCGCTGCTTTCATCTAAACCATAAATGAAATGATGATATTTCTCAAATCATATAACGTGCACGCTCGGAAAATAGACAGCTGGGTCATTCTAAAAATACACAAGACCGTAGGGACAGCCAGAATTACCTGTGGCATGTTGACGCTTCTGTGCCGCCTGTTATGGGGACTCGGGGAAGCAGACGGCATGTGGTGGAATGAACCAGAGGGGTGTTTGGGGTTGTGAGGGGCAGTGACGGTGGAATTCATGGAGTGGCATGAAACTGCACGGCGACAAACATGGACAACTGAGCCAGCGATTTGTGCAAGAATTGTGGTAAATTGGAGGAAGAATGCACGAATGGCGGCAACGGCGATGGAGGCATGAAGCAGTAAACGGACAGGAAGATGAGCAGTCGGTTAGTTGTAGTCGTAGGCTCACAAACGCACTACAAACAATTAGCACTGTGAGTACCTTCTTCTCCTGACTGACAACCAACACTCTTGCTCCTGGCCAGATAAGAGCACGTGGGGGTAAGCAGGCGACTGACCAACTTCTTCTCCCATGATGTCAGAGGCAAGCGGCGGGGTGCTGGCGTTTTGATCAGTATAAAGCGTTAGGTGCGGCATAACCACAAAGGTAAGATGTTACACACAGATACTGTTAAGTTGGGTGTTATTGGTTTAAAAAGGCCCCGTTGGTGCGCGTTACCGCTCTTGGTGAGTTTCCTTCCTCTCGGGTTGTGGCTCAGGCTGTGCTGGGCCCTTTGGCTCTTCTCCACCGTCCGACGCACTGCAGATTCATATCGCTCCTAGTTTTCAGGGAAACAAGCTTCGGTGGTGAGGTTACACAACCCCCGGAGCTGCGAAAGCGGCCGGCGCTCGGAAACATTTGGGATGTCCGCCGTCAAAACTCACTTTCTCCTCCTTCAGTGTCTGCTTGCGCTTTCCCGCCACAGCAGCGCGCCGCCTCTCCTCCTTGAGCCTCTGGTCCAGGAGTTTCTTCTTGCGCTCCTGCAGTTGTTGGTCATAGTACTGCCTGGCCCGCTGCTCCCGCTCCAATCTGCCCCGCTCCCGACAGGCTGAGGTAGGAAAAGCCAACCAGTGTAAATAGAGGGCTCATTTGTGTGTGTGTGTTGATCTGAATTTGAGGACTGTGCGTTCTCACAGTAGTCTCACATACCGAGTAACTTCTGGTGCTCCTCTCTTCGTACCCGTGCTGCTTTCAGCCTCTCATCCACATTCGGTCCATTGGTCACTGAAATGCCAAAAAAAATGCTTTGTAGTCAATGATTTGGTGCCATACATATGTTACATAATTATACTCAGTCAGTTCACTGGATATTAAAAACAGTCACACTTAACTTCCGGCAGTCTATAAACTGAAGTCGTGCTGAAAGTCATAATCCAACATGCTAATAATGTGAGGGCCGCCTGATAAAAGGATGAATGTGAGAGTAAAACCTGCAGCGGCCCGTGAAGTGGCTGTGTTGCAGATTTGGGAAGCCGTGTTGACTGAACAGGCTGTCTTGTTTGCCTGGCAATTTGGTTTGATATAACCACAATTGTCTAAAAGCGGGGTGAAAAACAGTTATTGTGTTAAAAAAAACACATAGCAACACAACGCATCTCATTTTTCATAATCTGCGACTCAGTATTCCTTTGATATTTTGGATTCTCTACTATGTGTAAACACATATTTTAGTACAACAGATGTTGTTCAGGGACTGTTACATATAAAGCAAAAACTAATCCGCTTCAACAAACGGTCCCAAATGTTGTGCATTGAGGACTGGGATGGCCTCGGGGGGTCAGCTGCAAGTGAAAGAGCCATTATAAACAGCCTGCGTATCAAAAGCGAAGAGAATATGCGAGCACCTGATGAGTCGTCATGGAGAAGAAACAAACAACGAAAAAGGTCAATAGAGGAAAAACACAAGACCAAAGAGCATTTACCTGAAAGCAAGAGGGAAAACAATTGCATGAATGTATGAATTCCTTTAGGGTAAAATAATGTCAGGAGGATGATCATGCGTATTGTACAGATCCCGCGTGATGTCCTCGTGGGTTATTGCTGCCATGCTCAGTCACAGAATGGTACATATTCTATTCATGCGTCATCGAAACGATCAGATGACCCAGTATTTGCTCTCTGGCTGTGCTTCAAGGAAAGGCTTGTTTTTAACACCAGACATCATGTGTACGTTCTTCAGCAAAAGCACAGACAAAAGCCACTAACCTCCTGTTCTTTTATTAAATCCATTCCTCTTGCTCTGGCTGTTGATGATGCGCGCAGAAAGCGGTCCCTGCGATGGAGGGACGTCACTGTGTTTATCCTGCACAGCCATGCTAGGTTTGGAGCCTGGCATACGAGCGCTCTCACTCTAAAGCCTCCTCCTCCTCCTCTCTCTCCTCCTTTCGCTGCTCCTCCTCTTTTGAATTTCTATTTCAAGAAGCCTTCGGGGTCCTCCCTCTCCAAGTTGGCCGATGCAGAAAGCTTCCCTCAGCATCGGCTGCTTGCTCATTTGTGCCTTACAAACCAATGAGAGAGAGAAGCAGGAAAGAAGGCATCCAGCTGCACCCGTCCTGTGGCTCAAAGATGAATCAAAGGTCATCCACATATTCACTCCTGTCTCCTGGACGTCTGGAGATTGTGATTGTCGACGAGTCTATGAAAAGGAGACTCCCTCTTTAAAGATAACACCCGTGTGAGCTGCTCTGCTTTACTTTCACATAATATCGCTGTGTCGCTTTAATCCCCCACCACACTGCCTGCTTGCTCGTTGGCCAAAGGGATGAAAAAATGGCAGCAAAGATGAGAGCCTGTCTTCATGAATTATTGCCATGACAACGGTGCTTTAATATTCAGTGACATACATTGCCTTAACCTACAGTGATGGAGTCGGTGTTCTCATTAGACAAGGGAGAAATGTGATTTTTTTTTTTTACCCAAGATTCCTCCCCCATGAATGTGATAAAATGACCACCAGATGGGAGTCTTTCTATCTGGGGAACAAGCTGATTCACAAAGGAAAGCACGTGTAGCTTTTTTTTGGTCAAATGTCAAATTGAAAAAAGAGAAAAAAATGGTCTATTTATCTTCAGCCAAACCTTAATTTAAATCATTAATGCAATAGAAAGTAGAGGGAAAGCAGAAATCTGGAACTTCACAGAGACTGTAGACGAGTCACAAGGCTAAATTTTAGATATGGTAAATTAAGATTATTTGCAGATAATACAAAATCATAAGTTGTGGTCTCATGAAAATGACCTGTGTGTCTTCTAACTATGAGATAATGATCTTACTTATCTAAACTATTTCATCATCTTGCTCAAAGACACAGACGGCTTATGTTCTTGACCCCCCCGCCTTGCTTATAGGGGACACTGATCCAGCAGTATGAGACATGCTGCAAGGGTCACGGTGAGCTCAGCGTCCACCGCAGTGACAGACATCTATAGATCGTAGAAGATGGTAACAAAATTCAGTCATACATAGTTTGTTTATTCTCATGACAGACGCACAGTTGTTCTGATTGTTATAACACACAGAGCTCCGACTGAGTGTCTGGATACAGGACTGATTGTGGAGAAAAAAAAATAATACCAGTCTGCTTTGTCTTCTGCTTCTGCTAAAAGTAAAACAAAACTTGTGAAATTGCTCAGCTGTGGTGTTGTTCATGAATGTACTTGTAGTAGTTAACTATAGTAGACTTATTCCCTTATATAGCATCAGTATGCAGGACCATTCTGAATGACGACCGACCACATTTAGTTACAGTTCTATCACATACGATTGCGCAGCACCCCCTGCTGGTGTGGAGTGTCCCTGCTATTCCCAACACACCACAGCACTGTCCAACACTAAATGAGTCACCTGTGGTTGGCACTTCTCTTAAATCCTCGGTTTAAGTACATTTACACTGCTGTCTCTCCTGGTAGAGATGGTTTACAGATGGTCCACTGCCTCCACCCATGTGGGATGTTTCTGCTCCCGTCGGATGCAACATGAGCCCTTTGGCCACTGGGTGGTGCCTCCGTTCACACTGCGGCCAGTCACTGTACTGTAAGTATGACTGAGGAACTTTAGACAGATGACGATGACCGTAAAACGTTCTTCATAATGCCGTTAGATGAAGACTCAACGTTGGTCACAGGATAAAGTCTTGACTATGCTTTTTAATATATAAGTAAAATATGAATAAGCTGAACCTTTTTGTCCATTTAAGCAACATAGGACGCAGTAATGTATTGATATAACAAATAATACATTCAAACCCAAATTATGATCTTACCAGTTCTAAAGCTAAATATAAAGAAGTGAGTAATAGATTAAGAAAGGTTTGAGGTTTGGCCTTGCGTGCTCGCTGCCTTGCAGCCTACAATGGGCCCCCAACACTGACAATGGCCTCTGGCTGCGTTTCACTGATTAAGCTCACCAAAGTCCAGCAACCAAGAGTTTGAGAGAAATAGTCACCAGGATACATTACACCACGTCAGGTGGTGTGCCCACCGAGTCACTGGAGCACAAAGATAACCGGCCCACAACCAGCAGCTGAGAAAGGCCTTTGGACGCTGCACCCACATGGGATAAGATTGCATGGTAGGTATCAAGTCATTGCGTGGTTCATCCTAGACGACATTGTTAAAGGTGTCAATTTAAGGGCTTGGTTGCGCACTCATGCATATTCATTAGTCTCAGCTAAATATTAATTCAAATTCATATAAGAACTCAAATTTGAGACGTTTTTCGGCATCGGCTGATCTCAAGAGACAATTCATCTCTGTTGAGAAATTACCTGGTGTAAGGAATTCTTGTATATTGTTTTTTTTTTTATTTAAAGGTCAATGAAAGAAAATTTCATTTCCGACCGGAAAAGTCAAACGTGGCACCAGTTTCTCGGTTTCCGATGGGCACTTAAGGGCGTTTAAAGTTGCATTCGATGACAGCAGGCATCAGAGATATGCTGCAGGGGCTGCCAGTAACTCTGCACGGTTGCTGACACGGTCACACGGTTTCCTGGAGGAACAAGGATCTCCTCCACCCCTCGCAGCTGGAATCATGTAATTAAGGGCAGAATCCCTCAGCAGAGTGGTCAGGTTGGTATCACACACCTCCAAGTGATGGGGAAGGAAAAAGGAAGCATCCTTTACACTTCTAGAGAAGTAAACTAAAGTTAAGCATCATGTTCTGTTTGCTGCATAACCACTAAATATGTATCTCTGAACGTAGAATGTTAAAAAATCCCTGAGTTGGTTTAAACATGCAGATGTTATCCTGGTTTGCTAATAATAACATCCCCCCCCCATTATCCTCTCTAAGCTAAATCAATTTATTTTGTTGTGAATAGAGATACAGATGTAATCAGGATGTCAAGTGCAACCCTGACCTAAGCGCCTTAATAGTTAATAGGCTAGATTCATCGGATACCAGCAACTGTAGACTTTGACGTATGGCTTGGAGAAGCCGAAATGTGTAATTGATGAGATGACGATTTGTACCTCAGCATTTCATAGACGTTCCATTGACAATAAGCTGCTAAAGCATGCCTCAACAAAGCAAAACAATGCAAAATAAACAGTCGCACTACTTCTTTGTGGGGAAAACATGTCATCCAATATTTTCTTTAATTTATCCTTATTTATTCAAGTAAAAAAATCACTGTGCAAAAATCAACCTCACTGGTGTGTCAAAAGGGCGGTTGTTAGACCTTAAGGCCGCAACCCGCAAGCATTTAAAACACAAAGCTGCAATATTTGGTGATTCCAAAACAAAAGACAGTTTTGAACATCACCCCATTTAAAGATTAAATAGGAGCGTTTATCCAACTGTCCTGGCCTGACATGTGAAATTCCTTGACTGGTTTTATGGCAATAAATTGATTGCTTATGCTGACAAATGTTAAAGCTTTTGCGGTGAAGTACTCGTTTAATATACGATGCGATACTTATTACAATAACAAGATCCACATTGCCAAAACCTTGTAAACATTTGAAAACATTTCTGAAAAGAATGTTTTAGAACAGTATTTCCTTCTGGTTTGTGCAGAGCCCATTGTGTGTGGATTGTTAGACGTGCTCACAGTGACGTCTCTCAGCAGCCCCTAGTTATAGTTACCAGTCTCAGGTTCAACACTCATGCACTATTCATCGGTGTATCACATCGCTCCTGCACAACTCGGGACCGGGACAAACCCAATTCTTTTCCGTACAACTTTACTTTGAAGCCGAATTGCTAGTTGCTGTGTAAATGTCTAAATGTTTGGGTAGTGTTGCTTCCATCTCATAGAAAAAGAAAAGGAGGTTGCTGTTCCCCTTGCAAGAGATACTCAAAGGAGGGAGACAAGAGCATTGCTTTCTTGTATGGTATGTATCATAACTTCATAGAATTTACACAAGGTACGAAACATGATCAGATATGAAAAGCAATGCGTTTGTATTCAGGCCTCAATGTTTTGCATATTTAAAATACTTTTGATGACTAATATTTATTATTTGAAATTGTTGAGCAGCTTTCTTTGTTTGGATAACAGAAATATTAATAACTTTTGATTTCTTGCAGTTGTATTTGATTCCTTGCATTATTTTGTTGAGCTTTTGGTTTTGAGTAAATTGTGAATACATCATAGAAGCATGTGTCTAAAATGTGTAGAACACAGTTTTGTGTTACGCTTTTGTCGTAATGTTTTTGAATAGTACTTCATCTTTGAAAATGTTGACCAAATGTTTAAAAAAGAAAAACAGTAAAATTGTGTATACTGTCTGAAAATGGGAAAATAAAATAAATAACCCTTTATCACATCCTTTTTTAGATTAGAAGTTTGTAAAGGGCACTTTGCTGATTAAATGCAGCAGATTAGTTATCCAAAATGTATCAATTTTCAGAAGATATGTGAAATGTATCCTCTTTAATTGATGTACTAAGGTGAGCTGATTTGAATAATTGAAAAGCTCTTTTGAGGACTAATTCGGGGTGTGTTAGCACACAGAAGCCCGTCTTAAAACGACTGCATACACGCTGCACTTTACTCATCAAACCTGAATGAAACGTGTTTCCCAATTCAAATGTTCTAGCTTTGAATGCATTGAATATTTTGAATTCTCTTATGAATGCAAAGATTTTTTTGATAGGAATTTGTTGATGGCGTCCTTCTGTCTACAAGATGTTTGAGTGGAGTCGCACGGTTTAGTCTGCTGTAGCCGTTCATACAGAAGAAGTGGTGTTTGTAGAACACAGGGGGAAAATGAGATGATTCTGATTCTTGATTCCTCGTTTGCTTGAATTGCTTCATGTTTTCTTCTCAGAGCACACGAAAGAATTGAACGATGAAGCGCAGTAAGCACCGTGGACACAAGGAGGACAGAAACGGAGGTATCAGTAATTAAGTAGCAGCAGTTTGATCACGTTATACAGCTGTAAACAACTTTGTGTCTTTTGGGGGCTTTATTAACCAATTCTGCAGTAGAATATAATTCCCCATTATTGTATTACACCTTTATTCTGATTTGTTTGATTATTTTTTTTGTGCCTTGGTTTTGATTTGGTCTGGTTTTGGATTACATCGAGTTTTCTAAATCAAGGCTACTTTTCAACACTGTAGTAGTAATTCTTTTTTTTTTCTCGCATATGTCCATTTTTACGTCATCGAATTTCACAAAAAGCTCCCAGGGTACATTTCAGAATGAAACGCATGGTGGAACTCAAGTTTTTAGCCGGACGCTCTACCGTGCATCGACAAGTTGTTGTCATGACGCGTCTTTCCCACGATCTCCAGATGAGCCGGCTATCCTGGAGACAGAAAACCTGTTCATGGGAGGAGGCCCAGATGCTGACACCGTGTCACTGGCCTCAGTCACCGCCGTGACCGACAACGTATCCAACAAAAGGCCAGCATGCTTCTGTTATGCTCATGGCTGTATCGTTATGTATGTATGTTAATTAGATTTTCATGAATGTCCCCCACCTGTCTTACAGATCCAAGCCAGACATAAAGATGGAGCCCAGTTCTGGAAGACCAGTAGATTACCAAGTAAGCTCAGTTTCATCGGCCCACCTTAATTATTCTAATGCATGATGATGAATTTGTGACCAGCAGTTATGGAACATATCGTCATTGTTACACTTGGTTCATCTTAACTTTCAAGTATGTCATCAGTCCGTCAATATCTGCACTAATCATTTAATTCCAGATCAGTGTGACAGTGGTTGAAGCCAGGCAGCTGATTGGGCTGAATATGGATCCAATGGTCTGTGTGGAGATTGGAGAAGATAAAAAGTACACCTCAATGAAAGAATCGACCAACTGCCCCTACTACAACGAAGTGAGCAGCCATGACAAGATATTGCATCAATAATTAGTTTGGCAAAAGCTTGATACGGACTTATAGACAGTGTTGATTGATCAATGTCCCCGCTAACTCTTTTCTCTTCCCAGTATTTCGTGTTCGACTTCCACGTCCCTCCAGATGTTATGTTCGACAAAATCCTGAAGTTGTCTGTAAGTTGATTAATTCATAATAATGTCAAATTAAAAAACAGGAAGATTGTAGAATTAATTATGATATTGCAATGTTTTATTTTCTTAAACTTTAGGTAATTCACTCCAAAAATCTTCTGCGTAGTGGAACACTGGTTGGAACTTTTAAACTGGATGTTGGCACAATCTACTCCCAGCCTGGTAAAGAATCAATGGAAATCAGCTTTTGTTTTTGACGAATTGTCAATTAAATTGTCTTTTTCTCGTTGTCCTTCAGAACATCAGTTCTACCACAAGTGGGCTTTGTTGTCCGACCCCGAGGACATCTCAGCGGGTTGCAAAGGCTACGTTAAGTGTGATGTTGCAGTTGTGGCCAAAGGAGACACCATAAAGACTCCGCACAAGGCCAATGAATCCGAGGAGGATGACATAGAGGGGTAACTATATTTTTACTGTGCACGGTTCCTTATTAGGATGCAAATGTAAATGATTCAAAAGGCCCCGAAGTAGACTTCAAGGTTCCCAAGGCGTTGCAGAATTTAAACACAGAAACACACGAACAGGAATCTACCGACATGATTTGCACCACAATCGGCTGTTTGATTAATCCAAATTTTTGAATTAACATTTAACCGTCCTGCAGAAACCCTGCAATCTTGTTCATCATATCATTCCATCATGTTGCATTGCTGTTTCAGCAATCTCCTGATACCGGAGGGGGTGCCTGCGGAGCGACAATGGGCCCGTTACTACCTGAAGATTTACAGAGCTGAGGGCCTCCCCAGAATGAACACCAGCATCATGGCCAACGTCAAAAAGGCCTTCATTGGAGAGAATAAGGACCTGGTTGATCCTTATGTCCAAGTGCAGTTTGCTGGGCAGAGAGTGAGTGATTGTCAGGATCCTGAACATTTATTTCCCTCTGTGTCAGGTCAAAGTCTCACACTGAATGTGCACGTGTGATGCGTGATTACAGGGGAAAACGTCAGTTCAAAAGAGCTGCTATGAGCCCATCTGGAACGAGCAAATTGTTTTCACCGAGATGTTTCCGCCGCTCTGCAAGCGAATGAAGATCCAGCTGCGCGACTCGGACAAAGTGAACGATGTCGCCATAGGAACACACTTCTTAGACCTACGGACCATTTCCAATGATGGCGACAAAGGTGATTGGATCTTTTAAAGATGTTTCCGAAAAGTTCTCCTCGCCTCATATCTGATCAACTCTTTTGACTTGGAATTAGTGGGCAGTGCCTTTCACACTGTACTTTAAAGTTCATTATTACCTCATGTGGGGTCAGTTTGAGCAGCATCCTCTCAGTTGTAAACAACAGACACGCACTTCTTATGACCTTGCATTAGATCTTCTCCCTGCTGTTAAAAGCGTTTGTCAGGTAGTACCAGTCCATCCATGACATGCTGACAATCACCAGACACACATCATATTCATTCTTTATCTCTCAGGCTTTCTCCCCACGCTGGGGCCCGCCTGGGTCAACATGTACGGCTCCACGCGTACCTACACCCTGATGGACGAGTACCAGGAGTTGAACGAGGGGCTCGGAGAGGGCGTGTCCTTCAGGGCCCGTCTGCTCATCTGCCTGGGTGTGGAGATCCTGGACCCCTCCTCGCCTGACATTTCCAACTCCACCGATGTGCAGTTGGAGGGAATACCCAACATCTCAGAGGTGGGTCCCTGCTTGCAGCGGCAGCCATGCAGAGGGAGATAATTGTTACTGCTTGCTCTCAGGGCATTGTTCCCTGCTAGTTATGAATTATTGATTGTCTTTATTTAGCCCACCCGGTGCATTATTAACATGTGTTTCGTATTGATGTGGCTTCTTTTTGTTGGTGGACAATGTAAGTCACATAGCAAATTCAATTTAGGACAAGGGGATCAAAATACCTCTGGGATTCAGTTCTCACTGTCCGACAGCTCGTATTACGAGGCTGTCAGGACCGTTTATTTATAAGTTAACAAAGACAAGCGGAACAAAACTCTGTGTCTTTAGCTTTCAACTTTTACTTGATAAAGAAAAACATGAAGACGTTTTCCCACATTCTCACACTTTGTTGTTTACGTTACAGACTGCAACCGGGAAGGTTGAGGAGTTTTTCCTCTTTGGCTCTTTCCTGGAGGCCACAATGATTGACAGAAAGATCGGCGATAAGCCCATCAACTTTGAAGTCACCATAGGTATATTCAATTATAACATCAAGTTTTATACATCACAGTCATATAAGGGGGCGACCATACTAACGCAGCTGCTGTCTGCCAGGTTACTATGGAAACGAGATGGATGGAGCTGCCAGGCCAAAAACGAAGGGTAAGAAGGGAGGAGGAGACGGTGGCGAAGAGGAAACCGAACTGATCCACAACTCCAGTGAGGAGGAGACGGATGAGGACGGGGACTTGACCTCGGTGGCAACTACTCCTCCCATGAAGCCCGTCATCACTGACCGGTCAGAGCACACGCGAAGAACAACAAACAAAGATACTCATCCACATGACTGGGTGTTTTACTTTGATGACATTTTTTATTTGTATGGTCAGAAACTACTTCCACCTACCGTATTTTGAGAGGAAGCCGTGTGTCTACATAAAAAGCTGGTGGCAAGACCAGAGACGGAGGCTGTTCAATGCCAACATCATAGACAACGTCGCAGATAAACTGGCAAGTTGTGAACTTTCCCAAATAAGCAGTCGAGCATTGCAATACAAAAAGCAGAATAGTAATCAAATGAAAATTGTCTTGCGGTGGTACCACAGGAGGATGGACTGAATGATGTGCAGGAGATCATCAAGACAGAGAAGACGTATCCCGAGCGCAGACTGAGAGGCGTCCTCGAGGAACTCAGCCACGGTTGCAGGTCCGTGGTCACACGTTTGCAACCAGCGGGTTCAAACTTGAAGTCTAATAGTTTCATTTTTGACGCTGACCCGACTCTGCTTCTCTCAGTCAGTTTCTCTCGCTGGCAAACCAGGATCAGAATCTGTCCGGCAGAACCAAACTTGACAGGGAGAGACTGAAGCTGTGCATGTCAGAAGTGGTATGTCAACTAAAGAGGAGGGCTGGGATGTTTACCTGTGGGACGTCTTGTCTGGCTAAGCACCGGGCTGTTTGTGGGTTTAGGAGAGCATCGGCCAGCAAGCCAAAGCCATGAGAACCCAGGTGAAGAAAAGCACAGTGAGAGATAAAATCAAGCTGGCTCAGAACTTCCTCACACGGCTGCGCTTCCTGGCTGACGAAGTGAGATCTTCAACAACACTATGAACGCATGCTTGTCCCAACGTGGTCATTTCATGTTTAATGTGAGTGTTCTTTCTTCTCATCAGCCTCAACACAGCGTTCCTGACGTCTTCATATGGATGATAAGTAATGGGAAACGCATCGCCTATGCACGTGTCCCCTCCAAAGACATCCTTTATTCCGCTATACGGGAGGAGACGGGAAAGGACTGTGGCAAAGTTAAGACAATCTTTCTGAGGGTGAGTTTACACAGGTGATCTAATCTGCTTAACTTTGTGAATGTTGCATCAAATTCCCTTTGAACCTTCTGTGGTTTGCTGTTTTGTTTTTTTTGTCCTCATGTACTAAAGATCCCTGGAAAGAAAGGCTTCGGGCCTGCTGGCTGGACGGTCCAGTCCAAGATAGAGATCTATCTGTGGCTGGGCCTGACTCGACAGCGCAAGGACTACCTGAGAGGTCTGCCCAACGGATTTGAGGAAAACAAGTTGTCCAAAGGACCCGGCATGCCGTGCTCACCTCCCATCAGCCTCACCTACATGAGTAAGACCGTCAGTATTCCTTTCATTATTAGCCACATGCTGATAAAAACACTTTCCTAGTGAAAGGAGATATACCACCTCGTTTTACACAATGCTAAAGGTGAGCTCCTGCTTGCCGACATCATATTTACTGGCGGTAACAGCAAATGGAGTTTAATGGTACAAAATTGGATGTAAATCGTCATGAAACCATGATATTTAAAATATGTTTTTTAGAGATGTAGAAATAAAATTGTGCTAATAAACATGGTACAAACCAAGTGTAGGTCATTCCTTTACAAACTTCTTCATCCGTCCACAGTGAAGCAGATCTTCCAGCTGAGGGTCCACATGTACCAAGCTCGCAGCCTGTTTGCCGCTGACAGCACAGGTCTGTCTGATCCCTTTGCAAGAGTCTTCTTCTCGACTCAAAGCCAGGTCACGGAGGTGAGCGCACTCCGAGGGCTTTTCAGAATATCAGCTACATCAGCTGCAGACGCGATTTTTCCCCAAAACACGTCCTGCATCGCCATCCTGCGTCTTTTCCTTCCAGATTCTGGCTGAGACTCTGTGCCCGACGTGGGACCAGCTGCTGGTCTTTGAGAACGTGGAGTTGTTCGGAGAGGCCACGGAGCTGAGAGACGACCCTCCTATTATTGTCATTGAAATCTATGATCAAGACACAGTGGTAAGAGGTGTTTGCAATAGAGACCTCCCTCTTTTTACATTTGTATTAATGCGAGCAAACGGTCTACTGTCGCAGAGATAAAGTACCAGATAGCAATAGTCCTTCTATTCTCCTACAAGCTTGTCAGCCTTATAATTTAAGATCGATCTCACGTAATGAATCGAATTCTAGTGTGTGATACAACCATCTCAATGTGTTTCTCAATATTATATTTGAAAGAATGCTTTTGTTAACTGTAATTTCTATATTTGCTCCTGTCAATAACACCATTGTTTTGGATGACCTATTGGATAAGTAGAGTGTGGATTCTGATGGCTTGATGTACTGTAGGAACACTGTAATGTGTGCAGAGTAGATTGTATCGAAAGGCATGCAAGAGGAATAAGATCCGTCCACAAGGATGGACGAGCTTATACCTCTTGCATTCCTTCAAGTGACATTTTGTGCTTTTTGTATGTGGCCAACCAAGAATGTTGACTCTTCATAACCACTGACTGCAAGAGAGATTTGATTATATATATATATTAAAATAAGTAGTATTCAATTAACTTTGAACGTAGGTACATGTGCCTGTTTTGCAGTTCACTGGTTATTTTAGGTATGTTGCTTTTGTTCATTTTTTTCTTTTGGGCTCTTTCATTTTCAATGTGTTTTTTTATCTGGTCGGCCTAGAAACATGCGCATGAAGCCATGTTTCTATCTGCTGGTAGGACAAATACAACAATTCATTTCAACTCCGTAAGCAACCTTTTTTTAATAGGCAATCGTAATATAAAAATGAATTGAATATGGTAAGCTAAAAAGACCATTCTTTCAAATATTCAAACAAGAATTCTGGTTTTTAAGGGTTAAATATTAATTCACCGTTATGCTTCCAGGGTAAAGCTGAGTTCATGGGCAGAACCTTTGCCAAGCCTGTGGTCAAGATGGCGGACGAGCACTATGGTCCGCCGCGCTTCCCTCCTCAACTGGAGTACTATCAGATCTACCGCGGGAACTGCACCGCCGGAGAAATGCTGGCAGCCTTTGAACTGCTGCAGGTTCGACCTACAGACACCAAGTAGTTGTGAGCGTACTGCTGAAAAGGATCCATAAAGCCTCCCTTCTTTCCTCTCTTAGATTGGCCCTAATGGGAAAGCGGACCTGCCTCCCATAGACGGCCCCACAGACGTGGACCGCGGCCCGATCCTGCCGGTGCCACTGGGGATCCGACCCGTGCTCAGCAAATACAGAATTGAGGTGATTTTAGCCTGATCTGTGATTCATTTAGTGGCAGAAAGGGGAAGTAAACCCACAATAAAGAACACTGAACCTTCTCCTCAGGTGCTGTTCTGGGGCTTAAGGGACCTGAAGAGGGTGAATCTGGCTCAGGTGGATCGGCCTCGTGTGGACATTGAATGTGCCGGAAAGGGAGTGCAGTCAGCCCTCATCCCCAATTACAAGAAAAACCCAAACTTCAGCACCCTTGTCAAGTGGTTTGAAGTGGTATTTTATCATCTAAATTCCTTTTTTTTTGGTTAAATCACCTTTCATTAAATTAAAATTGCATTTCCACAAAGTAAGAAGACGTTCTAAAATGATTCTCGTCAGTCAAAGTGATTGTGGGTCTGGTGTGTCAGGATTTGCCTGAGAACGAGTTGCTTCATCCGCCGCTGAACATCCGGGTGGTGGACTGCAGGGCCTTCGGCCGCTACACTTTGGTTGGTTCCATCGCGGTCCCCAGCCTGCGCAAGTTCATCTACAGGGCCACAGACAAGCAGGCCAATAACTTTTCTACTACCGGTATGAACTAAAACAGGGATGCATATTACACCCGTGTGCTTTTTCTTCACAATATTGCTAATTAAGAACAATAATAGTTAAAACTGATTAATGATAAAGTACGTTAATACCCTTTCGCTATACATGACGATAATAGAGATGAACTCATATACGGTGGTTTCTCCTTTTATCTTTCAGGGGAAATAATAGTGGTCGGCCTGGAGCCTGAGCCTGGTTTTAAGAAGATGGACACTGTGGTCAAACTAGACTCGGTACGTTTCATTTATGTCAATTTGTTCTGATCTTTATTTAAAGAACTGGATCCAGTTTAAATGGTAATTCTACTAAATGGTTAAAACACGTTTTGAAATGTTGCATCATGGTTTTCCACCTAGGGCTCTGATGCCGTGGTCAAGGTTGAGGTAAGTTCTTTACACCGGATCTGAATTTTATGTCGCAAGAAATTGTAAATCTTTATTGAGAGCGGCTGTAATTCTTTTAAATAAAAAGGATGATGACAAGGATGGAAAGGGGAAGAAGAAGAAGAGGAAGAAGGGGGATGAGATTGAAGAGGAGGAACTTGACGAGAGCATGTTGGACTGGTGGTCCAAATATTTTGCCTCCATTGAAACTTTGACAGAGGTGAGTAACAAGAAAACAGTGCAGCTACTCGTCCTTTGCTCTGCCTGCTGCAGTTACATTATAAGCTCATTATAATGAATAAAATACTTGAAGGTTGATCACTCAGTTTTTAACATCTTGTCCATATGGATCTTGTTTTTGCTTTTGATAAATCCAGTAATGACCTTCTGCTCCTACAGGCTCTCAAGGCTCAAGAAGCTGCTCTCTCAGATTCGGAGGACAGAGATGACATGGACATTGCAGACGGCGGAGGTAAAGACAAAGAGGACAGTGGTTTTGCTCATGGTGTAAAAGTAGTATATTTTTGTGCAGGCTTTTTTGTACCTCTTTGTCCGCCCCAAACCATGACGTAGTTTCCTCAACTCCTCACGCTGATGTAGTGGAGTAGTTCACAGAACAAAACACTCAACAACAGTACAAGCACACCGGGCTTCGTGCATCGTTCGTCTTTTATGAGCTTGCTAACTTCTTCGACAGTGAGATTTTCCTCGTAGCCCAAGAAGGCCGTAACGTAGATGCCGACATGAATCCAAATCCACTACATTACAACACATGTACGGTGATATGATATGACTGAGGATCAGGAAGTAGTCAGGTCTTTGCCTGGAGGATCCTGTCAGTAGTGCACCATTCAATTCAATGCTTCTTGTATAACGTAACATCTTGTTTTGGAAATCTCTCATCCTTCAACCAACGCCCCCCCTTCCCCCTCTCCTCCCCGTCCTCATCACCAACCTGCACCAGAGATCAAACCCGATGACTCTCCTGTGAAAGGCCCCAAGAGAGGAAAAGGAAAGAAGGACAAGAAGAAGCACACAATTGATCCGTTCGAGAAGAAAAAGCCCAAGCTGGATGAGTTGAAGGTAGAAGAGACTACAGCTGAATAGCAATTCTCATATTTATGTTTACTGGATAAGACAGAATCTCAAATGACCTGAAAATACAGATGATTCAAAACCAAATATATGTTTCAACATACGCGTGTTCTCTTAAATAAAGGTGTACTCAAAAGAACTAGAGAGCGAGTATGACAACTTTGAAGACTGGCTCCACAGCTTTAACCTGTTCAGAGGAAAAGGTGGTGATGAAGACGACCAAAACGTCACCGATGAGGACAGAATTGTTGGAAAATTCAAAGTAAGGACAAAGTGTTTAGAGCACATAAAATATATGATTCTTCCGTCCATCAAACGCATGTTTCTACATGTTCGGGATTCATTTTGTTTTCCCAATACCCTGCAGGGCTCCCTGTGCATGTACAAAGTGTCGGATGAAATGCAGAGAGACGTGAGCTTCGAGTCCACCATGGGAATGTTTCAGAACATTCCTCACAACGATCCCATTAATGTCCTCGTCCGCATCTACGTTATCAGGGTAGGCTGTGAGTTCTGCACTTCCAGGGTTCATGGATTTATTATTGTTATTATACAACACAAGATTGCTAAATGAAATGTTGAAGCCGCCTCCCAGCACACAGCAGAAGAGATAATCACGGCATTTAAATTGGATTAAAACAGAATATAAACCATAAAATGGCAACCCAAATGGCACTCAAAGAGTGCAGACCTTTGCCAAGATCATTTCCAAAAGCAGAATATATTTACAAGGAATTACAAGGTTGGGAGTATAAGAATAAATGTAGTATTTTGGATTATAGTGCAAATAGAAGACTTCTGTTACATCATATAACAATAATTCATTGTTGACATCTCAGGGTGACCATCCATTTCTCTCTTGAATTCTCTTCTTTTTTGGTAGGCAACTGATCTGCATCCAGCTGACATTAATGGAAAAGCTGATCCATACATTGCAATCAAACTGGGAAAGACAGAGATCAAAGACAAAGAGAACTACATCTCAAAACAACTGAACCCCTTGTTTGGCAAGTAAGTACAAATATTCAATTCAAAATCGGCCGTTACTCCTCCTTTAATATGCCACAAAGTTACGGCCATGTTTAAATGTACATGTAAACCTGACAAACGTTGTATTCGTCATCGTATCAGATCGTTTGACGTGGAGGCCACGTTCCCGATGGATTCCACACTCACTGTGTCGATATATGACTGGGACCTGGTGGGCACCGACGATCTGATCGGAGAAACGAAACTTGACCTGGAGAACCGTTACTACAGCAAACACAGAGCCACGTGTGGCATCACATGTAACTACGCCATGTAAGAGACACCAGACTCCCTGCAGCCGTGTGTGATTGTGGAAAAATAAGGGAAATCATTCCATACGGGCACCTTGAAGACTCAGGCGTCTTTAGAAGGTTACAGCCTCCATCACATAATGATACATCAAATACGCTTTTCTTTAGCCACGGCTACAACGTGTGGCGGGACCCGATGAAGCCAACACAAATCCTGGCTAAGCTTTGTAAGGAGGGCAAACTGGATGGGCCTCACTACGGCCCTGGAGGAAGAGTGAAGGTGGAAAACCGCGTCTTCATGGCGGCGACTGAGATAGAGGACGATAACGGTATGTGTTTTCACCTGTTGTGCTCACAGCCGGGGCCATATCATGATCTTACTGCGTCTACGCCGCTCTGCAGCAGCACCTATACGCCTGCTTGCTGAAACAAGTATTAGTATTCGATGATGTCCGTCAGGTTTGAAGAGGCAGACGGATGAACATCTGGCTCTGACCGTCCTGAAGCACTGGGAGGAAATCCCACGGGTCGGCTGCAAACTGGTCCCGGAGCATGTGGAGACCAGACCCCTGCTCCACCCTGACAAACCGGGCATTGAACAAGTGGGTCATTCGGTGTTCTCCCGCTGGCTCGACTCCAGCCTGGTACACCTTTCAATCACGTCAACGTGGACAACTTGGTTGAAGGGCTTTTTTCTCTGTTCAACTGCTTTAGGGGAGGATTGAGATGTGGGTGGATATGTTTCCTAAGGACATGACTGCCCCCGGCCCCCCTCTGGATATCTCACCAAGGAAACCAAAGAAGTATGTTTTCTAATCAAAGCTGTCTGCCTGAGTCACCTCGAGCTTTTACATTAAGTAAATGTTTGGTTAATTTAGGAACAAATTTGGCTTTTCTGTCATTATTTGTCATTGTATAATTTGCTCGTGTCCAGGTTTGAACTGCGAGTGATCATCTGGAACACAGATGAGGTCGTTCTGGAGGACGATGACATCTTCACCGGCGAGAAGTCAAGTGACATATTTGTCCGAGGGTAACAATTACCTTACATTTGTTTGTCTTTTTTGTTTTAAATCATTTAACCATTCATTTAAAAACAACATTTAAGATCGTGTAACCTCCATTTCTTTTCCTGCCCCAGCTGGTTGAAGGGGCAGCAGGAGGACAAGCAGGACACCGACGTCCACTACCACTCCATCACCGGGGAGGGCAACTTCAACTGGCGCTTCGTCTACCCCTTCGACTACCTCATGGCGGAAGAGAAGATCGTCATCTCCAAGAAAGAGTCCATGTTTGCCTGGGACGAGACCGAATACAAGATTCCAGCTCGTCTTAATCTGCAAGTGTGGGACGCCGACCATTTCTCAGCGGATGACTTCTTAGGTGCAGTGGACAATTATCTATTATAACCTTTTATAAGCTTTGATGATTAATACATGGACATGATAAATGGATCTGTCTGTTAACTACTTCTTGGTTATTGAATCAATTTAGCTTCCTTGAGTTAAACAACATCTCTTCGCAGGCGCAATCGAGTTGGACCTCAACCGTTTTCCTCGTGGTGCAAAGTCGGCCAAGCAGTGCTCCATAGAGATGGTGACCAATGAAGGAGAGATGCCCACGGTCTCCATCTTCAAGCAGAAGAGGATCAAAGGCTGGTGGCCGTTTGTGGCCAGAAACGAAGATGACGAGTTTGAACTCACAGTAGGTCAAAGTAGAGATTTTTTTTAAATGGCTGCGTGAGCTGGAAAATAGTTTGAGAGAGGATTTTGTATCATGTTTGTGAATGTAGCGGAAATTAAACATGGTATTGATAGATTTAGAATGAGCCTTTGGTTTCTACATACGGAGCGGATCGTCACACATGGCCGTGCCGCTACAGAACAGACAAACCAAACACTGACCCTGGTGACACTGGGGTTTTTTATGCATTCTCACTTTGACTCCTGCAGCTCTGCCACTCGCCCCGAGTGAGGAGTTTCAGTCGTTTGCCACTTGCAAACTCATTGCATTCTACATGTTATCGTCCTTATCAGGGAAAAGTGGAAGCAGAGCTGCACCTCCTGACAGGAGAGGAGGCCGAGAGAAGCCCGGTTGGGGAAGGACGCAATGAACCAGAGCCGCTGGAGAAACCCAAGTATGAAGGAGGTTCTCTTCTGAGCCCTCTGTCCACATCTGCACTGCTGACAACTCCTCTGATTTGTTTCTCAGTTACATCATCAGCTCATTCTATGGCTGCTCTACCTTTCATCCTCACCGTCTGCACAAAGATACACAAATGCAAGGATACACATTTTCCAGCTAAACTAAAAACTCCTAAAAAAAAGTTCTATAAATAAAATTATGATAAATACAGGAATAAATCAAAAGATAAATCTCTCAAAAAAGGAATGTGAGTTCTTAAACAAAAAAAGGATAAACATTTTTTTAACTATCATAAAATAACAAAATCAATATCAATGTAAGCAGATTCCCAAAATGAGGCAAAGAGATTTTTTATGAATTTACCTCGTTCTGGATTTATTCCTAGGATCTTCATGGTAAGTTTCTGTTTTTTGATATTGTTTGCGTATTTCTTCTCAAAGTTCTCAAAATACTGTAAATTGTTTATCTGTCTTTTGCTTTGTCCTAGTTTTAATAATCTCATCTATATTTCAATTAAAACATGTTTTTAGAAAAAGAACAAAAATCTACAATGCTTAAAGTGTGTTTTACTGAACATCTGTGTTTTGTCCTTTCAGCCTCGCAGACAGCAGCCTTCTTTAGTTCCTCACTCCCTTCATTTGTGACCTAAAATGAAGAGAATATAAAACAGATTAGAAATTAATCTTTTACTGTGTGCTATCAGGTGACAAAGAGCAGATTAAGATAAGACATGAAATAAAAGCGTTGAAATAACCAGTTCGGTTTATGGAACCTCGTTAGGCCGCATTTCAGCATATTCTTTTTTTTTAGACAAAACGCGTTCAAATCAATTGAAAGATGTGAGGTGGATTTTCTGTTTTCAATACGACTTTCACATCATAATGTGAATAAAAAGGAATCTATCAACATATTTCTAAAAAGGAGTCTTTCATCTCAAAATAACGATATGCAGAGATTTGAAGACATAAACCATGGAGGTGGAAGTTAGAACATCATCCACGATCAGATTCTGAACGTATTTAACTTGCACCCACACATTTATTTGGGTTTATATTTATATTAGCATTTTCCCTGAACACAGTGTGTGAAACAGTGTGGGTTTTCAGGGACTTCTTACCGAACAGTATAATAATAATATGAGTAGCACATTTATTTTGCGTAGCTACTCAAAGGCACTTTACATGGTAAAAAACGAAACAATCAAACCAATGATGAACTAAAGAGAAGAAATAACAGTAAGAAACTAAAACTAAAACATTGAGATATCATCACAAGTTAAAAGCAGAATGAAATAGATGAGGTAAGTATGGACACGAGTAATGATTAGGCTCATTAGATCAAACCCATGTTGCTGTTACCAAACATTTTCATATCAGCCGACTTCCACACTTCCCCTGTGTGGAGGTGAGCCGGTTCTTCCCTCCGGTCAAATCAGCGCTTCAGTACGAACCTCCTTCTGTGTATTTCATATTGGTGATTGTCTTTGGCGTTGCGTAACTGTGTCTACGTTTCTCTGCCCCACCAGCCGCCCGGATATCGCCCTCCTCTGGTTCCTCATCCCTTTCAAAGCTGCAAAAAACCTGATTTGTAACCAGTACAGGTGGCTGACCATCAAGATCGTCACTGCTCTCCTGCTGCTGGCCATCTTGGCTCTTTTCCTCTACAACATGCCTGGTTACATGGTGAAGAAGATGTTGGGGGCTTGAGTTGAAACCAAAGGATGAAATACTTTTTTCAAAGGGTGTGTTTTCAGTTTTGTGAACGTTTTACTAATTACTTAAATACCAGAAGTATGCACTACTACGATAGCAGCGGTAATTAGAGATTGTTTGTGGATGCATCATTGGTTTCTAATGTAATCCAATGTCTACAGATCTCAACATATTGGTACTGCAGTTTTTCTCCTGTCTTCAATAGGGGTGTATTTTATTCCCTTTATATTCATTCAATGTCCATTGTTCTCATACGAGTTGGCTTGTTTTTGATTAAAGATTTTCTTGCTTCAACAATTTATTGTTCTGTTCTGATTATGCGTCTATGTATGATATTTCAAATTTGTGAATAAATTGACCAGTGAACTAATTTTCGGGTGATGTTGTCATTTGTACATTTCTCTCTTGGGCGGTATGTATGTGTAAATGTATTTGAAAAAACAAAAGAAGAGTTTGGACTTCAAAGATTGGAATTCATTTATTGTCCATAATTATAAATATGTACGGCAATGCACGGCTCGGTCTGTCATGTGCACGTCATCACAGAATCTAGCAGAAGCATGCTTTCCTTTTTTTTAAAAGTAAAATAATGGCTGCTGCTATTACTTATTATTATTATTATCATAGTGACATTTTTAACCTTTTCTTTATTTCAATAGGAATACATACAACCAATCACTCTCCTAACTAAATGTTCTCACAACACCAGTTCAACGGACTATTATGATCCTTGTTGCCTTTTCACCTTTAGCTTTGTTTAATCAAAGTATCTAGAGAAAGAAAATGACTGTGTGGGAAGTTCTTAAAAACTCAAAATGTATTAAAAACTGCTCCGCTGCAATAAGGAAACCCGTTGAGAGGAACTGATTGTGACCTCAGGTGAAATCAATACTTCTCCATTTGTTTACATACATGTTCCTCTAACTTTGCCCCTTCACTCCTTCAGCCGTCCGGATATCGCCCTCCTCTGGTTCCTCATCCCTTTCAAAGCTGTGAAACACCTGATTTGTGACCAGTACATGTGGCTGACCATCAAGATCGTCACTGCTCTCCTGCTGCTGGCCATCTTGGCTCTTTTCCTCTACAACATGCCTGGTTACATGGTGAAGAAGATGTTGGGGGTTTGAGATGTCTGCCGGATTTGACTTTTTCACACATACAAATCATTTTACCCTTCAATTTCTCTCTGTTCTTGCTTTTGTTTTTTGCCATTTGACAAGTTTTAGATTTTAACCATCAGAATGGCTACATATCAACATGTAAACGCTAAAATCATTACTTCAGTTTACTAGTGCAAATTTGTTATAGTTTCGCAATGTTACTTAGATCTGGTTTACGATATTAGTATTGTCATTATTGATATTCTTTTGGTTGGCATGGTTTGCTTGCTGCTGTTCCACGGTAAGGCGTTCACCTGATTCACTGTGAACTCAACAGTTTATCATGTGCAGTATTAGACTGACTGTTGAAATTGGGAATAAAGTCACAGCTACAACTGTTTCTAATCTTAACATGATCGCTCGGGTTAATCGGTTCAAATGGCCGTTAAAGCTCTCTGGTTTTTCTACTTGTTTAGAGCTCAAACATATTTGACATTTACTTATTTAAGCTAAAATAAGATAATCCCCTTTTAGTCCCACAGCAGGGGAGTGTGCGGGATTACAGCATCAGAATGGACAGCGCAAACAAACAAACGGTTATCATTTACTAATAAAAACAAATCTCAATCTTCTCAACTGGATGAATCTGGGACTGGTGTCAAAATTTGTGAATCCTGCTGACGAGCGAGCGCCTCCGATAGAACACGTGACGTGTTGCGGCCCTCTAGTGGTCCTCGATGCGACCGACTGAGCGCTGCTGTATTATCCAGTCACAACGCACATTCAGCTGCAACTCGCATAAATTTAGGATGTGTTCAACAAGTGCATCACAGACAAACCCTTTAACATGCGTCACATGTTTGCGTTGCCTCGGTGTAAATGTGTTTAACATGCATGCGTTCGTCAGAAAGACGATTTCGAGTTCCTCGAAAATTAACTTTAAACTATTGGACGAAGTAGTCCGGTAATCCGCGGAGGGATTGCTGTGTTTTCTAGAAAACGGTAACAGTGACGAAGATATCTGACAGCCAACAGTTTCCACGTAGAAAAGGTTGCTTGGAGGATGCGGGCATCGATCCCGCTACCTCTCGCATGCTAAGCGAGCGCTCTACCATCTGAGCTAATCCCCCGATGTGAGCTCCACTGTAGCCACCAAATTTACAACACTATCCTTATTTTACAACGTTGCTTCGTCTAAGTACCTCCGGTTCTGTATTTCACTGTATTGGAATTAAATGATGAAATAATGAAATGACCCAAGGCTCTCCAGGGTTAATATCTATGAATAACAGGCCCTTCAATACGCTGATCTGCAGAGCAAAGATACCAGGCTTGTTGTGTGTCTAGTTTGTCATACATTTATACAGTCTTTAGTGTGGTGCACTGAGCAATTTTATATTAACTTGGATCACACTACTCTTTGAAGGGTTCATGAAGTGAACATGGGGCCATTGCATTATCAACCCATTTTTATTTAAAAGATAAACCACAACCGTTTATTTCACAACTGTTTATTTATTCAAAACTCAAAACATGAGTGTTCAGTAGATGTTTACATGGTCAATGAATGCAAGTTCCAGAGCAGATTTCATCCGCAAGTAAATTGCAAGTAAAAAAACAGCTAGGAAGGACCAAGGAGGCTCCCTTAGTTAAACTGGATGCGTATGATGTCAAGTCAAATGTACAGGGATTTCCTAATACTGACTTTCTTCCAAATTACAACTCATATACCGTGGGCAACCGTTCACAGCAAATCCAAAGTCTAAACACAGTCGTGTTAGCAGGGCAGAACATGACAGCTCCTGTTGGGTGAATAATCGATCTGTATTAATTCAGTGTCAGGCTCCTAATAACGATCTATAACCATGTTGTCAGTCTGAAGGTAGCTTTCCACCTCTAAATTTCAAACTTTTAGGCCGACTGCATGTCGGCCTAAAAGATACATTGGCGATGAACCGGGACTGTGCGACATCAGACGAAATCTCAACACAACGTACATATGCAAAATATCACTCATTCACAGTCAATGTGTAACATTCTCATGCTCAGATATGTTGCTGATCACTAACAAAGAGTCGCAGAGCACTGATCATACGCCTCCTGTCAATACACCAGAGAATTTCTTTCAGCATTTCTACGTGCTATGAGCCCAACGTGACACAAAAGCTTGATGCTGACTCAAGCGCTATGCAGAACTGAAGTAACACACACGGCCTCAAATCACGTACGGCAGGTTTTGCACCAATTTTGCTACAGAAAGTTAATCTTAATTAAATATAAGTTAAATAAATAAGAAGTTGCTTTTAAAAAGTCACCTTTGTTACAGTTTTAGTAGCTCTAGTAGTATCGCAGCGCGCCAAAGTTAATCAAATAAATAACTCAATAATGAGCAAAGACATCGTTCTCTCAGAAATCGTCGGCAATATTTACACACTTGAACCCCACTGTTTGCCACAACAACCTCCGCGCCAGGCACGGCACAATTCCTGCTCCGTTGGTCATGCTGGGATCACCGGGATATGTCGTACGTTACTGTTCCTCTCACTGTGGTAGGTGGGGGCAGGGAGGAGGGTGCTGAGTAGTTGTGTACAGTGTGTCGTAGACAGCCAGAGGGCGGATGGGGGAAGGTTGGGAACAGATACATATGAGAAAGAAAAAGAAAAGACTTGAGGGAGAGGAGGGGTCATGGTGATTATTTATAGAGAGCGTGCAGAGAGAGTAAAAAACAAGAGACGGTAAAAAAAAAGAAAGAAAGAAGGAAGATGATGGAGGCGTTGCGAGGGGGGGGGGGTGAAGGGCTCAGTATTCATCCTGGTCCAGGTGAGCCTGTTCATCAAGGTCCTCGTCCTCCGGAGGTGCAAAGCCATCCTGGGAAACAAAGGGGAAAAGTTATTATTCAGGTTTTTTTTATCTTGTTAACCCCTTCCCAAAATATCCCGATCAAAGAGGACATAAAAACTCTATAGACTTATGCAAAATAATGTTGGTTTAAGAAGTTTATAAACAGATATATTGGAATAAATAATAGATATATATTCTTTTTTTTCATCATCAGTTTTATGGAGAGAGCCACATGACGGTAATATTGCGATCCATATGGCTGGATGTGATTAATGACATGAAATGTCAATAGGGTTTTGAATGAGGTTTCCTTACGACTGAGGTAGAGGTTCCTCTGCATGTTCTCCATGGTAACTCACTCCATAGAGAACATGCGGGGGGGAATGGTGCAATGCGGCCAGCATTTGTTGCTGATAACGGACGGATACCTCTGTTGCGTAGAGGATGTTGATTATACTGCTGAGGACAGAGTTGTTTTCGCTCTCGTGTTCCTGGCAGATCAGCTCGATGTCCCGTAGTTTGCTGAAGTAGAAGTCTCTCTCCTTCTCTAGTCCGTCCACAGTCAACTTCAACTCCATCAGCTGGGAAAGGAAAGGCAGAACGGGAACATATAACATTGGCTGTTCACAAAATACAAGGAATGCTGTCGGTGGGTGTTGACCTATGATGTCAGGCAGATGACATGGGTGGAGAGGGCTGTGGTCTACCTGTTGATTTAGCTCCATGATCTCAGCGTCGCTGCCCCCGTTTCTGGACAGGGACGGGTTCTTCCTCATGGCCGGAGTGTTGTGTTGGACCCGCTGGGGTGTCGGCATGTTTTTGGGAACTGTTGGCGATGTCCTCTGTGGTCCTGGAGCGGTCAGATGATCAGCCATGTTCAATATTTGAATTAAAACGGATCATTTGTGTTGTGCTTTGTAGCGACTGTGGCGATGGACACAGCACATCACAGGGAGCTGATGCTATCAGCTAATAGCATAATGTTGTGCCTTTGATCTGCCGTTTTTTGTGTGAAAGGACGTCAAATGACTTTACAAAACCACTGATGTGAAAGACACACATTTAAATTGCCGGATTTAAAAAGCGTTAAAGTCAAAAGCTTTAAAAAAGAAACCACCCCTGGGGTCTGTGCTGCAGCAAAGGTGTTAAACTCCAAACATGCCAACACACATTGTTCCAATTCCTGTTTCAGCCGCTGATCACGACCAGTTAGAAAGCGGGAAGACAGTTTGCATGGAGTCACCGCCGGGGATCACGCCATCCCCCGGCGGTGACTCGGTGGTACCTGCTCGGCGCGGCGGTGCTGGTGACTGGCGGGCGGCGCGATGGTGCCGAGGAGGACAGCGGCCAGCGGTCTGCGGATCGTGCCGCTCACGCCGCCGGCTAGCAGGCAGCGCTTTTGAGCCATCCAAAGCTCGGCAAGACCGTGCAGCGAAGGGGCGAAACTGTTTGGTTTACCTGGGGTTCTCTTTGGTTTGTGGATAAAGTGATCACCTGGGTTGGGGGCGGGGGCCACGTCCTGCCCCTGTCTGGATAGTAGAGGGTCATACTCCTTCCCGTCGTAGTTGGCGTCGAAGAACTTCTTGAACCACTGGACGAATTCAAAGTTGTCCTGGAACTTCCCCTTTACCAGCTTTTCCACGGGAATTATCTGGAGGACGGAAACAGGAAATGCTTCTTATGAATATCAAATAAATCGTCTTAATCATTATCAGAAATGTAGAGGGAAACATAATGATGGTGTTCTGACTTTGTCCACACTCATCCTTTTAAATGCTGCCTGGAGAACTTTGAAGTTGTGTATCGATTCGTGCTCCAGCTTGGCTTGGAATTTGACCTTCTTCAGAAGGATACAACCTGGAAACAACATGTCCATGAACTGGCAATACGCCGCTCCTGCGAAACACAAGCACACGACAACCTCGGTTTCCGTTATCTTGTCCTGCTGTATGTGTTGATATGCGTCTGACCTCTGACCTTACCTGAACAGAGCTGCTCAATCTTAGTGTAGGTGAGGTGCAAAGAGTCGTTGACCCACGCCAGCATGTCATGTCGACTGAGGTTGTCGATGGACACAGACGTGGCGTAAACATTCACCGCCATCCCAAACCTGGGAGCCGACAAGAGAAGTAAGACGCTCAGTTATGACCCGCTCGTGCCCAAACGTAAACCTCTGGCAGAAAGTGATCCACAACGTTTCAAACCGTGTTTCAGATCAAGCACTGAATGCACATATGTTTACACAGATTGCTCTTATCATACCATGACATCCCACCCTCCACGGAACCACATTTTATTGACAAAAACACAGAAAAACAAACGATCCTCACAAAGAGAAACGCATTGAAATGTTTACTTTTACAAAACACGTAGTAACATAATAATAACAGTCGACCAATTGACTAATTCTTTCAGCTTACCGGATTTATTAACGGACCCACTTCTTAATCTAATCGTGCCGGATTTCACATGTAGGCTGTACTAGACCTCACATGAATCCATATGAACTTTCCCAAACATAATTCAACCTAATCGCCATGTTCCTGGCGGCCCCCCAAGCGATCCCCCCCCCCCCTTCCTCTCTTCAAATCTAAAGTTCTACTATTTGCCCGACCCCCAAGATCAGACATGTTGGGTTTGACCAGAAACCGCTGCAGTTGTGATCCCATAAGCCCACTGACACCAGTGAAAGTGGCCCTGCTTTGGGAAATGAACTCGAATTATTTTTTGGACTGTAAACACAGTGCCGGCGAGGGATCTTTACTTTCAGTTGTAATCTACAGACGTGTTGAGAGCATAATCCTCCCGAGATTAAACACAAATATCCCGATGTTTGTGAGCAGCTTTGCACATCTGGCGGCAGCAGGCTTCTCCGTGCTCACTTTGCTTTCCCCTGCTAGTTCCTCCCGGTGGGGTCGCGTCAAAAACGGGGCCTGCGACACCTTGACGTCCCCTGCAGTAAAAAAAAACAAAAAAACACGCACATTGACCCGAGCACGTTTATAAACCCACAACGCACGTGTGAAATGCTGCTTATAAGCGTGACAGACAGAGAAATGTCACACACGGGTCTGCAAAAGTCCCACTTTCACATTAAAAGCAGAATCGGCTTAATGCAACTTAGTTCTCCGCAAACACGCTGGAGGTTTTCCACAACAAACCGAAGTGCTGCTTATTTCTGCCGGTAAACACTGATAAATAGTGTGTGTCTCTCTCACGGGGCTGTGCGAGCGTACAGGGGGCACGATAATAACCCGCGACCAACAATGAACGCATTTATAGGACACAACCATCGACGCGCCTCGCTGTGTCCTTTCTAATAAATGTCCATTATTGTAGCGAGTGGAAGGGAAGAGAAGGACCCGCGGGGCCTTCTAGAAAGCTCCCAAAAATGACTGCAGCAAAATGCTGCAAGCCTAAAACAAAAGCAGGGAAAAAAAGCAAGAGAAACAAAAGCAAAGGGTCGGGGGTCTGACATTCCCAGCTCGCGCCGAGAACAATGCACGTGCCCGTTTTGCCGCCTGCCTCTCGGTTTAAAGAAGAAAACAAACAAAAAAATACCGCAACGCTGGCGCTGCTCTGCGAGCGGCCCCCTCTGCAGGCCTCCGTGTATACGTCCGTACGGCCAGTGCACGGGGAATATCCTCTCTGCATGGGAATTAAACGCACACACACACACACACACCGCCCCCCTGCCGCAAACACGTCGGGACGCACAAACAGTCGAGGCGAAGCCGCCGCCGCCGCCGCCGCCGCCGCTCACCGTATTCAGGAGCGTCCGTGTGGTTTGTCGCGCAGCTCGGCGGTGCTCAGCGGTGTCAGTGCGCCGGAGCCGTCGTCGGTGCTCGGTAACGGGCCGCCCTGTCTGGCGCTGCAACAATCCGGGGATCGAACCGCGCATGCGCGGGACTCCACGCTGCTGAAGGTTCATTATAAATAGGACTTTGGCCCGTGAAAGCTCAGGGACGCATGATGTGTCTGGGCGGATTTGAGCCCGGCTGGTGACTGAGGTTTTACTGAGGTCAGGCTGCTGGATTAAAACATTAAAACGTGTTGTGGAGGAAGTGTTCAGATCCTCTATTTAATGAAGAAAAAGTGCTAATATAACAGTTCGGATAAAAAGGCCCAATTGTTTTCAGTGTTTAATCCTTGGGTTGAGTCGTGAGCTGCCGTAGTCACATGTGGTATTTACTGACACGTCGTTCGACGCAGAATGCACGTATCACCGTCATGCTCCATTTTTAATGGGCCTTTTTTGATGCTGGTGACATTTTGCACACTCAAAACTGTATATTATTGTTATCGTATTATACTTGATTTAATATATTTTTGTATTTTTATTGTATGGATGTGTTACTTTTAATACTACAATGTTTTCAGATGTCTAATAACCAAACCCAAAGAGATTTAGTTTAAAATAATGTAAAACAGAAGAAAGCAGCAAATCCTCATATCCTAATTTTGTTTGTTTGAAATGGCTCAAACAATGAAATGAAACTACTATCCTAAAGAGATTGTTTCTCTGTTGATTGACTCATCGAATTTATTTGAACTGTGTAACAATAGTCCATTTAAAGTTGAACCTTGGAACTGAAGGTTTATAAGTAACTCACTATAGCAGGATAATCATGGAAGAAACAAACTATATATTTTTTTTCTCTCTGAAATATATAAAACAGAAGTCGCACAGAACTCTAGTTCTGAAGCACAGCACAAATGCAATACTTCAGTAAATCTTCCCACCAAAGGTCAGTAAGGAGACACAGGACTGAGTTGGAGATTTCATTGTGGTTTATTTGCACTCAAATCATGTGATACAGAGCTGCAAGAAGAAATAAGAAATAAAGGAAGTCAATGTGACGACACATTGTTCAGCACCAGTGTACATTTGGGAGGAGGAAGACGCCACAAGATTCACTGGAGCTTCTAGAAGTGAAATCTTACCCAACAAACAAACAACGATGGAGGACATTTACTGTCACGGGATGATCTTCTGAGTCCAAACATTCAAAAAAATCCTTTGTGCATCGGTTTAGACAATAACACAACAAAAGTAATGACTTCTTAGACAATTATTAACAAGAATGATGTAACTAAAAAAAAACCGAACATATCCATGCTCTTCTGCATGCCTTCCTGCTATGATGTGGCGTACGGTGTGAAGGAATTTGACCCCCTCGAGGAATGGCATTAAACACCAGCCCTGTGAATGCAGCAGAGGGTTCACCTCCTGTAATCGCGTGTGTTTGAGTCAGCGTAACTTTTGAACTCTGCAGTTTGAGACCAGTTAAAAGGGGCCCCAAAGAAACAACATTGTTCAACACGTCGTGATGTGTGGCGGCAGTGTGGGATGACGCGTTTGTGTGTGTCGGTGTTCTCGGGTGAGAAAAAGGCAGTTTGGGTGAGACTTTTTGCTCTCTGTGGAAAATGGATACGATCACAAAAAATGCTGCGTAACACGAGCAACATTAGTGCTTATTACAGCAGGTCTAAATATGCTACCACGCACAGCACACACAGCATAGGTTCATTCACATTTGGTGGAGGTGGAACAGAAGTCTCTTCTGCTGTAAGGCTGTAAACATGATCTGAAACTATTGAACAAAGACCTCATTCTTACCAAGGACATGATGCTAACAGAGTAGCGTCAACGGAAAACCGCACAAATAATGCAAAATAAATAATAAATAAACACATATAAAAGGTTATTTTGCATTATGATATTTGTCATCAGTTGGTCAACTATGTTTTTTTTTAAACAAACATATTATTGGCTTGCCCACACCCTGCTAATAACTCATCACATTTCATTCTCCATGGCTTGCGTTAAAAAGACATTTGTGATATTTGTGACATTAAATCATGTAAAAAGGCATCTAAATAGTACATGATATAAGTGCAAAATCGATTTTTTACAGTGAGGTAACACAATCGCATCATAAAAACCACGACTCACCTTCATAATCCTAAAAGTACCAGTAAGACGTTTCCTCTAACGTGATCCAACAGCCAAAGTTATTCATTGGCAGCCCATCTTTTATTTGCTGCTTAAATTTGGTTAACGTTTGACTGAAATTTGGTAGCAATAGTTTTCCTTAATACGTACTCCCACAATATTACAGCAAATGTTATAGAGTTTACCGATTACAATCCTATGTAACTGTGCTGAGATCGAAAAAAAACATGACTCAATTAACCCCACACATATTCTAAGCTTCCAGAGAGAAAAACAAGTCATCTTGCTCGGCCTTTTGTTTCCCTCGGGCGTCATTCTTCCGCTTCGCGTGAGGACCCGCTGATTGGTTACCAAATCCCGCTGGATCTCCCTCCAGGAGGAGCGAGGATCCTCGCCGAGGATCTCTTTGGAAGGTTGTCGTCGATCTGGGCACCTGGAGGAGAACGCGATGGTGTGCATGGGTTCAACAGCGAAACACAGGCAACCGCTGTGTGCGTATTCCATTTAATATTCATGTGCAGCTCAATCACATTTCCTTCTAAAGGGCTCTTAAACAGCTTGTGTTAAATAACAATGCAGCGTACTCAAAGAGAACAATTACTCTCACAGCATTTGAAATGCTGTTCTAAACATTAAGGGCGTGCCTTTAATTATGCATATGTTCAATCAAACGGCTTATGATTATATTATATTATAGGCGTCATTGTAAATGTTCTTTCATAGAACAGCCGAGGGTTTGTGGGGGCGGCTGACAGACGCAGCTGTCTGTATCTCTTTGAATATGACGCCCTTGTCAGACCAGGACGTGTGTGGTGGGAAAATCAGTGTTGACCGGTCTGTAAATAGTCCCTCTTGGTGTCATCATATGGAAGAAAGGAATAGAAACGTCACGTGACATCTGACTGAATCGGTTGATCCTTACCAGACAGGCTGAAGCTGGACTCTTGGAGGTCCCTCAACCCCCCGTGCCGGGTGCAGGGGCGCGTCGGCGTCTCCAGATCCGAAACCCCCGGGTCCCTCTTTCCTGAGTTTAGCACCGCTACAACTTCCCCTGTGTAGGGCTCCCGTTCGACAGCTTTCACAGCCTGGCACTGGTAGGTCGACACATGTACGTATATATTACAAATGAACAGGCGAATGGAGGAAAAAGGTGTTATGCCGTAAAACAGCAGGGGGGGGGATCAGAGTACTAGAAGCATCCAAAAATATCAGCTTTGCTGGACTGCAGCCAACGGTGCGCTCGGTGAGGGCTTTATCTCAAACTGCCAAAGGGGATTTCCTAACTGACTCTGTGGCGCAACGGTAGCGCGTCTGACTCCAGATCAGAAGGTTGCGTGTTCAAATCACGTCAGGGTCAAGATATTTCTTTGGTTGAAACTGTAACAACGTTAGTATTTGACAAACGGGAATGCGCCTCTCTTTCCTTTCCCCAATTTAACACGGGAAGTACATAAAAGAGGGAGTGAGAGGTGGGAAAAGAAAGAAGCGAACAGATGAGATGGAAAACATTTAGGTAACAAATTGAAAGGATGAAGGAAACAGTAAATAAAGGACTGAAGGAAGGAAGACAGTTCAGTCTGGTACCTTTTCCCTCTGAACCATCTTCTTGTAGAGGTAATCTGGGAAGGTCCTCAGAGGGCAAAACTTTCCAGAGCCCTCAGCACACGTGAACATGCCATTCTCATAGACCAGACGGCCACGGCTGATGGTGACCAGGGGAACACCATGACAACGGAGACCTTCGTACAGGTTGAAGTCTCCTCCCTGGACCTGGTTGTCCACAGAAATGGTCCTGTAGACAAAGTGAACTCAGTTAAATCAGCTTGAGGGAATGGAGATAAAAGCCGGAGTGAGGCATGCGGGTCGATGAATGGATGGATCGGTTTTCATACTTGGATCCCTCGGGGTCCCAGACCACCACATCAGCATCTGCTCCTGGGATGATCCTCCCTTTCCTGGGGTAGAGGTTGTAGATCTTAGCTGCATTTGAGCTTGTGACTGCAACAAAGCGATTCTCATCCATCTTCCCTCCAATCTGTGAGTTATAACAAAAGATACTCACAACTCATTGCTTGTAAAAATTTCACATGACACACCTCACATCTGAGGATCTCCACTCTCTGCCTTTTATTATGATTTTAAATCATAGAAAAATGCAGGAACCAAGGAAAAGAAACAGGTGCCGTGTCAGTGAAGGTTCTCTGTCTGCCAGACAGGAACAAAAGAGCTCCACACACCACTCCTTTCTCCCAGATGACGCTCATGCGATCCTGAATGCCTGGAAGCCCGTGGGGGATCTTCGTGAAGTCATCCTTGCCCATGGCCCTCTGCTTGATGGTGAATGGACGGTGGTCGGACCCCACAACGTTCAGAGTGTCACTACGGCCAAACAAGAGCGAGACGGAAGGTCACATGTATTACTGCCAGCGGCACTAACATCACGGCACATTTAGCGGGAGGGGTCATCGTGTTTCGCTCACTTCCCCAGCAGGCTCATTAGGAAATTGGGAGTCATGGGGTCCAGCCGGAGAGGGGGCACGGTAACGTGGGCTGCAGCGTGGGCCCAGTCCTGATGGTAGTACTGCATACCGTTCAGCACGGCGTGGGCTGTGGTTGTTTCACCTTGGACCACTTTACCTGCGGTTGGGTAGAGCAATACGGATGCACACCGCGTTAAATGATGGTGGAAAAGGAAGAGATTAAAAGATTATGCAAGCAAACCATGACAAAATATTATTTTTGCAGAAAATGACGGATTCTTATTTTTTTTAATCATTTTCAAACGTTTTTTATTTAATGGGGATATTGAAAGGCCGTGGAAAATATAAGGAATAAGATAAAAGGTTAATGGGTTGAGAGTCGATTGCGCACGGGTTTAGGCCCATTGTCCCTTAGCTACTGAGCACAAAATAGATCTATGGAAAAGTCAATTCCACGTTATATGGGCTTGGTCCACACGGGCCACAGACAATAGGCCTCACCCTGCATCTTGGCTGTAGCTACTACGTCTCCCGCAGACATACTGGAGACATTGACAAGGTAGATTGGGCAGTGGGCCTAACAGAAAACACACAAGGTAAAGCATGTGTTATAGCAAAACTGATGTTTATATGTATGTGTGTAATGGAGCGATCTCACTCACCCTGTTGGCGATGGTAATGGCCCTGTGGGTGGCCTCTGCTTCCAACTGCAGGGAGACAGAGGAATGTGATGGATCCTAGTTAGATACTCAACTAGAGACAGGATTTATTCCTCTCATAAGTAATATAAATGCTCGTGGCACAGCTCTGGATCTAATTATACCTCTTCAGGCCGGCTGATTTCAATCCCCTCTGGTCCAATGATGCCCAGGTCCAATGCTTCCTTTGCACCCTGGGAATAGATAAAATATCTAAATGTATCATGCATCCTACTAATTTGTTAGTTCATCAATACAAGTACTTGTTTTAATTTGTGTGCGCTATAATATATACAACATTCAGATTGAAAGGTATCGTGAAGTGATCCCGCCTCACCTCTGCCACCAGTTCTCCATTTTCAGCATGGACTCTTGCTATGGCGCCGATGTCCTTACAGTGCTGTAGCGCCTGGAAGAGCTCGCTGTCCCTCAGCATGAACATGTCCTTGTAGGCCATGAACATCTGGAAGGAATTCACTCCGTTCTCCCTCACCAGCTTCTCCATCTCAGCTCGCACCTGCAGCGAGACAAAGTGTCAATGAGCTCTGGCATCTCTCAGGCTGAACCACGAATCTTTGCACAAAAGTAATATGAACATCTGGTCTCTGGGACCAAAACAAGGTCGAGGTGAAGCAGAAGAAAGAAACATTACACGCTGCTGGCAGCAAACAATGGAAGGATAAACTCGGAGAAGCTGTAGAGCGGTACAGTACCTTGGGTCCCCACCAGGTAACGCCCACGTGCAGAGCGTAGTCGCAGCATGCTTTGGGGTCCGCCGTGCGGCGGCACTTCTCGTAGGCTTCCAGCAGAGACTCATCCTTCTCTGGCAGAACGTGTCCCATCACCATTGTTGTACCGCCAGCTAGCGCAGCCTACGAGGAATAGAAATGTAATTCTACTACTCATATTGTGTTGTATTGTTTACTTTCTGTGTAGTTTACACATTTTTCTGTGTGTCAGTGTGTTTTAATGCCTTTACACTGGTGACATGTGCATCGTTTTTTGCCAATATTGAATTTGTTTCACTATATGAAATCAGTTCTCTGTACTGTCCTCTGAAAATAGTCTCTAAGTCAAGTCAATACAGTGATAGCTTCCACTTCCCCCCAAAATACCTTTACTACTCTATATTATATGTGTCAGCACAGACATGTGTGTGAACCCAAACTTGACTGGTTGACAGAGGCAGTATTTTAATTCATCAATTGCCGTCGCAGACTAAAAGGAACTCAGGTCAAATAAAAGAATCAATAGAAGAAATTGAAGAAATAAACTGAGGCATTAAGGGACGTTGAAGCAGCATACATGGATTTATTAAGCCCATAAATATGAAGGGACTGTAATCTACTGATCAACACACCTTCCACCTCTAAGAATAAAAGTACAAGGCTCATTTTCTATTACTGCATATTTTGTACGACTATTTGCAGATGATTGCTGAGGGAAACATAAATCCCTCAGTAGTTAAAGCCGGGGGTTTACTGGCCCTTGCGGCATAATAATCAAAGCAATAACTATAATTTATTTACGGAATCAGCACTTATTGCTTATTAACATATTTAGATGTTTTAAACCCACACATAAATAAATCTTAAGTACCCCAACAAGTGAAAAAGGTGTGTTTTGTGTATGAGAGCAGCTGACCCTCGAGAGTGGAGTGGTGTGTAGTGGGAGGGACGAGGGGCGGGGGGAGGGGTGGGGGGAGGGATGGGGGGAGTGTGGGAACCATTGTCTCTGAGCACAATGGCCCGACTGAAAAGGCTTTGCAGCAGTCTTCGCAGAAGCCCCCCCGTCTCCATGGAAACCGATACTGATCTGCATTTGTCTCCGGACTTATTTTGGAGCACAGAAGCAGGAAAGGAGACGTAGAGAGGGGAGAGGAGGGAGACGTAGAGAGGTGTGAGGAGGGAGACGTAGAGAGGGGTGAGGAGGGAGACGTAGAGAGGGGAGAGGAGGGAGACGTAGAGAGGGGAGAGGAGGGAGGGGTGAGGAGGGAGACGTAAAGAGGGGCGAGGAGGGAGACGTAGAGAGGGGCAAGGAGGGAGACGTAGAGAGGGGCGAGGAGGGAGACGTAGAGAGGGGTGAGGAGGGAGACGTAGAGAGGGGCGAGGAGGGAGGGGTGAGGAGGGAGACGTAGAGAGGGGTGAGGAGGGAGGGGTGAGGAGGGATACGTAGAGACGGGCCGAGAGGCAGACCTTAAGAGGGTGAGAAGGGAGACGTTATGAGGGTAAGAAGGAAACTTAGAGATGGCGAGGAAGGAGGGGTGAGGAGGGAGCGTAGAGAGGGGCGAGGAGGGAGACGTAGAGAGGGGTGAGGAGGGAGACGTAGAGAGGGCCGAGGAGGGAGACGTAGAGAGGGGTGAGGAGGGAGACGTAGAGAGGGGCGAGGAGAACAGCGAGCGTCTCCAGGGTCAGTCGGTCCAGCTGCTCAAACAAGTGAAGCACAGCCTCCGTCATCTCTCTGACTCCATCACCTCAAAGTGCAAGTGATGAGTCATCATGGAGCCCTGACGCGTCTCTATGACGATGACTTCGTCCAACACTTTCTGGCCAACAGCCAAGTGCCAAATCATCTTTGTGTGATGTTGCTCTCTGCAACCTTTCTGACACTGGTTGAGAAAAACTAAACTAAATGTCACTAAATCTACTGATTGTTTTCTTCAATGGTGAATCAAAATAAATCATTTGTTTTTGAAAAATGTAATATGTAAAATAGCTAACTTAGTTTGCACTTTAGCTTTGCAGCTTGTTATATATTTGCTTTTTTAAATCCAAGTTTTAAGCTCTTATCCTGGTTCTGTTTGCTGCCGGTTTTTAAAAAAATGACCAAAACAGTTAACGGTCAACTGTCTGTCGACAAATTGATCAATCAATTAACAATTGATTCTACTTCCCGAGATTGATTGGTTGCCTTTTAAACACTACCAAAGTATCTAACTGATAAATGGCTGGCCTTACAATCAAGCAATGCAGTCTTGTTAGTAATCAAATTTTCACCTAGATAAAATACGTTTTAACATGTCGTTTGTGTTCTATCATTGCTTTAATGCTATTATATTTGATATTATCTTAATTAATAATCTTTATTTATTAATGTCAACTTAAAGTTCTATTTTTCTTATTTTGCTTTAAAAGCAAAAAACAAAACAAATTTGATGCCAAAGTATTCATAAAGCTGTTCCATCTCATCACATTCAATTAAACCTCATTAATCAGAGAAAACTAAACCTGTGTGGTCATAAGCGGTGTTACAGTAATGGGGATAACCAGAGAGTCGAGGATAGTTTAGTACAAAAATGTCAACAATAAAGACGTAATCTCAAAGTGCAGACACACAGTGCTTCTTTTTGCTCTGTACCAGGACAGTGCAAATTGGCCCACTTCCAATCTAAACCCTCCTCTCTCTCTTTCCAGCGGTACCTTGGTGCCGCTGTAGAAGTCGTCTGCCGTGGTGGCGTTCATGAAGCTCTCCTCCAGGTGGACGCTGGTGTCGATGCCCCCCGGGAGGACCAGTTTTCCCGAGGCGTCGATCACTTTGGCTCCACCCGGGATCATCAGCTCCTTTCCCACCTGCTGGATGATGCCGTTCTCGATGTAGACATCGGCCTCCTGGGTGCAGTCGTCGTTCACCACCTTGCCGCCCTTTATCAGGATCCGGACCGTCGCTGAGTTGGAAGACATGGCTGTAGCTCTGTGAGGAGGACAGAGAGGAAAAGATGTGGGTTCAACCCTGGTTGCATCTGGTTTTGTGAGCGGCTGCTGAAATTCTACTTCAAAAGTACATAAAACACAAAAAAGATGGAGATTTTATTTACTGTACCTCATCCTGACCAAGTGTAGTAAGTCTGGCAGAGACAGAATATGAGTGATGCTGCCCTGTGGCCGGTCTGTCAGGCTGTGACTGACATCAGCAACAAGACCGTGTCAGTCGCGGCCTGACGTCTGCGTGCACGGTGACGTCTTGGACAGAAAGAGGCTGAGAGCGGCTGAATCGCAATCGGGGGGACATAGGTCAATAAGGCCATTGTACCAAAAGGACTAAAGCGGCTTAAAGACACTTATAATGTCGTTCACTCAATACAGAGCTATAGTGAAAGAATCACAGTGGATCAAAACGATGAACCAAGAAAGTTGAAGAGTGTTCCTTTTACTTTTGTTCATGGAAAATAGCTTTACTCGATCTCAGTGCTTTCAAACCTGGGGATCGCAACCCCAAAGAGGGTCCCAAGGAGAATTCAAGGGGTCGCCAGATGATAACGGGTTGGAAATTAAAATAGACATGTTTTACTACAAAATTTACTCTTTTTTAAACTTTTTTTAAGTCTTTAGTCTCAACATATTATACTTTTAACTCTTTTACCTTGTTTAACTACTTTACTTTTACCTTCTATAAATGAAATGATGAAACTACAGTTTGAATTAAACATAACATAAATGAGGGCAATGTCTTTGATTTTATTTCTGTGAAATTGAGAATTGCATATGTTTGCAGTATTTCTGATTTCAGTAGATTCAAATTGGAATCTGTTACAGAACAACAGGATTAATTGATTCAGTATCCAGAATTGTATTCCCAGCAGAGTTAAAACAGGACTTATATGTTCTCTTAGTACGTTTGAACGATTGAACGCATGAATCAATATTGATGAAGAAATGTGTCTGTGTCTAGACTCAATCTCATGACCTCGGTTTCTATACAGTTCTGGCTTTTAGTCACAACCCCAAAGGTCTCTACTCCACAAAACTACAGTAAAGGTAATAAAAAAATGAAAAAGAAAATCGAACAGATTGAGATCATTTGTCATCAGTGATTATCTATTCAACAATAACAAAGAATCCATCTCCGGGATCTGCCTCCTCCCTTACACCACTGTAATAATGATGAATGATGTGTATTGTGTGTGCGTGTACCAATCCTGCGTGCTTGCGTGCACTTGTGCGTGCAAGATGCGTGCGTACGAGGGCGCGGCAACTTCACTGCATGGACTAAACATCCAGATCTGATGGTCGATAACCTGGAGGACGCGTTTGGCTGTGCATTCACGCCGACAGTCACATGGCGAAATACACACTTCTGCGAAATTCCCCGTGCACGCCCGTCTGAACAAGGGAGCGGCCCCTGCTATAATAAACTTAATACTGTTATTTTACGGGCCCGTTGCTCAGTTAGCTCCATGGAAGTTGACGCCGGGTCGTCAATAATAAACAGGTGAGCTTACGCTGTTTTAAGACGCAAAGGCACAAATATAACACACGCGTTGAGTATTCAACATATGCGACTATCATATGAACTACATGTGTTTTTTACTTTTTATTGTAGTAATATTACTAGAGGCCCATTGGTTATGGCCCAAATGTCTTATTTATTTATTTATTATATTTGTGTTACTCACATTACATTTGCATTAAATCCCCGTAATCGAATCCAACGCAATGGCCAGTACAGGTCAGTTAGCGGCAAACCGCATAAACATGCAGGCGTGTGATGTAAATCCACTGATTAGAGTGTGTTCGCGGTGGAATGATGACACTGCCACTTGTGCGACTTGACACAAAGAAACCGGTCTCCATCCGGCGCGATGGTGCCACTCGGCGTTCATTGGCGACCTAGAAAAAGCCGCCTTCCTCACACCTCCGTCCCCCCTGTCCCCTCTGTCCCTCCTGTCCCTCCTCCACTACGAAGACAAGAAGCACCGTCCCCGCACGGCCATGCTGCCCGGGGCCGGAGAGGCGCGCTGGTGCCACTATACGGACACCCAGACGTGCAGCCGGGAGGCATGAGAAACAAAGTCTCCCGAGCCGCAGGGAGGCGGATTCCTCCCCACCTCCCCCCCCTGAGGCACTACGGCCGACCAGTCCCGAATAAAGCCGGTGAAGTGGTCCACATACCTCCTCTACGGGTCAGATGCTGCTCCACTCGGCGCTCTGCTTAATTTTCTTACAGGAACAGAATGCAACACAATCCGCGGATGGCACTTCCCAACGTTATACATATGCACGCACGCACACACACACGCGCACACGCACGCCGACACTCACACGCACACAACAGATGGATGCCTCCCTAGCCGGACCGGGACCAGCAGACCGCAGCAGCATCCCCGTCAAGCCAGCAAGGACATACAAGGAAGACCTCCGGTCGTGGTTTTCAGAATAAAGGCCTAATTGTTCCACCTGTGCAGAGTGAGACCAACGTTGCCTAATAAACAATTTTGTTTCTTTTGTTGCAATTTAGCCATGCTTCAGCTTAACTTAATTTCAGAGGCAAATGAAAAGAAATATCCCCCCGTATGTACTATAGATCGGTGGAAAGAAAAGCTTTTGTCCACATTATATTGGATTGGGCTGAAATCTTGCAATGGCCTCATACTGTAAACAATTACATAATACTCAAGTCCTAATCAACACACTGTTTACAAATACCTCTATAGACGATTATGCAAATTGATCAATTTACGATGACTGCTCTCCACAAATATGTTCAACATTTGTATTAGCTTTATCAAAAACAAATGTTACAGTGACTTCATTTTCATTTTTGCTACATTTGTTGGGTTATTAGAGCAATCCATTGGCATTGGATGATGCCAACGAATTTGACAAGAAGAGCACACTGGGCTTGAAACATTTCCTTGCTTTTATTTTGTAGGATAATCGCAGGTCTTCCGGCACCATTCCTCCTTTTTCTGTTTAACTCAATGCAACCTGCAGCATCCCAGCAGTGAGCTGGTGACGCTCCAATCAGCGGTTTTCCGTGGAGACTCGGTCGCCTAAGCAACCAATTACTTTTCGGCGCAGGGCGTGTCCACTGTGAGGAGGCTGTACCACTATGGGAGGAAGGGGGTGGCATTAAGATCAGAGCAGAGCGAAGCCGGTATACGTTATACAATGTTTTATCTTTTTATTTATAACCATTAGGATTTAATCACTTGAATTTCTCCATACAGCTTTAATTGAATATTTTCCTTGCTTTGTCTTCTCAGATCTTGGTCTTATCCATAAAGATCATACGAGTAAAAAGTAAAAAGCAACATAACACGGATCAATATGTATGAGCATGTGGCATTTGTAGAAATGGGCAACACCCTTATTTAAAGCACTGAAGGAGGTGAAGACCCAGGTGGCAAGAAGCCATAATTCCCATTAAGGAGGAACAAACGACGAACCATAGATGATTATGAATATCCATATCTCCATCCATCCATCCATCCATTTTCAAACCGCTTATCCTGCACACAGGGTCGCGGGGGGGCTGGAGTCCATCCCAGCCAACTTCGGGCGATAGACAGGGTACATCCTGGATTGGTCGCCAGCCAGTCGCAGGGCTACACAGAGACATACAACCATTCACACTCACATTCACACATCTACGGGCAATTTAAAGTTCCCAATTAACCTGATCCCCAGAGCATGTCTTTGGACTGTGGGAGGAAGCCGGAGAACCCGGAGAGAACCCACGCAGACACGGGGAGAACATGCAGACTCCACACAGAAAGGCCACTGGGCGGAATCGAACCCAGGACCTTCTCACTGTGAGGCGACAGTGCTAACCACCACACCACCGTTCCACCCTATCCATATCTCTTCTATCATATTTTGGCAATAAATGTTTCCTGATTCCTGATCCCCTGACAGTTAGACGCTTAAGCAGAGCAATGAGAGTTTTAACTATTATTGTAAGTGACCAAATATTTGCATTATATTGGCGCCATGTGTCAATGGAAGCCCATTCTGTTACTCGAGATAAGGTTTTCTGTATTAAGTGGTTTTCTCCCCAGTTTCTTATAGTTACAAGATCTCTCGTAATTCTTTGCCAAAGAATTACTCTTTCCTATTTTGAATTAATTCTGAACTTCGCTCACCGCCTTGACAAATATGCTGTTAGATTGTGCAACATCCAATAATGCATTTTCCATATTACACATATTCCAATATTTAAGATACTAGAAACCCACATTTTAAAGCGCTTCAGTTTAAGAAATTGGGTACAATTTGATAAATATAATTAAAAAAGACCAGGAGAGGACAGACTTTAGCACAAAAACAGTACATTTATTCAAGTGTTCTCCAGCACAAGTACATACGGAGCCTCTATCATCTCTCTGGACACTAAACTTAAGTATGGGATGTTCGGTCAAAGTGGAGAATGACTGCTACATTTGCTGTACGAACTGGTCTTCAGGGAAAGCGTATCGGCCATAAACAGTTATGACAGAACGAAAGTCACAGAGTGTCAACAGTATCACAGAACGATTATTGACCTGACTTGAACAGTAAAACTCAAATGTTGTTTCTGATATATATATATAAAAAGAAAAAAAACATCAATTCAAAACAATATTTTGAAAACAGACATGGAGAATATTATGGCATGGAATGTAGGATTAAGAAGCAATGCGTTTTAAGCATATATTATGCTACAGTAAAAGTCATTACTGTCTTTTTTTTCTCACACACTTTTCCCACAAATAAGCACCAACTACAGCAATCGCTATTCTAAAACAATATAGGAAACCTTTCATTGTTTGTTATCCTTATTTTTTCAAGTACAAAGTTAAAATGCCTTTGTTAATATATTTATATGAGTGAAATAATAGTTATTTTGCGTTACTTAGAGGAACTTAAAAACAGTCATTGTCAAGATAGTATTCATCTTCCAATCAAATATATTCTTCTTGTTTAGATTAGATGTATAGCACCATCAGAAATACCGACAATTCCTCTTTTTAAGGTCTTACAAAAGGAAATAGATGCAAAATAACACCACCATGTAGGGCTGTGCAGTGAAGTCGAGAGCGTTCATCTTAAAGCTGTCCATAGGCCACTATAAAGATCACATGACATTGATATCTGTATTCACTGGACACAAACAAACCAGTACAATAGTCGACTTGGAGTCTCCCTACATCTAATGCTCGAAGCAAGTTTTGAATCAAATTTATCACTTGATTTTTTATTTTTAACCTAAGATTTCGTTCTAATTTGATGATATATATTAGCAAAGAATTATATTTGTACATCTCATACGTGATGAAAAAAAAAGAAGATAAAAACAAATTGAAAAAACAGCAACCAGAAAACTCTATGTACAAAATGTACAAACATGTGGGGATTTGAAGTATTAAATGGGGAAGGGAAAATAACAGCTTGTTAAAAGTATCACAAAGCACAAGAGCTCATTTTGAGCCCACTGTGCATGGACAAAAATTATGGCAATAAGGTCACTTAAGAAATTAATTACATTAAGAAATTAAATTTCAAATTTAGAATCTTAAATATGATATAGATAAGCGATAACGTCTGTTGCTATCAGCCTTTTTACTCTTTGAGTGGCGACATCTTCGTCGAACACTTGTCACTGTCAGTTTTTCGTTTTGACAAACTGTTGCCTAAATCCTCCATATTGATCTCAGAGGTTACAATCAAGAGAATTGTGTTTGTGAAAGCAATCCAAATTTGGATCAGCACTTAAATTTGTCAACATGACGACTACGATTTACCAGGGAAATGGCAAAAATATTATACAAAGCGCATGACATAGTTCCCTAACTCTGCCTTACATTTTACAATCTTAAAAGAAATAGACATTCTTTGACCCTGGGTAGTATCACACGGAATCGCTGCCTTTCAACAGGGAAAAATATTGATGATGGACTAAGGGAAAGGGGTTTGGGTTTGCAAATGTCAATCCATCGACTGTACACGGGAGTCAAATAACATGGGTTTCACATATCAAAATCCATTATTTCACTTCTATTGGCACAGCCCTACTGTATACAAAAAGTATTACACAAGGGTAGATCAGTTCACATCATAAAACAATTCACAAGAACCAATAACTTTTTTTTGAAATATCAAGGGGAAAAAAGGATACATATAAAAGTGCTTTATAATGTTAATAAAACAGCACAGAATTGCTATAAAAAGGTAGAAGAACTGTGTGAAGCCGCACCATATTGTTGAGGATTTGCACCGGACAGTTTTTCAGTTTAGAGAGGTGGAAGTTGATGAGGAGAGTACCCGGCCCGGTCACCCCTCCCTCCCTCCAGCAACCACCCAGTTGTACAGTAATATCATTGTTCAGGATGAAACTAGAAAAAAATAGTTTCACAGACGTAGATCTTAGGTTTTTTTTTTTTTTCTTTTTCTTTTTGAGTGACAATAAACATCATGGCCCACGCGGGTGGCTTCACTCGGTTTGTGCAGATTCAGGAGGCGAGGCTGAGAGATTAAATAAAGCAACGGTACAAACTGGGTAAGAGCCGTGAAAAGCAGAAAAGAGCACGCGCTCTAGTTTGCATTCTACTGTCATCAAACCCAATTGGTTTTCTTTCTGAAAATCAAACACAAGTTTTTCCAGCAACAGGTTAAAGAGCTCCGCATTCTCTAAAGTTGGGAGCGCCACGCGGGCCATGATGTTTCTCATCACCTTGGAGCACCATGGTATTGTAACCATATTACAGTAGTACCTTTATTACCTTCAGTTGTGTGTATAAACTGTAAACAAAGAGGTATATGTGATCTGGTGTTTTGGATTCTTAGAGAGGCAGCTTCCCTGACACTGAAGACAATTATCTTTCTCTTCACATCTCCGTGAGGCTCAGTAGCTGGAAGCATGGCCGCACGTACAGTACGCTCACACAGCAGAAACATTTCACATATCTCGAAGAAAAACCTTTCCTATCTGCAGGTTCTTTCCTATCTGTCGGGTCTTTCCCATCGCATTGCCGTCTCTTTCAAAACACGCGTGTTCAGCACTTTTCTGTCTCAGTGTCGTGAGAAGAAAGCATAGTCTCAAGTATAGCTTGCACAAACAATTCATCAATACTTGATAACACTGCTAAAAGGTAAATGACATATCAAAATTAAATAGAATAAGAATTACAATTCAAACACAAGAAGTAATGTGAAATCTACGTCAACGTTTCGCTTGCAAATTATACAAGAGTATAATTCGAGGATCAAGGCTCTTATTTCATACAGTTGTAGTTCCTACATGTTTGCGAGAAGGATTTCTCGCGGTTCAGTTACAGGCAAAGTAATCTTTGAGTGGTGCAAACAGGTGGCGGATAACTGGTACGCTCCACGATCGGCCCAGGAGCCTTTGCCTCGCCAGTCGGCTCATGTTGGACACGTCCGTGTAGTGGACTGGGAAGCCAAAGATCCTGAAAGGGAAACCAGTCAGAACCAAAACAACCAGCAAATCAGCCCGGCAGGAAGGGAGCGGAATAGGGGAGGACAAAGGAAGATCATTTTGAGTATTTTGATTGCTGAAACAGTTGTGGCGGTTTAGTTTTAAGGACAGTCTTTGTGTTTTCGTACCTTTCCATCTCGGTGCACCAGAGGATGTCTTCCTTCTCGTTCATGTAGACAGGGAAGTGCTGGTCCTTGCCCTGCTTGATTGAATTAGACCTGGTGGTGATGGTCCTCACCTTGCCAAACTAAAAGAAACATTATTCTATGAGTCGGACTAAATTGTTCTTCATCGTTCAATGGATTTGAAAGCTACACAACCTGATATTTTACCTCCTTCATTGCTGCAAGGACTGCATTACAGATCAGATCGCTTGATAAACACGAGGATCCAAGTTGCTTTGATTTAAGAAATTACATTGAGTGTTGTGTTTTTCTTTTCTTTTGTCATTTAATTTCACATCTCCGCTGTGTTCAAAACAAACGTATCCCATGAGAGGATAGAGAATTCATATAGAATTCACTGTGAAGATCTGTGAATTCACTGATTAAGGGTGATTTTGGACAATAGCTTCCAGCACCTTAATGTAATGTAAGGAGTGGCATAATCTGTTGTAATATAAGTATTGATCAAGTACCTTTGCCGTTCTGCCGTGTTCTAAACAGTCCTGGAGGTCCACCCTGTCATTGAACATAGCACTCAAAGGCCTGTAAAAGACAAAGGATAGGAGACAGAATTTGGCAAGATTATTATAAGATTGAGTTGGTTGTCTTTTAAAATGTCCTCTAAAATAGACTCCTATAAACCCCTATGTTCAAATGTACCAACACCTGAGCAGATTTACATACAACTAACTCTCTGGGCTAAAGTATTATTAAATTAATATATGAATTACTCTATAGACAAAACTATTTCTTATTTTACCCTAAACTAAACTAAATCATTTATGGATTAAAAATCATTTATTTTAATTTGTTTTAAATAAAACATTTTTCCAGAACAACATATTTGGATGTTGTTACATTGACATTCAAAATATACAAACCTGCATTAACAAACTGTCTTGTCCTGTGATCCATTTACTAACCAATCAGATGTCTCCAGTTCAGCAGAGCACGTAAGCGTAAAAGCGTACGTCAGAGTTCACCTCGCGCTACATATGCGCGTTCTGCAATTATGAATTAATCAACGTTGAAACAGTTGTTAATACACGGCGCCTCCTAACGGCACAACATATGTAAGTGAAAACACAACACGTTATGGTTGTCGTAGCGTTCGGTGACAACATGTCGATTAGGAATGAAGGCGCTAACCTCTGCCGTTAGTTAGTGTATCATTCAACGTTAGCACGCTAAGCTACATAAGCTAGCTAGCAATAGTTACCGTGCTAATACGCTTTCTGCTTCACATCTTGCATGGAACAAATAACCTTAAGCTAATTCGGTGTCGGAAAAGTAATAATAAAATACTGTAAAGTAAAGATTAAGCCACATTTGTGAAAATGCATGCACGATGTACTGTTTTTAGTGTCACTGAAAGGTTCTGTGTCAGTGTTTTACTGTTATATATGATGTTATCTTAATCTTACTGCTCATTACAGTGTATGTTTCATTTCGCTGCAGTGGAGGTTCATGGTTTTGTTTATTGTAACTTCTTTATATACTGTTGGCTAAAGTGTAAGCCACAGCAATGCATCCTGAGAACCACGTAATAGCTCTAAAACAGCAGTTCCCAAACTTTTTAGGCCACGCACCCCTTTCTACATCCTAAATTCGTTCATGCACCCCAAATCCCCCCCACGGGTCCACAGAAAGTATGTTTATAGCTGCATCCAAATTGGACGCTCATGCTCATGTTTGTTTACAGTATTTAGTCTGCAGAGGAGCAACTACAACATTGTATCATATTAATTCTGAATCCGGACAAACCAAAAAAAACGTTAACTCTCCGTTTCTATCGCCCTGGATTCCTCCGTCTCTCTCTGTCCCTCTCCTCACTCGCGACTGATAGATTCAGATTATTACTCCATTAGACCACATCACACGCTTCCTCTCGCGCTCCCCACTTTAGGAATCCCTGCTTTAGAGCAGTCTTCCTCTGTTTGCTTCATAGGGTCACAGCACCCACAGGAACAACACCAGTCGCCTGAGTAGTTTGTCACTTTAAAGTGGCTCCTCTGCTCAAATATCCAGCCACAACATTAGACAACATTTTTAGATTTTACATTTCAGATAACAATACGCTACACTTTCTGTACTCCAACACAACACTGCCTGGCCATTCATGTTTCCACCATTGTCTCCAGGCAACATGTCACCTTGTGAGATCTGAGGAAGATTCTTATTAAGCGCATCTTCCAACACGGCTTTGATCCAACTCCAATATTATACATTGTTGTCTCTAATCTAATCTAGTCAGCAAGACACAAACGCATTGGAAAATAGGGTCCAAGTTGAGAAAATACCACTGTAATGACGTAAACGACAGTGAAAGATAAAATGTACTTTGACATGTTTGACAGGGGCTACGGTCTCAAGAGGCAAGTCCTTGTTTCTCGGCTCGGGAGCTGTGCCCATCCCATTGCTTGAAGTGAGCAACGCAGAGAACACACCAGTTAGGACGGGCACACGTGTCCTCGCTATCAAAACAACCCAATACGAGTGTGATTCAAGCCACGCCAGGTAACGTATTTACTCTACCACAGCATTATACCTGATATTTCTACACTTGGCAGTACAAAGAAATCAAAATAACACATAGTCCAGTAGTAGTTTGAACATCTGATATTTGAGTTTGTCTTTGACCTTTTTTGTTTGCGGCTCTATCCATTAGAGGGTTTCAGGATTTTGGGGGGGTGGTGGGTGTTATGTTAAATTTTGCTGCCTGGTCACTTTCATATCCTGTCTTGATTACGGTAAATGCTGTGGACTATAGTCCCCTGTTCCTCGTTGGATATATTTCTCCCATATGTTTGTCACAGGCAACTGCTTCCCTCACACTTCACACACCAACCTGTTCATGCCAGGGAGGTTACCCCAGAAGTAGCGGGCGCGGTGGGCAGCAGACACTTCCTTGGCGTCGATCATCACCGGGTTGCACTGGAATCCAAGTGAAGCAGAGAAAAAATGACACCAGGAACCAAGGTAACTACTGCGTTACATACAGTGTCTTACAGTAGAAGTGGATTTACCAATCAACGTCACAGTAGCTCAGTACTGGATACAAAAAACCCTGTGTAGTTAGGGGTCAAATTGGGTTCATGTCATCCCCATCCCATTCAAATGGGTTAAAATCAAACACAAAATAGAATATTCTATCAAACAGTGTGCCTTAACATGACAAAAATCAATATGACAGCAGAAGACGAGTACATTAACCATAGCATATTTGAATAATCACATTAAGATTAAGACAGACAGTGCTCCCTTCTTCCCTCTCTAAAGATAATGAATTGGAACCACAAGGGGGCATTCATAAGCCGTGTGGCCTTTGCGTCACATCAAACAGTATTTAGAAGTTATGACCTGGAGAATAAGATCAAATTTGAGCAACAACTTCAGCAGGACAGAAAGAAGCTGACCTCTAAAAAGCGAGATATGTCCCTCTTATCGCTGACGCCCATGGCAACCACATTTTCAAAGAGCCAGAAGAAAGGCCGGTTATCCCCCTCTTTTGGCCGGGCCTCGTGGAGAAGCCTGTAGAACTCAAAGAACAGGCGGCCGGTGCCCTCTGGGACAGAAACATGCATCGATCAGGGTTGGAATTCAGTCAGGGTTTGTCTTTTTAAGATAATAATAATTTCGGTATTTGACATGATCTTAATTCAAAACAACATAAAAAGCAAAGTCATAGCAGTGAGCAGTAAACCTACCAAAAAGACCTTTCCGAGCAGGATTGACTATGGAGAGGTCATTGCATGGGCTTCCACCAATAACTAGGTCAAAAGGACCCCACTCCTGTATCTATGTGCAGAGAAGATACAGAGTCAGAAACACAGAGATAAAGCCAGAACCAGTATCGATAGTAATATGTTACAACACACTGTTGTAGTTCGTAAAAAGGGCCAGTCCAGTTGTACTTGTGCAGTCGAGTCGATGCTTAATACATTCGTTACAGTATTCTAGTTTATCGCCTGTGTGTACTTTGGAGCAAGATTTTTGTTTTTCTCTTGAAAATATTGGCCAGTGTTGTGGTGTGAAGAAATTGAAATACTTCAGATTTAGTAGCGGTAGCATTCTCATTTGATGGTCGTTCCTGCTGGCATCGCCTGTATCTCGCTGCAGTTTACACTATGTGTTGTCTCCATCGAGCATCTCTTCAAAATTGTGTCTGTTTCCTTCCCTTTTGTGTTAATGTTTGAGTACAGAAACTAAACCAACGTCACTTGGTGTGCATGTTAAAACTAAAAAAAGATAAGCATACTTCACAAACCCGAGCAGAACAGGTAACAAAATCAAACTCACGTGTTTGCGCGTGACATTCCTCACGTCGCCGACGTACATGATGCGACCCTGATGCCGGACGATGCCCACAGTGATGGAGTCTTCGCACACTTCGGAAGCTATGTAGCGATCCACTTCAATGCCAAGTTCTTTCAGCACCAATAGCCCTGCACAGGTTGAGGTCAAAGGTTAGACAGAACATAGAAAGCAGAGGACACCAAAACCAAGGAAACAGTGTATTATAAAACAAAAAAACAAATGTGTCGCTCTGGAGCTCCTGTGATTCATAAACAAATCATACTCAGAGTAGTACTAAAAATGTCACACAAAACGTTGAGTCAAACGAAATAACATATTTCATGTGTGATTCTTGATAGTGAACAAAGTTGCTACTAGGAATGCACAGTAAAAAAGTATATACATATTTATTGTCCAATACCAGTATATAAATGACATGCAAGTCGACTAAGAGGATGTCTGCAACCAAATTTATAATGAAAATCTCTTTAATACAGATCATGGCTTTAGAAATAAATCTATACAGTTCTTGTCTAACCTGTTGCTATGCCGTCAAATAGAGACAGGACACGAATGGGCTTCCTCTTCTCCACCATAACTGGGGGGTAAATATTTGGTGTCTCCTGAAATGTAACACAGAGAGAGAGAGAGAGAGAGAGAAGGAAACATCAGACACAACGGGAAAAAAAGGCTCCTCAGTGTGAAATCTGGTGGGATTTATCGCCTAAGGGTCCATTACTCACAAAATCCTGGTCATGATTGTTTGCAAAGAAGTGCTGGAGCCGGTTGGGCCAGTCACTGCGACGGCCCAGGAGGCCGAACGCATCCTTCTGACCGCACATGAAGCAGTTCCACGGGTCCTCTTTGATGGCCGCGTGGGCCGCTCCCTGACCCACGAGGAGGTCGACACACTCCACACAGAAACACCTGCAGACAAGCCCAGGGGGTTAATGAGTACAGGGGATAATTGATCTACCTGGTATCTAGTAGAACATGGTGTTCTTTGGTGCAAAAATGATTAACATACATCAGTATCAGTACACTAGGGTGACCTATTAACATGATTAACACACAAAAACATGGACAACATTTATTTCAGTGTATGTATTCGTGACCCATCTTTTAAAAAGTTACTTGAAGAGCGCGGACCTGAGAAATACAGACAGGGAATTAAAACAGCACATTGTTGGTTTCTTTTTAATGGGTTGACTATAATAAAAACAGGTGATCCTTATCCTTGACCAGAGAGTAAATGATTGACCACTCCTCCCAAAATCAGTTTCTAAATCCATCTGGGGTCAGTTAAGGGACAACATCCGTCTCCACTTTAAATCTTCAAGGCTGTAACCGTTTTGAATAAGGATTTTGAGTTTTGATTGAGTTTTGGTTTGATTAGTAATTCCCAAAATCCAAATGCAACACACAGGAAACCATTGTTTTATGTCAATTGGCCTATCGGCCTTTTTACTGAATAGTGATCCAGTCAATTTATTAACTACACTTTTTAAGAGATGTATGTTAAGAGGCTATATATCTAACATATTTATAAATAAGGGTACAAAACATTTCTGTAAATATAAGAAGTAATTGCTTAACGTCTGGTGCACACGATGGAGTGTACAAATGATCATTCCTACTTCACATATGGGATTTTTCTTCCGCCTGGTCATTGTGGATCAAAGTTATGGAAGTTCAGGGTGCATGGTTGGATTTAGTAAGCAGTCAAATTTGTTTCTTTGGGCACATATTATTCGCCGAGTCTGTAGATAAAAAATCTCCTTGGACCTAATATAGTAAGTCTGTTTCAGGAATGGCTAAAAACCTAATGTTCATTTTCATGGTGGACCGGGTCCCTCTTCAAATTGTGCTACTTATATTGATTTATTTCATCAAATTGTTAATAGTGTCAATTGCCATAACTTGAAATACTCTAAAGCTCTGGCATTTGTCTTATTTCATGTGCATTCAAAAAATGGATTTAAAATCCCAGAAATTAGTTTGCGGTCCGACTAACACTCTTCTTTTAATTATGTCGTCCCGTTTCAGCCTCTTCATTTGCAACAGTTTAATACCTTCTGTCTGGATAATTCCCCAAAGCCATAAGCAGTTTACCGCGCGCCTTTCAACTCCTCATATTTGCATATCAGTCGATGGAAACATGCATGAATTTGCATATTCCTTCAAAGATTTTCTCATTTAGTTAGCCTGATAATTATACACTTTGTTTAGATACCATGACAACGCCTACACAATAACTACAGTATATCCGTAGTTTGTATCGATGAACACACTGAGACACTTGTGGTTTGTGTCACCACCTGCCGACTCCATTACATTATTATCATCCAGCGGGAATCTTACCGACAGCAGTTGTGGTTTCCACACATGAGCACCTCCCGTCCTCCGCAGCAGATAGTGCAGTAGGACTGGTAACCATCGTCGTCATATTGATATGCACATTCTAGGAAGCAGTTCTGTGGAAAAGAGACAAACCAGTGGTTGACAGCAGCAGGTTGACATTTTTAAAACCTAAAAAAAAAAAATCAATGGGGGCTCCATCAGGTGCTGCTTGAAATGTGTTCCGTTTATTAGCTTTGAAAGGAGCTGTGGGTTTTTTACGACGCTGCAGAGGAGCGGCAGACTTTTAATGACCTCCAGTGCAGCTTACCTTACAGCTCTGGCACATTCCTCCGGCAAACAGCGGGTGCTCCAGGCTCACATTCAGACTTCCACAGGAGATACATATGTCTGCAGAAAGAAGTTCAGCCATGTCAGTATTTAACAGAGCCAGGTCTGAGCGGTGTGAACCCCTCTGACGGAGATGTTTGAAAAGTGACCTCACAGTAAAAATCAGGGAAACGTTTTTTTTTCTCTATCACATCTTGGATCTTTTATAGTTTTATCAACATTGACGCACAGGTGTCGGCTGCTTTGCTTCAAACCATAAGGTGAAGTGTGGCGAGCAGTCCCCCCCCCCCCACACCAGGCTGCTCACTCACCTTCTAGGCTGCGGCACTTTTGTCTCACTTCATGAACAAGCCGTTCTGAAAATACAACACAACACATGACAAAGGTTTAGTTATAGTTTAACAAAATGAACACTTTCAACCAGTTTCACTTAAGTTGTTTTAGACTATTCATCCAAACAGACAAGACAAAAACAATACAGCTACAAATCATACACCTGTCAATAATGGTTTGTGCATTTTTATATACAGCTAATAATTCTGTTTTTTATGTAAAAGCCGGATGAAATTATACTAGAAGTTGGAAATCTGGATTTTGTTTTACTCAATATTGGGATTTAATTTTTTGGTAGTCAGTAGGCAGACTGCAGCAGGCCACTTTTTTGTGGTTGTGTTAAACCTTGCAAAAACACTGTAGAAAGTTAAGAATGCTAGAGTTTATCAAATATTTGTTTGTTCCCTGTAAAAAAAAAAATCAAAGAACTTGAGAAGGTATATGTCAAACTACCAACCTTTTATGTAAATTAAAAGCCACAAAGCCACAATATTTACCCATGTGCTATACCAAATTCTGGGAGGAGCTATTGATAGAGAAAATGTGAATACAATAATGTTTTGGTTGCTACTTGGTTTGTAAGACAGATTAGCATCATTACTCCTGGCAATACAAGTCCAAGTCACATTAAGTGCTTCCAATTTAAGTTCAGCAAATGGTTGGATTATTAATTACACGACAATGGGTCCGAGCTATGTCGATTGTACGATAATACATCACATGTCAATATTGTTGAAAAAATATGCTTCAAATGATTTAGCTTTTAACATATTGAAATATCAGGTAAAATTGGTAGTCCTGCTTCGTCACATCACTCACTTCCATCTTAAAAGCTGCCGTTCTAATGGACCTGTTGTCCACACACTCCGACCACTTACACCTGCCGCGTCCCCCCATGGGAGGAAATGTGTAGTATATGACTCCTATTCAACCTGCTAAACGAGGCACCTTACCTCGTGTCCTCTCGTCAATGACATCCTTGACCTTGGGTTTCTCTGCCGTGCTTTTGCGAGGCTTTTTGGCCGGCGGGGGCGTGTATGCTGCTGCCTCAGGCTCCACCCACATCTCAGGGTAGACCTCTTTATATGGGTTACGGTCCTCTGGAGTGCACAGCGTGTCAAACAATAAATATTACTGGCAACATTTTGAATCATCCCGTAATATGTTTCATTTCATAGATTTGTAGTTAAAGAGTGTAGCTTTTGTCTGATATCAGGTTTCATACACTAGAGTTTCTTCAAAATGCAAGTGAAAAGTCACAGTTTCCGGCAAGAAACAGAGACAAAGGTCCAACAATTCCAGCTTTATAGTAGTGACTTCCTCGTACCTTCTGGAGGCTCTAAACCCTTTGGTCCAGTGGGTTGAAATCCTGTCATAGCCCAGTCAATCATCTGCTTGTTCAGCATTTCAACTGATTTCGAGGTGTCTGTCTCGTCACTGTCTGGACAGGCCGTAAAGGATTTTCCCGCTCGGCTGCTAGCCGCCTGTAAACAAATGAAAACATTTATGACGGAAGTTCACCCTCATTATACTATACTCTTTATTCCTCATCTTTTTTTGTACAGTTTTATGTGTGTCCTTTCTATAGTTCTTTCCGACTAGGATAATAACAATCTGAGCCTGTCAGGCGCAAAAACAAGCACTTTGACGAAACGCAAGCTGACGGTACCAATTGTACCAAAGGATTTCATTGGCTGCAGAGCTCTCGCTCAATACTGGACCAATTTACAAAAAAAAAAACCTTTATTCTAGACAGTTTGAACCATTTGGCTGAGTTTGAGAGGCATATTTTTAGTGCACAAGTTTGTTAAAGATCATTTGAAATGACCGTTTATGAAGCCGCTGCTCTAATTACTCACCTGTAGCACCTCATAAATGGCTTTCTTGTACATGGGCTGCTTGTTGTAAGTCGGTTGGTGAAAGGCATTACTGAAGGAACTTAAAGGCATGAGTTTCTCTACACAAACCTGTAAAATAACACAAAATGTTAGAATGATTGTGTTGTTGAGCCAAAACGCGTTTGTGTTCACGCTGGTCGTCGCGCCAAACCCATCATCCAATTCAAATTCAAATGAACTTGCAGCAATATGAAAAACTCACCACTGAGAACTTTCCATCTCCGAACCACATCACCCATCTGGTTCCGTCGGCAGCTCTGCTGCGTCCCGTCATCCACCAGGACACGATGCGGCCCGGCCACCACGAGAAGCCGCGCAGCTTTCCCCACACCAGCTCGCCAATGCCAAAACCACGACTGTCCTGCAGCCAAAGTGACAGACAAATCGTCCATATATTCACATTTCTTTTGATTATTGTGAAGACCCTTTTTTTAAAGTCAAGTTTTACGTAGGGAGCCCACGCCCTCACATTTGCCACAAGAGGCTTTACAGTCTGTACAACAGCCGCCCCTCAAAGCTTTGATTTGTATAACATTTAAATTCTCAAAAGACAGACATCCGGTGATGATTTAATTGCATTATTCAACTATATACCGAAATAAATAATATGGTGACAATAATTTGCAGTTTAATCAATTCCTGAATTGGGGCACTGACAAATTCTTCCGATTATATAACGATTTCATTGATTAATTGTTATATTCATTCTAAAAAAAGCATCCCAAAGATGCTTTGGGATCATTCTTATGATCACTTGAGACAAAAACATCCATCACCTCAAGGCTAAAAACGTTTTGGTCATTTTTGAAATGCTGTTGACACTTTGGTGTTATCAGTAACTTCTTACCTCGTACTCCGGCTCAGTGTCCGCAGGCTTAGGGGACGTCTTGTCTCCGTCGTCGATGGCGACGGGTTCGGGGGTCGTGGCCACAGTGGGGGAAGCGGGGTCAGTAGGCTGCTGAGGCGGCTGTGGCTGCTGATGTTGTTGTTGTTGCTGTTGCTGTTGTTGTTGTGGTAGCGACGGCTGTGGCTGCTGTTGACTCTGAGGCTGTGACTGAGTGTGCTGCTGCTGCTTTAAAGGGGATGGGTGCTGGATTATTGAGACGTCTTCTACCTGAGTCTCTGTTTCATTCTCCTCGGGATCCTTCATCGCGTTCATTGCTGACATCAGTTCGGACTTTTTTTCTGCCTGAAACACAGACCAGTGACAGCGGGGATGAGGACCGGTCTTCTAAATGCAGTGCACATTGCATTAAAATAGAAATAAAACTTGTTTTGGGGATGTTTAACTTTCAGCATGTTTCCAGGTTTTTAGTTAAACACTGAATGGGGGGTGGAATCATATCATTTCCGTTCTAAGTTGCCAACAAAGACCTCACTGGGATAAAAACAACTGTTTCCCGATATGTTGTTGTGCAAAATTCACTGCCAATACTGCCTACACATTTACAAAAAATTAGGGAAGTTTGGTGAATTCCTCTCCCACTAATTAATGAAGAAACACTTTGTTCTAAAAGAAATAGAAGGAAACACCACGGCTGACAAACTCAAAAACCAAAACAATGTCCTCGGAAACAAAAGACTTTTTTTAGGCCACAATAGCCAGCTAACCATTTCTCCCTCATTAACCTTTGCAAAGTAGAGAATGACAAAATGAATCAGGATCTATGTCAAAGAAGAAATAAAGTAGAATCTGACCTCGCATTGGTGTGTGTCTTTCACATGTGACCCACTATTATATTGATTAATCCCCGCTGCATGATCACATAACATATGTTATTGTGCATTCTAACTGAATCATGGCCACGCAGATCTCTCAGGAAAAAAAACTTTTACTACTAAAGACCGTTAACATGGAGGCCGTCACACTTCCATCTGCGCATCACAAGTTGTGCGTGTCGCTTCGTCTGTGTATGTGCAGAATCTTGATTGTGGGAGCATGAAAGCCTTTGTAAACACTGCTTTATCTCCGCCAGGAAAGCCCATTCATCAGCAGCACGGTAAACAGTAACTATATAGTGTCCAGAGCTAAAGCCGGGAGTTCACTGGGTTCGGAGTACCTGACACTGAAACGCGAGGTCGATCAGAGAGGACAGGACGCACCCGGGACTTAAGCCTCTCACAGCAAATCCCCGACAGCTGCACTCATTCTGATGTCTGTCTGTCTCTCTCTCTCTCTCTAAAACACACACGGTAGGAGTCGCGTGGACGCACATGTGAATCTTCTCCTCCTCCTTTTCTCTTCAAACAGGCGGTCCTATACATAAACATGTGTTAGTCATACTATAGGGTCCACGTGAGTGCAGCTGTGCTCACTTTGCTCACTTTGCTCTCAGTCCTCCTCGGGTCTCTCGCACACTGTAAATGTCCAGAGGTGGACTGGGTGTGTAGGAAGAGGAGCGGAAAAGGCAAAAAGGGGGAGAGACTGCACAGTCCTTCGTCTCCTCTCTCTCTCCCAGTGTGACTCGTAAACAATAGCGCCTTAAGGGGAGTCGGTGCTTAGGCGGCACAAGGAGGGGTTTCGACGCAGGAGAGTAGAAACATGTGCTCTTCAATCAAGAGGCTCTGTTGTGGTTTATACATTTTCTGTACTGGACCGGTGGATGGCTGGTTCAAAGCCTTTGGCTCCACTACCAGCACGTTGGAGTCTGTGTTCCAAAGCCATGTGTAGTACCAGATGGCGAACCGCAAAAACGGACAAATGTCAATGAAATGGCCAAACGCGTTATGTGTATGGGGAGAAATCTGCAATAATATTGGCAAGTGAGAAGGGCAGAATAACTGCACGGCGACATTTTGCGTATTTACTCCTGAGTGAGCTTCTTCCTCTCCGGTGACCAGTAATCACAAGGACACCGGGAGATGTGTAAATGGCAATAAAGCGTCAATGTGCTCGTTTAGGGTCAGACTGTCTCCAGGGCTCCTTCTCCTCTGAGCCAATCACAAAGTGACGCTAGAAATGCCAGTGGAGGGGGGAGGAGGGGCGAAAGTACAGTTGGCTATAAGAACCAGATATTTATCTTTGGACCTCTTCCCAGTTGTAAATGACCCCCTTTCGGGGGCCTCTCAGTGCGTGTGCAGCTCCACGAGCAAGACAGGCGATCCGAGGGTAAAGGGGAAAAAAGGAAAAGAGGTGGCAGCAACAATGCAGTCTTTATTATTTACACACGCCGACCCTTCACTGACAGCTCTGAAATACCACCTCTTCTGTCGGCTGCCACGGTGCGCTGAAACAAATACCACAAATGACAGCAGACATACTATAGATGTACAAACACAACCTCACAGCCAACACATTGGCACCTTTTCTGCCTGGAAAAAACATGTTATACATGAATACAACGGAAAAGCCGACCTAACTGTGCTGAGGTAAGTGTGGATTTTCTTATGGGTGGAGTGAAAGCAGAAGCTGTACAGGGCTCTGGCAGAGTAGAGGCATGTTGGGTGCACAATAGGGGATGAATAACCTCACCTAGAGGCCTAAGTAGCATGAAACCCTGAGGGCCTACGGGTTGACAGAGTGCACGGTGGGGCAGAAAAGACAGACGAGGTATTGGGCTCTGGGGTGTGGAGGTAATACCTCAATATCTAATCCTCGCTGTAATTGTTAACAAAAAGGTTCTGTTTACAGCAGAGTTTCAGCTTTTTGTATGACAAAAGTTATTATAACACGAAGAAAAGTCTCAGAAGTCAAAAGTGCAGTTGTGCAAAGCAGTGTGAAAAAGCCACCGAAAAGTCATGTAAAACCACGACAACAACCACAAGCTTCGAACAAGCGAGACAATGTTAAAGCTGCAGGTCAGGGGCCAACGAATTAAAACAAACGAGCCTTCAGCAAAAAAGTTACAAGTTAAAGGAAATAAACTGTCACTGAACATTACTTCCCCTCCCGACGCGACAGCGAGTCTTTTGAAGCAACACAAAGGAGTTTGACCTTTCGAATGCAATAGTCTCTCATGCGCAACAGGCTGCAGACACTCAGCGGGGACGGATCTGTCTAATTGTTTGATGCATTATGCGGTGACACATGTCCACGGCAAAAGGTTGAGCTGCTGAGCAGGACGGTGGACTAATACAAACAAGTCACGGCAGGTGTGGGTAAACTCAAGATGCAGCAGACCAGAGAACACTGCCAAAGCTGATCCCAAACCTCATAATGAATTGCGTTGCGTGTAAAGTGGAATTAATGTCTGGAAAAAGCTCAAGTGGCAGATTCCATTGTGCAGAGACGTGCCCACTGCATTTAGTAGCGTGATTTTAGCACAGGTCCCTACAAAGCGGTGTATTTCATGAGTAGCGTTGGGGGCGGAGGGGGGGGGGGGTCGTCACATCCAAATAGGCCATCTGGTCCTCATTGTATTGCATCCTTTTAAAAAATAATTAGGAATATTACACAGTCGGCCCTGAATACATCATCTAAATTCCCATGAATCCACAAGGAGTTGTTGAAAGGGCTCCCTTCCAACTGTTCTTGCTTCCTGCAAAGCCCTTTAAAGTCTTTTCAAGTTATCAAAAAACACTCGCGGTAAATCTCTGACCCGAGTCAGCCTGACTAAAGTACACAATGACAGGAAGGAAGGAGATTCGGGGCCTACACAACAACCCCCCCCCCCCCCCCCCCCCCGTTGTTCCAAGTTATGCAAGGGGAAATCATGGGGGCTCTCACAAAAAAGCAGAATCCCCTAAAATGATGCTACTCTGACATTTCAAGGGGCCGCTATGAAACAGGGAATAGTTTCAGCACGCATTCTCCCCCACGGGAAAAACCTTTTTGCACACAAGCATTTTTTCTTTTTTTTTTCTTCTTTCATCGGATGGCGAATGCCCGCTGCCTCTTCTTCTTCTCTTTTAAAGAGACGGTTTCCCTTTAAGCCTCGCGGAGCAGATGGTCCACGACAACTCTTATGGAAATACCTGAAGTCAGCATATTCTCCCTCGCCGTAAGCGGGCTAATCATGCACACTATGCCTCCATGTTATCAAACAAACAATGCAGTGCACGTACCCATACACACCAGCGCGCAACCCTCATAATCCAGTGTGGGGCTTGAGTTTTTTTCACCCCCACTCTCAGGGTAGAAGAGATCGCTTAAAAAAAGAAAGCATGAACATTTCTTTGTCTGGGAATTCAGGGTCAGGTGATTGCCGACAGGAATTCTGGTTGGCTAGAAAGGACTTGCAAAATGTGGGCAGCGGGCCAAGAGGCTGTCTTGCAAGCAGGGCTGGAAATTTGCTGCAAACCTCATCTTCACCCTCATATCCATAGCACAGAGTTCATTTCCATAGCTGGGGGAGGGGTCAGGAGAAGAATGGGGGAGGGAAAACAGAGAGGGAGAGACGGAGAAGTCCACTGTAACACAAGGCACATGGAAAAGAAGAAAAAAAGAGAGCGAGGGAGGGAGGGATCCTGGAGAAGTGTGAGACGGCAGTAACCCTTTCAGCCACAATGCCTGCGCCGCTGCAGAAACAGCAAAACTAAACTCTCAAAGCTGGCCATCATGTTACTCCTCAGGCTTTGATGCCAAAACAAATCACTCTTTGTATAAAAAAAAACACCAAAGCTTGCGATACGCTAGATGAAAAAATAAGAAAAACACAAATCTGGCTTAAATCTAAACCTTTTAGAGCAACTTGTTAAAGAAAATGCTCCTCCGTTAGGCACACGCGTGCTGCCTACATGCCTCGTATTTCACTTGAGGGACCCTAGAATGTCCCGCTAACCTTTGGCAATATTTCCTCCCTGGAGACATTTTTAAGGCCGCCCTTACGAGAATAGAGCGGGGGAAAATGGGAAGGCATAAGTTATGGAAGACCCCATGTTGATACTACGGATACTCCTGCTTATGTAACAGGTCACACTACATCCCATTACTACCGGTAGCCACAATTTACATGTCTGAATATATGACGGTGGGGAACATTGAATATTTAACATCATGCAGCATCAGGAGCGTCGAATAACGGTCAAAAGGGAAATCACAGTTTTGAATGAGATGCACATTCTCTTGACATCAGAACGTTGAAAAAAACAATGTCACCACAAGGTCCATTTGGAGCCCCGTGTAAATCTTGAGGATCGTAAGATACAACTGAGAACTCCGGGATAGCCTCTAAACGGAACTGTTTCAAGGTTAACAACACCTTTTATTATTGCACGTCCTCTATGTGGAAAGTTTCATTGGAAGTATTTTAAGTCAAACAAACCGCTTCGATGAAATCGGAAGAATAAAGCAGGAGCAAATAAACAAAGAGGTCATGCCATGAACAAAGTAAGGAAACGCAGCAGAGACCTGAGCCAGAGGCCCCGCAATGCCACTGAAATAAATGGTACCTTCGTGAGATTCCAAATGACCCATCAAATACACTTGGCCGTTAATGCACCACGCGCCCTAGCTGCAGCAGCTTTTGTTCCACGCCTGACTTGTGATCTACGGTGGCTGGGACGGAGCTGGGGTACTCACCTCCATCTTCCACTTGGCCAGCCATTCCTCTCTGGTCCTCTTGCTAATGTAATAAGGGTCACCAGCCTGGAAGGTTATTCTGGGCATGGGCCTCTGACGAAGGCTGATCTCCCAACCAACTCCCCTCCTGCCTCGACCTGCCTGTTTATGCTGTTCAAAAAAAAAAAAAAAAGTTAGCTACTTGTTTTGGATTCTTCCTTTTTCTCTCAGAAGAAACAGTCCAGATCTGGTGTAAATCTGTGCTTCCAGTTAGCCACTAGTGCAGGTGATACAGACTGTGAGTAATAAGTGGTTGAGGCCGTAGGGTTTTAAAATAGATGTGGTCCTGCGTGTTGGTGTGCTGTATGGTGCCGTCAGCTTGTGATTGGTCGGGCAGCAAGAAGTGATGCCACCGCGTCTAATCGCTCCTCCCTGGCAACAGTCTCGAGGTCCCCAGCACCAACTCGACCCAAACACAAGCTCCCAAGTGTATTTGATATTTCAAATCTATTCACCATTAGGTACCATTTCTTTCACAAGTCCACAGGCAAGAGAGCTACTCAATTTTTTCTGGACCTTTAAGATGCTCACAACTAGTTTTTCTCATCTAGCAACAGCGCGGATACAGTTTACTTTTGCTCTGAATAGGTGTCAACAAATGTAAGAATACGGGAAAAAAGATTCAAGTAATAGATTTCAAATTGTCTTTGTTGCTGCAAGTTAGGTGAGATTTTGCTTTTACTCTTTGGCTCTTGTAACGATGAGGGAAGCGAGATATAAGGTGTTTATTCGTGTGGGAAGAGTTACAGCTAGTTGGTTCCCTCCGTTTCCAGTTTTTATTCTTAATATAAGCTAGACAAAGTAAAAAACACAAGACTGGCAACTCAACAAGAAAGCAAATAAGCCTTTTCCCAATATGTGGAACGGTTCCTTTTTACTCTTATCTTCTGACAAAGACACTCGCTGTTTTCTCCCATTTCCAGTTGCTATGCAAAGCTGTCTAATGTCCCCTCATCTAACTCGGCAAGAGTCAAACTACGACTCGTCTAGCGTACCGCTCAACTTACAAAGTCGCTTTATAGGTTAATGTTTTTCTTACTTCCAGTTATTTTCAATTTTCCTGCGACAGACCTGTTGTTTTTTCTAGTGAAAAAAGCCCCCTTGCTTCTGGCAAGCAGAGGTTTCGCGACAAGAAAGGGGATCACCCCTAAATAGGAAGCAAGAGTCCTTGCAAGTGTGACGGAAACCCGAGCCAGAGAAGAAGGAAGGAAAAGAAGACTGAGCAGAAATCTTACCTCGGTCTTGACTGCTTCCCGCCTGTCCTCCTCCTTGTGCTCCACATCTAGAGAGAAGACAGCGACACAATGGATGGCCTGAATCATTTGTAGAAGAGTCCTCGTATCCGAGTTAAACTGCAGTGGCCTCGCATTCATCAATAACCCGCGTGACACATTTATGAACTTCAATTCAGTTCGCCCTCCACGTAGTCCCGTGAACCACAAAATTAACGTCGCATAAATAAAGCTGCTGAGAGACGCTGGCTCGGGGAAACTCGTTCAGCTCGCTCAAAATCCCACACAACGGGGAGAGCTTGTGCAATGTGAAGGTTTGATGCAAACCAGAGGGTTGCTAGTTGGCTGCCTGGTTTACGATGAGCGTGGATGTGGGCCAGTGTATTTTGGCACATGTCACACTTCTGACCTTAAATCCCCTCTTGATGGGACACACAGCTGGTTGCTATAAGCACAGCACCTCCCACGCCGATGACATGCAGTACTGTATGCAACTGTCTCCCTGCCAATCTCCGAAACAAAATCAAGACATGAAGGCTCTAAAGCAGGGGTGCCCACACTTTTAGGGCTCGCGAGCTACTTTTCAGCTAACCAGGTCATGGCGATGCCCCTACCTTAAGGGGGTCAGCCTGGGTTGCTTTGGAAGGAAATTAAATCCGTCCATTAGTAAGCAAGAATTGCTAAACCCCATTACCATTAGTTTCGGTCATCTCCCGCGGTAGACCGTGCATGTGGGACGTGACGTCATTTTTTTATCGATGGCACGCGGTCGACTGGTACTGCCTTTGAGATTGACTGGTCGATCGCGATCGACGTATTGAGCACCCCTGCTCTAAAGTACACAAACAGGAGAACACACAGCGATGCAATGATCATGACCATTCTGCATCAACCATGTATTCTCACACTTTACGTTAGAGATCAAAACGATCTATTTTTGCTGCAGGTGAGTTGTGAGTCATAAACTGAATTGTGGGGATGAAACCTGTGAAAGTCAAGTCCAAGTTGCAAACTGGAGTCCCCTTCTCGGGTATACACAGTACGTTGTGGTCACTAATTGATTCTTATCTAATTAGAGGTTATTTTACTTGCACCACTTCACATACATTCTGACTTCAGTGAAAAACTTCACGAGGGTCTTTTACCTTCAATTTCAATTTTACTATAAATAACCTAAATACTTCAAACACAGAAATAGCAAGGATTCAGAATTCTTGAACACCCAGAGCAGTTTATTAGAAAGAGGAGGAAGTTGTAAAAGCCGAAGCAGCCGCAGGGTAAGACAGTCAAAAATAGCACCACCAATATTAGGTGAAATGCACTGAAACCGCAGTCCAATAAAAAAATATCTTGAACAGAACAAAAGCTCCAGTTGGGATTTCCCACTTGCTCGGCCATGATTTAAGATGAGGAGGTCCGCAACACCAACATGGGCGGGTTACTCATTCCTTAACCGCATTGTTTTCGTGTGTTTAGCGGAGCAGTGAGGGGTTAGCCAGCGAGAGTGGAAACAACCCAGCCGAAACGCTGACACAGCAGCATCACCATTAATGATTCAGGAAAAAAGACCAAAAATCAGTATGATGGCAGAAGCTAGAAACAAACCCCTCTACGGTTACTTTCACAACGTTCGATTTTCGGACTCTGGTGATGTAACACCAGCGCAGTGTCGTCGGGTTAAACACGCACGATAGCAAACAAGACTATTACGGAGCCAAATCCAGGCCATCATTTGAAAAAAATTGAACCTGAATTCATAAATATCACAGTGCCTACGTTTCCTGAAGGCAACGCGGTTGAGGAAGGCTTTTCGCCTTCTTTGTTAAGCTGTCACTCGTGATTACACGCCCCACTGAGTTGATGCCACGCCCCCTAAACCAGATTAGGGCTAAGAGTCTGAAAGTGAAATTACTATTTACAAACTTAAAAAAATAATTGAATCTAAAAACCTGAAATCTACAACTAAAAAATGTATGAGAACCAAAAACAATTTAAGAACTGGATCAAAATTATATTCGACCCAAAAATGCTTTTCATTCACTTGTTTTCATTTTGAATACATGTTTTTAAATGTTAAAATTTTCTAGCCCGAGTCCCCTGCTGCTCCCCCTTTGCTTTTTTCATTTTCTTCCCGTCCCTCTCTCCCCGTCCTTACCGGGGAAAAAGGGACGATTTAACGACTGTGTGCGGCTGTGTGGACTGCCAAGGTCACCGGGTTTGTGAGGCGAGCTGGCTCACGTTGCCCACTCAGAGTATACCGTGTCCAGTTGGAGCGAGGTCCGGCTCTCGTATCGCTAGAGCGCTCAAGTCCTTCCCGTGCCCTCCGGACGGATAACAGAAATCCTTTTCAGCGGACTACTGATCCCCCACAATGTGCATCCCCCAGGACTGGGTGCACTTTTTGTTGACGTTAACTAAATTCTAAATTTGCGTTGCATATTTATTTTCCTAACACCTCTAGGGTGTCTTTTCACCTTGCAGATTTCGTTTCAATGCGTGTGTGTCTGTGTGTGGCATGCAAACAACCACCGTATGGGCTGCATTCGCACATTGCAATCTAGTTTAGTCCTTTCTACTTTGTGGCCAAAACGACCAACGGCAACATCTTAGTTCCTCTTTTTGTCTGCTGTTTGCTGTCTTCACTATATATTTGGAGCACATCGCATCTGATCTTGATCTCTTGTGTATCTTTTTTTTCGCATGGTAATGCGACAACTAATATGTGACAGCTTTGTGATACTGATAATTTGATACATAAAACATTCTAGGTGTTGGTACCCAAAATTTTTAAGAGCTCAACCGCAACGTAGTGTGAACATCTGGTCAGATGTAAAAGAACACCATCAAAGCCAAGTACTGCAAGCCTTCTTTGTTTTAATGCAGCTTTGCATCGGCCCGTTTGGCCCGGCGGCTAAAAGCTAACAACGCTAACAACGGCAACAATGCTGACTTGAACAGAAGGCAAACCGGAGGGTTGGTGCTACGTCACAGCTCCAGTCTCCACTCGCCATTATGCAACTTAATAGCGCCCTTGCTAGGTGAGACTCTCTCTCCAGCGGATTAATAGATTATGGATACATTGCTTTACGTTGGCTACGGGCTAACCAGTGCACTCACATGCACTTAAAACACACAGAGCCAAAGCTATCTCTGCAACACACAGAGTGACTCCATTCCCTCACTCATCCTTACATTGAGAAATAGTAGTTGGCTGCTCAATGCGCTCGGACTATCATTTAGAGAATATACATACTATGCACAATGTTTACACAGATCACATGAAGCAGACTTGTTCGTCGCCATAGTTCTACCCCCAAAGTAACAGATCCTAGAAACACCGATCAGGTGAATACCGAGAGCAGTCTCGGTTTGTGGTTCTGGGCACGATGCCATCCACCTGGCAAGGCCCCCCACGGGGAGACGGCCACAGCAGAGACCTTCTAGCTCCCAACAGAGGCTTGTTGCCTGGAGACAGGTCGCCCCTCCCCTCGCTTCATTTACTGCATTCCTCATCAAGGTCATAAAGACCAATATGTCCCAACAATGCCCCTCCTGATTGGTATTGTCATTATATGCTCAGGTTATCTGCTTTTGTTGGTGCATATTCACTTCTATGGGAGCCAACTCAATTTTCTACGATGAGTTATACAGAAAAAGTGTGCAGTTTGCATTTTAAATTGTTATTTTACAGAACAATTCATTGGCTTGGATTCTTAGAACTTATGTTTTTTCAAATAGTTCTACATTGTAGCCTTTTTTCCATATTTTATTCACACTGATAATTATGTGATGTGCTTCAACATTATATTTGAAAGGTCCAAAGCACCTGACTAGCAGCAAACAGCTATTTAAAGATCTAAAGATGTGGTAATGTCTACCTGCGGTCCCTCTGTGTGTTTTGTTATCCGAGCTTCTTTGTGGATATAGCAGTGCCTGCTGCGCCTGCGTTTGGTTTGTGTTCATGCATGTGAGCGTGCCCCTCTGGCTCCTGACCAACGTAAAACAGACTACTCCATTAATGAGGGGGTTGCTTCAACGCTACACATTACTACAATACATAATACATGTCATTTAGCTGATGCTTTTATCCAAGGAGACTTGCAATTTTAACCCATCCCACACAGACACTTCGACAGGGGACATGGAGCAGCCAAGTACGAACCGCCAACCCTGCGGTTCCCGGCGAGTAGAGAGGGTTTCTTTTCTTTTCTTTTCTATACTGTGTGATGCCCGTTCATCAACATAAATCTTAATTTGGTCAAATGATGGATGGTTCATATTTAAATGGGAACTGGTTGGCATGTTAGTAAGCCGCAGTCATTTAAAAGAAATATAGCATGTATACCATTCTGTATAATACAGGTATAGATATCAACATCTGGATTTACATAAAGATACATATTTATTCTGAAATCTACTTTTCCTACTCAGCGTTGGCAGTGCAACACATTTGGCCTTGTTACAAATCCTGGCTTCAGCTGGTGTGCCGTCCATTTATAGTTTGTTAGTCAACATCATGTACCAGTCACATGCACATGGCTTTCGCTGCCAGATCCACGGACAGCAGACCAACAGATAGCCGAGCCAAACGACTGCGAGCCAAAAACTCACATTTGGTTGGGCGCTCCAGTTTCCGCCTCCCTCGTTTCTTGCACGGCGTCGTCGAGCCGTCCTCCCGGTCTCTCTCCGAGTCCTGGTCCTCCCGGCCGAGCAGGAACCCGTCCTCCGGGGACGGACTCGGACTCTGACCCTGGGAGCTGCCCTCCACCCGGCAGGAGGAAGGCTCTCTGAGGATCCCGTTCTCCTCTTCTCTCCTCTCCTGTTTGGGGAAGCAAGCGTTGGGCGTCCTGTCTCTGTGCCCGCCCACGTCTCCGTTGTGGACCTGTGCCATGGGCGGCCTACCCACTCCGGTGTAGCTGTTGCCCACTCCCAGGACGCCTTTGACAGAGCCACAGCCCTCGACCTGCAGGGGAGGAGGGGGATGAAATGTCAACGTCCTGGCCATCTGTCAGCTCTAGAGGTTATTGCTGCAGCAGCATGTTACAATTTGTGTTTCGAGGTTGAACGTGAGTGTTTAGCCTGTCGGCAGTCCCGCCGCATCACTGGGTACGCTGTAGCCGGTCAGGAAATATAACCAATCATCCTGCAGGCTTGACAAAAGGTCGTCGCAATGAGCAACAATAAAACCGTTGGTGCTATCTGACTGAGGATAAGCACCCCTCAGTTTCAGATTGCCTAATGGGCTCTTTGAAATAAAGCATTCATCTATTTCCTATTAGATGCCTAATTTCCCTTAAATCATCCCTCAGCACTATCTCAATCAAACGTCTACAGTTATTAGCTACTGAATTATGGCATTTCCCATTCAGCTCTATTAAACTAGAGCTGTAAACTTCAAAGCTGTGCCAGTAAATCTGCTGTACATTTATTAACTTGTGAGGGATTACATTAAAGTTCATCAGGTACACCACCGAGCTTCCTATAGTCGTGCATTTGTGATTACAGCAGCACGGAAATATGTCAAGAATGTTGGCATGCGAAGAGGTTCTTCCCTCCGTCCACTTAGAAACGCCCAGTTAAACTGTTTCATTCTATGCAGGGAAGCAAAGAGAGAGAACCTAATCTAAAGCTCTTGTTAAAGCAACAATGGCACAATGATATTCAGTTTGTGAACCTTGCCTCACATTAAAGGAAAGCGGCGACTGTCTTGGGAGACAAGGAAAATATTTATTTTTTTCAGATCTACACAGGTTTGACAAAATGTGACGGTGTGTGTGCTCCTGAAAAGAGCCATACAAACAGGCTTTCTCTGGCAATCCCATTACTGGGTTACTGGGGACAGAAAGTGGAGCATGTCTTGTGAGATCAGCCTGTCGACACTGATGAGAGTAGCGCTGAAGCTTTCATCTCCTGTAGATGGAGGAACTGCAGTCTGCATTTAAGGCAGGCGACAGGGAAAGCCTCCTTTCTGAAAGGGTTGTGGAACAAATGAGTGACCTAGTGAACTACGTGTGACCATTGCCAGAGGTCAAAGGTCTCAGTCGGTAAATCAGGCCGCTCAGACAGGCGGACAGAGGTCAAGATAAAACACTACCTAATTTACTGCTGCAGCATCACAGCTTTCATACAAGGTCTTTAAGATTGATATGCTTAGTAAGCTTTAGAAGCTGCACTAATCCATATTTTTGTATTAACAAGGGATAAAAGGACTGAGTATAATGTGAAAGGCATCACGAGTATTGACGAACCCCGTCCCGCCCTCTGCTCTAATGGCCACTACTCTGTTTTTACAACCCACAACCTTTGACGCTTTCACCAGAATCAACTCCAGCTTCATCACTCAAATAAAAAAAAAAACACTGGTTGCAAAATAAAGAGAAGCAACGTCAGTTAATATGTAAATTAAATCAACTGGTTGCAATTATGTCAAGCTTCAAGTCTTTCAACCTTTTCTATCAGGCACCATTGAGTTTTCAAGTACACTAATTTAGAAAAACAACACAACTGGAGCCTCTAGCACATGTTTTTTATACAGAGCAACAACTGAATATATACTTTCTAGCAAAGGCTGTCTGAAAATGATTAATAGCGTCTTGTTTCTCTGCAGGACCTGCCCCCCCCCCTATAGTGTGGATATTTGGAACAGCTGCCTTAACATGTGACTTGATAATGTGTTTTTCTTTCTTTACTCGAATATAAAGAATAGAACATATCTGGCATAACCTCGCAAAAGACCAGAATGGGTCTAATGAACTGTTCACTATGACCGCAGCTGAAGGAATTCTTAAAAGGGATGGAAATTCCTTAAAAGGCATTGACTCTCTTCCTATTCGTAGTGGGACAGTGGGGAATAACTTTGCAAAACGCACTAGTGAGCAAACTAAATACACTTTAAAAAGTGCTGTTTTATTTATGTTGTATGTTGCTGCGTTCTAATCCATCTAATATGTCTTTTTGACTATAATCAAAACATGCATGCATGAATGGAGGGGTGGGTGTGGTAGTAAAATCACGTCAGATCAACACTCACTGGAAACTGCTTGCGCTTTCTTACAAGCTTGCCAACTTTACAAGAGGGACTGCTTTTCGGCGACTTCTCCTTCATCCGGTCCATGTCCAGTATTGTGCTTTCACCCTGTCACCACAAAAAGAAACACAACAAGGTTTAGACTCCGTGTTCTATGCCGATCGAGGAGCAGAGCCTGTTATCTATGGGAATGTCAGATTCACATTTCAGGGCTCGATACCCACAAGCCCCTCCTCCCCAGTCCAGGCTTTGCATACAATAAGCGCGGCGGTGGTTTCACCTCAGCCGAAAGGTGCCGCAGGAGTGACGCTGGATGTGCGGGACACCCACACACACACAAAAACTGCATCGGGCTGAAACACTTGGCGGGGGACTGCGGCCGGTCCATGAGTGTGTTTGGCTGAGTGGACAATGAGACGGGTTGAGCGGCACGTTCCTTTGAACGGGGCTGAAGTGAGAGCCCCGCGGCCGCAGCGCTGACCCTCTGAAGACAATCCCCTCTTGACACCATCACAAAAGACGTCGAGCGGGCGCCAACCCCACCTTCCCCTGCTGTAATTTCCCTTTGATAAATAAAGCGGTCCACCCCCGTGAACAAAGCCCCGTGCTCGCCACCACCAAGTGCCCCCGGAGCTGACGGGAGAAAAGATGATCCTAATGTAGGTGCTTTAAGTTTCATTTTTGACTGAATAGGACCATCAGCACCGGGTCTGACTGCAAATGAGACTGCGGGGCCGTTCCGGACAGCTGGAGTGGGGGGTTGGTCCATATTAAATTCCTTCAGTATGGAGCGGGGGCATTCCCTCAAGGATAAGTGACCTTTGCGCACTATAAGGAAGTTTCTCTGCTGACTTGTGGGCTACTTTTATTTTAATCTCAGGCCCCGTGTAGAGCAACGACGGGACAGAAGTTAACGGCTAGATGATGTTGTCTTTGCGCAACGGCTGGTCACAAGAAGAGAAGGAGGTGGGACAGGGGGTGCAACACCTTTGAATTCCTCCAGGGAAGAGAATACGCCGTGACAACACTGTACTTCATATCTGCACTTATGTCTAATTATCCTAAAATTATCTCTGGAAACAAGTTGCAATTAAAAATGGCATTTTGAGTGTAGGACTACATCATAACATGATAACAAACACAGCACAAGTTTTGGAGCAATCAGTTGTGTACTATACACACGTTTATACATTCAGCTTTGTGCCCGCTGTCCAAACGTCTAAAACTAAAATTTCAATCGAGCACCAAACCTTAATAAGAATCGTTGAGACCACAAGTTCCATTTAGTAACCGCCCAACGGTGTCTAATCTTATCAGACGATTTTCATCCGCTCGCTGGTAGTTTGTCCGGTTTTCATTTCATTCACTTTCTATTGTTTATTCAAGATTGAAACGCGTGTTGAAATTATGTGATATGATCGAAACCACACTACGTGGAGTTTGAGGGGAGATTTGTATGCACCTAACTGCTGTTTCCCTGAATGAAAAGTCTAAGTTGCTCTGAAAAAAATTACATTCTGGTGTCACACTGAAATCTGTGACCCGATTCTGTGACACCAGAAAAATGATTGACAGGATGGAGTGATGTATCTGCATCAGAATGTGTAACCCTAAAAAAATGTTTAGGCAACTGTGAATGTTATCAAAATATGACACCTAACGTCTACATACTATACCAAGAGAGTTAAGACAGAAACTTGTATGTCATTGCTTGTGCGAGTCGTATAATGGAATATATCTATCAGTCGGGTCACAGTATACGTTGTAACACCGGCCAGCGACCTTTCTGATGCCTTATCATCTTGTTTGTTTTTTCCCTCAATTATCCAGTAAAGGCAAAAATGACAGATAATAATTATTTTAAAACTGGACTTACGTTTGCACAGACTCTTATAGACTCTATTTCCTAAAAACTTCCTAAAAAAGATGAAGGTGTTTATTAAACACAGGCAGGAATTTAAAATGGTTAGGCCATGTTACGTCCTGAGAGTGTTTGCGGGTGAATCAGAATAAATCCCTCAACTGTTCCCGTCCCACTGTGATATGCAGATTTGCAGGGAGAGAGATGGATGTGATCAGAGCTGTGATTGATTGATAAATATCGCCTAGGATATCACATCACAGTCAAGTGTAGATATAGAGGACATATTTTGCCCGTTCATTGTCTCATCACTAGTAGATAGCCTGGAACCCCCCCCCACCCCCCCTCCTCCCCCAATAAAGGGCGGCCAAATTTGCATAGATAATAGCACGTTTTGAATGCAGCATGGTGCGCAGGCTCATTTGGGAACCACTTACATGGATGACACAATTCAGTGGTGCTTTGCTACCGCTGCAGGAGACAACCTACGTACAGCAGAGCGCTCAGGCTCACGCCCTCTTCACACAGCTCCGCCTGATTCTATTTGAAAAAAAGCCTGAATTATGATTTGTTGTTGCCTCGAGTAAACCCTACTACATTGTCAATACCTCTGCACTTCGTCTGTTTGGGTAGCCGGTTATTTCAAGCAATGTCTGTTGCCAGGCAACAAGACTAAGGGCAGTACTGCGTAATGGGAATGTAGGGGAAGAGGACAGACACCCCCTCCCAGTAAAAAAAAAAAAAAAAAGCTGTAGAGCCATTCCAGCTCCAGCACAACATACACCAGCCAACGCCCCCGTCACCAAGCACCATCACAACAGCCAATGTCACATAATACAGCTGCATCTCGCCTCAGCCTGCGAGGAGCGCCAGTGGTGCCGCAGCTACGCGTGGACTCTAATGACGAACCCGTCTGCATGATGAAAGGTTGACGTGGCACTTCACATACTGTTGGATTCTATGGTGGAAGTACGAGGTTTCTCTTGGAACAGGAGGAAGTGATGCACCGCCGGTCGATCTCAAATATTACTGGGTCACTCATTTGTTCCATAATATACGATATTAAAGTCATCGGCTTGAAGGATCAATTAACTCCACTCATAAATTTGGAGGCTGTTGTAATCACCGTACGAACCCCCCATCAATATCACTGTAAAGACAATTTTTTACCAAACCCACTCAGACGCCCAAACGGCCATAAAAATATTATAAACATTTTTTAGGGTAATATGAAAAAGGCACAGATAAACCCCTTTCAAATCTGGTGCGATTAAGAGCTTTACATTTTCGTTTGCATTTTTCACAGATGGAAACTCAAACCCAATATTAATTAACAGCTTAGCTTGAGTTGTACAAAAAAGACAAAACACGAGCAAAATGACCTCCACAAAGCCCGGAAGTTCTCCAGGTGAGAAATCCCAGAGGACTCTGCAACGTACCGAGCTTCAGAGGAGAGTCTGAGGGACACTTTTATGATCAGCACGCGTTTCTTACCATTCTGTTTCCAGGTGAATCAGCATAGTCTGAGCCTTTGAAAGCTGTGGTGTTGGTGTTGGTGACCGTGTTGGACGGCATCCTTGAGCGTGTTATGGGGATGGGGGGTAATGGGTGTAAGGGATAATGGGGCGACAATGGAGATGTTGAGGTGAAAATAAACTCAAAGGAACAAAAAAAGAAAAAAAATGAGAGATGATCCCTCTTCTCTCGGCTCTCCTGGAAGGTAAAGGGGGGAAAGTGACAAAAGAATAAGTGTTGCAATGCTTTCACTCACAGGGGAGCTTCCTGCTGCAGTGGCACATTTTGTGCGAGTTTCCTCATAACAGTTTGGTTATCAGCTTTCTTTTGCTGGGTGCAGGTCATGTGTAGGAACCTCCCAGGCTCCTATAGGCTACTGTATGGTTACTACCACCTATAGGCCCTTCTCACCACATGGAGGTACGGGTATACAGTACTCTACATTCAATGGCTGCTGATGTTTGCTCACAAGCCCAAAGAGCGCTGCAGAAATACATCCAGAATGATAATGTTATTTTTATTATGGTTCATCTCAGTTCAAGTGTCACAGTATAAGCTGCACACATAGTGGAGCCGTAGTAAGAAAGAAAAAAGCTCATATCCCATATTGCATAGGATGTGTTTGGGGACCCAAAGAGTGATGACAACCAGTTCTTATTATTACATGTATATTTTTGAGCCTGAAAAATAATAATCTCAGGCAAAAACCAGAACGTGTTTATCCCATGAAAATGGATTATTGGGCCACGCTGGCGTTAAATGTCCCCGCATTTCCACGCAAATGAAGCCACCACAAGGCCACACAGCGGACAGCACTGCGATCGGTTAACTTGCATTTATCATTTCATTAGCTAGTTGATGCATTCAAATGTCAAAGTTGCCGACATCTCAGCAGGGGAAGTGTACAATGTGACCGGGGGATTGTGGCTCTGAAACAGGCCACGGCCACTCGTGTGCAAATCCCCGTTATATTTCCTGTTGTAATGCGGCTGATGTTAGTAGGAGCAGTGGCCCCGGTGCTGTGCTGTAAATTAGTTCAATGTCAAGTGCAGATCGCGATGTCCAATTAGCACATCTGCAGAAAAAAAGGAGCCCTAATTCGCTATTTCCCCGTTTCTTTCGAGCGCCTTCCGCTGTCTGGTCTCACGTTTTTGTTCACATGAAGGTTACCCTTCCTGCGCGGTTAGCAACGCCGGGGTTAAACGGATTCACAGTCGCGTATCGCTGTGTGATCGCTAACCGATTTCTCTTCCCCCCCGCCCCCCGCTGAGTCCCGGGGCTGACCTTTTTTTTGTCTCGCTTGCTCCCGGAGCCTCCTTCCTCTTCTCTCCCCGTCCTCCACCTCCCCGGCCGGCCAGCTCTCCTCCGGATGCACCGCTCTCACTGCAGGGGCCTGCAGACTGTGCCGGCCGCTGCAGGGTCCTAAAGTCCGCCGGCTCATCGCCGTGTAGGAGGAGAAGGGGTTGAAGGCGGTCCGAGAGTTCCCACCATGGACCCCACTACTGCCCTCATACAAACATCTAGAGCTATTTTTAAGGAGCAGAGTAACATTGGGATATCATGGATGGGAAGAAAACATTTATTTATTTTTGTATCAATATATATATATATATATAATTAGTTTGATGTAGTCCGGTGACATTAAAGGAAATGTAATTTAAAACAATAACAGATAACAAACAAATGCATCTCAGGCCAACATTTTGATTCAAAGGTTTACTCATTTGTGCCCAACTGGAAAACTTCCATGCTTAATGTTTAAACTCAGGTTGCACCTGAGGGACTTTTGAGTCACCCAGCAGGTCTCAAGAACAACTCTGGCTCCTCTGATGTAACCCCAGTGCACAAAGTAAACACCAGACATCACTTCCCCTTAGAGAGATTTGGTTTTCTGTATGTGTTCAGTAAATCTTTACTCTGTCCATAAAGCATACAGGTGCAACACACAGTAATTTTATACGAATGTTGACAGAATGAACACAGGAACCTGAGGAGACTTCACCATTTTTAATTTGTTGCATTTATGGGCCCCCTGGTGGCTGTGGGGCCCTGAGTACCCGTGTAATTAGCTGCTGCCTCAGGCCAGCTTTGAGGCCTAGTGAAGCGAAACACTTTCTATAGTTTTGCATATTCCCTGCGTGACATCAATGCAAACTCTTTGACACATACCCGCACTACAAGCTTGCCACATACATACTCAGTTCATATACTTTTGAATACAGATGTTTGAGTACATATAGTATAGTGTAATAAATATGTGGTATCATTTGCGTACTCTGCACATTCCATTGGAAAATCCTCAAATATTACACCACATCGCCCCCCTCGCCTTCCATAGTTAACAGATGTCTTAGTGATTGAAATTATTATTATTTATCCGGGGTTAAACAGATTTAAAGCTGCAAGAAGGGTAACATCCATGTGAACAAATGTGGAGTTGCAGTCAGTTAGTTTTTTGTAAAACCTCAGGAATTTGTCATTTCCATAGACTAATAAGAAACATGCCGGAAGAGAAAATTCACATCTTCAATCATGTCAGTGATTCAAATTCAACTTGGTTGTCAGGTTCTCAAGTATTGTTATTGCTTCAGCATCTTACTGGGGTATGACTTCACCATCAAAGAGTTGAATTTCATATGCACTTTCATTAAACTAGATGGCAAAAAAGCAGCTGTTGAAAATTATTCAGTTTTGCTATATAAAACCATAATGACACTGTACTAATTGGTGTATATACAGAGGAAAGGATCTTATACATATTATATACATTTCTTCTAGCAATCGCCTAGGCAGCCGTTGCCCGGCTCTGCTTGAATCTCTATATCACAACGGATGTAAAAACAGATTTCACCCTCTGTGCAGGATTCGTCTTGCGCGTCTTTATTTCATTTCCTAGAGTGCAGCTAGAGCAAGATATCAAATCTCTTCTCCCATTCATTCCATTAACTCTCCAGCAGCTGCAACCCACGCTTAATACCACACGCGGCCACTAGTCGGAGACGCAGCCCGGCTTCATGCTGCAGATGCAGGAAGGTTGGAGGCTCACAGAGCATCTCGCTGTGAGGCAAATTGAGCAGTCTCTTTAGGGGCAACGAGAGGGAGAGAGGAAATGTGGGAGCAGCAGGCAGATTTGGTTCACTGATCTGGAAGCGGCGGCGTCTCCTATTTCAATGGCACATAGTGGTTCATCTGAGGGCAGCAGCGAGACGAAGCCCCATGACCTACACGTGTGCTGGTGGAAACTCTGTCTCAACCTCCCCTGTACAGTTATTGTCTTTATTGGTGGCCGAAGGAAGGTCTGTTGTAGAAGTCCGAAAGGCCATTGTGTCTTTTTTGTTCATGAGAAACAAACAACTTTAACTGGACTCTCAGTGCATTTAGAACAACACAGAAATTCAGCTATTTTTTGGCCGATGTGATTGAGCTACAGATGAGCTTGCTGTCCCTTACAGACAGGAGGAAGCATTCATTTCTACAGATATAACCAGACATTTACCACAAAAAGGGTGACAGGGGGAACAGATGATACCTTGGTCGTGTTCAATGTGGAAAAATGATTTTACATGTAGAAATCCCACATACAGTAAAGTAGGTAAAAGTTGAGAAAAATGCTCAGCATCATTTGCTTGCTCTGTTAAAAGTAAAGGTATCTACATTCAATTGATGCAGCAGACTGTTACTGTGTTATACACTAATATAATGAAATAACAATGATCCAAACATTTTAATTTAATTTATAATATATATCTATAGATCTATTCTGTTGTTTATTATGTGTCTTTCATTCTTCAAAATAATTATTTGATTTGCAGAAAATATAATATAATAATACAATGCATTTCCTGCTGTCATTGTAATAGCTAAAGTAGAAGTTATAAAAAGGCTACCGTGGAGTAAAAGTACCTCAAAGTTGTACGAAAGTAATGATCTTTATTGTTTTCCAACACTGATAAATGTCACCTTTGGTAACAATAGAGGGACCTTTAGTGATTATTATTAAACACACACCAGCAATCACAAATGACCAGTCAAAGCCATGTTTTAAATCTTTTTAGTTTATCTCACATTTGATTTATTTACAAAAGACAGTGGCTTTGTGACATAAAACTGTTTTGTAAAATCAACATGAGAAACAAACCAGAAGCGTAACCGTACAGAACACACACAGATAAATAACAGCAGGGGAGCGTTGTCGTCGAGGGCGACCTTTTTGCACGCCGTCTCTGTGCATCAGTCAAAGGCTCACAATGTTTGCACCTCGGTGTGACCGGCTGTGTTGTATTTGCAATAGCCCGGGTTGTTCCCACAGGGTGTACAGTATTGCCTCTGCATCGGCTATAATGACATCAGTGAGTCTATCAGTTAATTTGGAATGTGTTGTCTGCCTTTGTTAACACTTAAATGTTGTTTTCCACCAGTGGAAACCAATAACATCTCCAGGCATTCAGTGAATAAACTATGGGCAACAACAACATACTTGCAGATATACTTTGATATATACCTGTCATTTTCATGACACACAATGTCTGCAAACAGTTTGGCACAAATGTAAAGGCTGAGCACAAGTTTCCCCCCAGAACACATCAAATAAATAAATAAATTCTAAGTCACGGACATAAAGGCTGATGGATCATCTTGTTTGCTGAATGGTTACTTTGTACAGCACTATTACAGAACAGCTACAGGCGCAAACCGAAAGAATGAACATAAACGTTAGAGTTCAGCTGCATGGCTAGAATGAAGGGGAAGACAGTATTTCTTTAAGTTTGAATCTTCTCTGGACCTTGTCCACTGAATAAACTAAGCATGTTGACAGCTGTCGCCACAGAATTTAAAGTGACAGTACGTTCATAGTGATCGTTTATATTTGGGCTAACTATGAAAGCGCGAGTGAGCATGTGATTCTCCGTTATTGACAAATTACATTGACTATAGTCCACTAATACTAAACGATAATAACCAAGAGCAGAACGGAGAACTGAGTAAAAGCATCACATTTAAAATGTAAATAAGAGGAGCCTCTTTTAGTTATTTTTCTTGACACAGTGTAACAGGTTGTTGAAACCTTATACTCCCCTTATATTGTAGGATGGGCTTACTGCACAGATCTCCAAACAAAAACATGATACTTTTCAGTGTGATTCAGTCTGCTATTACTTCCTTTTGAGAGCGAATCATATTACTCTAAAACTGCTCCCAGACCTTTTATCACAAAAAAAAATCTAACATTTCCTGTGTTTGAGATGAATGGCAACCCTGAAGGACAAAAAACATTGAACCAGAAGACACAAATGATAAAGATAACCTGATTCAAAATGAACATCCGTTCTGTTGGCTTTTGACACAAATGAACAAACACACAGACAAACTATATTCAACAACATGGTTCATCAAATAGCGCTTCTCTCCTTCCAGTAGTTCACATTCTATCCCCGGCTTCTACTCACTTGCTGTTGTATTCTTCCTCTACATATTCATTCAAATGTTTCATTCCAGAATTAGACAAATTGACTGGTCACATGAGAGTGACGTATGTACTACTTCAGGAAGTTTCAACCAACTGTCACGACAAGTATGACCAGCGAGTTCAATCTATGAATAACACTTGCTGTGTGTTTTGGAATAAAACCCCTCTCTTCGTTTGATCGCCCTTGACCTTTGACCTCTCGGACTGAGCAGTCGAAGGACATTACCACCATATTTCATCTAGAACCTACCTTCATCACACATAAACATTCTTCAATATTCCTTTATTAACGAAGAAAGCTATTGAAGCATTTCTCGCTTGCTGACTAACCTCACAGGTGTTCACAGCTAAAACTGGATGTCTAATTCATCCCACTTTAACCATCCTGAGGTGCTTCCCTACGCTTGAAACAATAGAAACTGAGGCTGCCTGCTAGTCACAGTTAGTCACAGGGAGACTGCTCATTTCTGTCCTTGTGGTAGCCCCTTGGTTTTAGCTCAATCGCACAGCCCTGTTATTTGTTTGAGTGGTAGCAGCGGTGCAGTGTGTGACTCATTGTGTGTGTGTGTGTGTGTGTGTGTGTGTGTGTGTTTACATGCGCGCAGTGTCCTGGATGCCAGCCATCGTTCCTGATTACCGTGTCAACGGGACACACGATTTATGCATGTCTTTTTACTGTCATAAGAGATATCCCTGCACGCATTCACAGGAATATTATTACCATGGAAACGCAACTGTTTCCCGACAAAAGCAGCAACTAATCAAAGAGAATAGTTAAACATTTTGTGAGGAAGCGTATTTAAAAAGTAGAATGAGTAGATTGATACCAGTCTGCTGTTTGTAAGTAAGCATGAGGCTACAGCCTGACTTTAGCTTAGCATTATTCTGGACGCGGGGAAAAGAGCTCATCTGGCTATATCGCCTTTAACCTAAAACAAAGCATAAAACAGATAAATAAAAAACACACCTCAAGACTGCAGGAAATCACTGTGCTCGTCCAAGACCTACGCCAGCATCTACAATTTAGAAGCGCTGGTTTGTGCATATTTTCCCAGAAGACAGAGCCAAGCTGGACTAAGCTAAGCTATATAGCTGCAGGTGTATGCTGAGCTAAGTTTCTTTTGGGATCCACAGTGACATAAATAGGAGCTGGTGTCAATGTCATCTCTCAAAAAGTAGGCAAAGATGTGTTTTTCCTAAAAGATCAAACTATTAACTGAAACTGGAGCATATTACTAATTCTACCTTTTAACTAACTTCCTAACACGTATCTGAAAGTGAACACACTTGTTTTGTTCTGACACAAGACATATTCTGGCATTCCAGCAGTCATCACAACCCCACAGAGAGCTGGCATAGCAAGTCCAAAACCCATGAGTGCAACTTCATGCAAAAATGATTAAAAATAAATAAGTAAAACCAATCATACAAAGTCACTAACAGGGAGCATGTTTGTCAGCTTCATTTCGGGGCGTTCCCGTGGTCATGTGTTTACAGTATTCTACGTACAGAATGATCTGCTGCATGGAACAGTATGGGAGAAAGCACAGCAAGCCATTCCTTATCACTCATGAGGGAAATCATTAAATAATCACAGCAGTTTTTGTTTACAGGACAAGCACACACACACTCGCTAATTAGACACATCTTGCTACCTGCAAGGTGTGAAGAGACGTCTTTTTTTCACATAGTGAAATCCCGTTAGATTACAGCATGCATTACTCAACGTGCTAATGCCAGCGGTTGTTGTTGTTGTTATTGTTGTCACTGATTATTTCCAGTCGATGACTTTGTGTCCTCACAGGGTGGGCGGATGTTGGCTTGTCCTCAGTGCTTTGGTACTCTCAATGTGCCTGGATTCACACACAGAGGAGCATATTCAGAACTGCTGGCAGTGAGTTTGTAGATGACGGTGTGGCTCTGCACATTGGTGCCTCGTTACTTTGAATGGGGCGGCTTTGGTTTATTGGGTAATAAATCCAATCCAATCAAGGGTTGTCATAACTGGGACAAACTGCTTTTTTTTCCAGTTGCAGACAACCAATCTACGTCAGGCAAATGCATTTTATTTCATTTCATCATCCTGAGATATCAGACGTTAAGCATTTTTTCAACACTGGAATAATTATTATTGTGAAAACAAGCTGTTGTTTCCCAAAACACACCAACAACAGGTCGTTTCATGATGGCGGGTTTATTATCTAGCCACGGGTTTATTCATATCTGAAAATAAAAGGGTGAGTGCCTTCACAGCCTTCAAACACACATCATTCTGCATTCTGTTTTGAGTGGTGTAATATATAATAAAATACAATTATAATATATAATTACCTCTGTCCCCACCATTCCTCATGTTGGTCTCGTCTTCCACGTCATCAACTTAAAAACAAAACCAGATATTTCCGTCAAAACTGTTTTGGCCACTTGGCAAAAACTCACAAATAGATAGATTTCAGCAATAACAGGAAAATATACAGTGGTCATAATCCAGATGATGAAACGAACTGAAAACATGAAACGGAAACCTTGTTTTGATTGTTAAAAGATTTCTTAGGACAACCTTTCCAAATAAAAAACATGACAAAACTGTAAAAAAATACGTGTTATGCCGCTGTTTGATGACCAAAATAAATATACTGCTTTCCAATCCATTCCCGTCTGACATTATGAATGTCATTTATTCAGGGTCATATTTTCTTTTTAATTTTAATAACTGATTAATTTTGTGTTCCTAGCCTCTATGGGAAAGTGGCAAAACGCGCCTGTCTCTACTTAACTGGACATGAAGTTATGCTATCTGTGGATTACAGTGTTTCAATGTGTGCGTTACCACATTTATCGGGCCGGTGGTCGAGAGCAGCTGGTGTCGACTCACCTGAGTGCAGCTCTTTCACCAGTGACGACATGGTATTCGTGATTGAGTCAGCAGCAACTAATAGATCATTCCGAAGATTTCTAGGTACACCTGGAAAAAAAAAAGATTTTCAAATCAAAATCACAACCCATGTGGTGTCTTGCAGTGTGATCATGTAGCGATGTAAATAGATCTAGAAAAGAAATATTCTACACATCACAATAACTATTTTGGAGATTGTGCACACTCACCCTGAGCGAAGGCCTCGAGCACGTCCCCTCCCACCCCTGCCAGGCAGTCCTGCGGTGTGTGAGTTGGGGTGGAGCCGGCCGAGGTGGAGCGTATGGGCATGGGCATGGAGCAGCCCGCTCCGTGACTGGGGGAGGAATGAGGGGAGCCTCCGGACTGGGACTGCAACATAAAAACACCCATGCTGGTTACAGTTCCATCAGCCTACATGGTTAGCTTTAGGATGAGGTAGTTGTGACTGTGTGTGATCATTTGGCATTTTGGTGAAAATTTTGTTTTGCTTTCTTGTTGAATGTTAGAAGACTGATAACATTATTAGATTTAAACACAGTGTAGTTTCCCCAAAATATCCAACTATTCCTTTAGTCAGTTTTAAAACATTTTTGGAGTTGGTCACAACCGTAAACTACGATATCACCGAAAAAATGAGATGTACATGTTCATTTAATATATTTAACCACAACAGGTGCAAGAAAGACGAGTAACAGGTCCTACTGGGCCTCCTTCTGCTGCTGTGTTGTTGGCTCAGAACACGGCGTATTTGGCTATTTTCATGCAAGATTTGCACGATTTTAGTGAATCTAAAATTGGATTAATCTCTAAATCAACAAAGCCAATTCTGGAACTGCTGCATTAGAAGATGCCGTATTTAAGTCACAGATGGCTGCTTTTGGAAAGAGATGACCTTTTTGCTTGTAAAGGTGACTTTTACAAAAACAAACCCAGACACAGATGTGTGACCAAAAGACGGTAATCCTTTAAGGGAGAACAAACCAACGGTTTAAAGGCAAGAAACCCTTCTGTAAGCCCCTACACCGGCTGGCTTTAGTCTGTGCACCTTTACTGCGTCGGGCGCTTAATGAGAACCATGTGTGGACGAGCGACAGGGGCCTGTGCAGAGATGAGAGGTTTATGTCTCAGAGAAAGGATCACTGTGTGTCTCTGGCTCTGGTGCAGCCTCGGGTCGATGGCTCAGAGCCAAGCGGCAGATGGCCGGCCAGACTGCAGTCATATTAGACGGGAGGTTGTTAGTGCAGATGAAAGGAACAGGTCCCTCAGTTCTCTCAACTTGTTTGCACCAAGAACTTGATAACACCCAATTTTAAAGACTGTAGTTTTGCTCCACAGAGGTACTTTTGAGGAAGTTGCCGCACTAGCCTGGATAAGAGCACTGGATCCTTGGAAGTTAGATATACTATTATCTTCCTTCCTAAAACCGATTATAAAAGCGTCCTTCAATCACATCCGTGCGAAGGAGGAGTATCGTAGTATCAAACCGAGTACTGAGACTAGAGCCAGGTATTGTAGCCCTGCGAACTGAATTAAAGGCAACTTACAGCCTGCTTCTGCTCCTCATCCTATCAGCCAGCAAAGGTAAGCAGTGAGAGAGAGAGAGAGCAAGAAGGGTGAGAGCAACAGAATTAAAGCAGCGGAAGAAGAAGAAGAGGAGGAAGAAAGGATTTCTGCATGCACCATACGACGCTTTGTCTCGATTTGAAAGAATCAAACATGTCAACATCTCATTTAATCAAATACGCCACCAACGCCTCAAAACCAAATTGTGTGAACTTGATAAGCATAGACAAAACCTTTTGAGTGCTATTTTAAATAAGGAAAGTGGCTTAGTGTTTATGCACCATCCTGGGATATTGATAGTGATTCAGAGTCCTTCTAGAAACCGGCGGTGGTCTTACCTTTAGCAGCCTCATGAGTCCCTCCAGCTGCACCATCAGCTCCCGCCTGCTCTCCTGCAGGGCCGACATGCGCCTCTCCAACTCGTCCTTCCGGTGCCTGCAGCACAGTTTTTAGGGACATTAAAACAAGAGGGAGGACGTTCTAGTTGGATGTTGTCCTATTATCTCCTTAACAAAGCATGACAGCTTAAATGTTTAGTCCCTTCTTTTTTTAGTGTGAACTGTGTCTTTAAAATATGGCCAAAATGTATGTTTTTCCTGTAGTTTTTCCCCACAAGTAACCTGTACAGATGTGTGAGAGGGGATTTAGAGTCACCTCAGGGTCCGGGGTGAGACTCTTGAGCCTGCTTGATGCCTGAATGTAGAATCATATGGCATTTGCTTTTATTATTTTTCGCTATACCACCATTACAAATAGCAGAATTGTCATGTTGTTCCACATGATCTGTTTATGAAGGCCTCATCATTTACAAGTGAACCAGATTTTTCTCGAAGGATTTTCCTTGAATTCCTTTCTGGCCTATTGTCGCTGGTGTACATAATGAGTAACTACAGCTCAATAAACAAAACTGTGCGAGCACCTCCGCTCGGTTCTCTTTACCGGGTCAGATGATAGTAAACAGAGTTTAACTATGGGAAATAACAAGTCTAATAAATGTACCCTTCAATGATATAAACCAATTGTTATATAACTATCTTTTAATACAACATATGACAATCCTCCAACATGCCAAAGAGTGAGAAAGTATAGTTTGATTCGCTAGTTCTGCTAAAAATGTGGTTAGCCAGCATTGAAGTGTGATGTAAAACCTGAAGACAATTTAAAAATAGAAATGATTGCCATGTCTGTTGACCTGACTGCTGATTCATTATTTAGGCCAGGCGAGACAAATAAAAAGTCATTCAGCGCCACAAGTGCTGTGTGCGTCCTCTCAGCGTGAGTCTCCTCCAAGAACTGAGCCCAACGGGCCTCAGCGTCCCACCAGCATGACAAATGCACACTGAAGCTAATTCAAACCCCCACCTTCCCGAATGAGTAGGACATTATTTCTTCTTGAAAAATGAGTGCCGCCTAAGGGCCTTGAAGTTGTTGCTGTCTCCACGCTTAATATATTAGCATTTCCCTCCCGTTGTTGGGAGGAAGATGCTCTGGTGAGAGGAGCAGGGATAATACCTGAGGAGCCGCAGCTCAGTAAGCAGCGTGGGGTTTTGCTGAGCTTTTTCGGGGGTCGGCTGGGACGCCTGCTCATGCTCCAAACGCAGCCGCTGGATCTCCTGCAGGATCTCCCTGGATGAGTTAATGAGTCAGTTAGATAAAGAGCCAAAGATTCTTTACCTCCAGAACCAGAGTTGAGGCTCCATTTAGCAGTAAGGTTTCAGATTGCACACAAATGAATACTGAGCCCAAAGATTCTTAGTTTCCGGTCATTATGCACTGCCGATAAGATAAAATAATTAATTTAGTGGTTCATTAAACCACTAATAATACTTCATTTACAGCACTGCCAACCATCAGTACAATTACACGTATTAGTTTCCAATAAATAACTAAACTGCACCTGTTTTTGTTCTCCAGCTCTGCAATCAGCTGCCTCTGTTGCTTATTGGCATCAAAGTTGAAACCCAGATCCGTTGGAGGACATTGTTGCTGAAAAACAAAATTGGAAGCATTAGCAACCAAACGCTACCTTCTGTGGTGGTGTGAGCAGTATGTTTCTCTGCATACACAGGGAGCCGTTTCTTCTCACTACGGCTTTCACTTTATTCCTTTATATTAAGGCATACTAAGTACAAATCCAAATGAATCTAAAGTCACCCTGCGTGAACATTTTACGCTTTAGAAAACCTCTTTAACGTCTCTCATGACATAACATGGTTCTTATTCTGTTATAAATATATATTGTTGTGATATGATACATTATCTCTTTATATACTGTGGTAGTCTTCATTAGTAGTGGCGTAGTCCGCCATTCTCCCACGGAATCAGATCCAGATCCACAGGAACAAGGTTTACTGACTACTCACTTTAACTCAGTAAACCCTTTCCATATGCTATTAATCCCCATATCAACCCAAATTTGTCACCGCAACAAGGTCACAGTGGAAGATTTCTAGGTGTTTAGCAAGTAAAACTGCAGGAAAGAGTGTTAAGCAGTTGTAACTTGCGCTGCAGCTTCAACATGAAAGTCTTCTAGCCTCAACGATGCGCCTCTAATGGCTCGTGGTAACATGAGATGTGGGATGCGGGTCGACTGCAGCCCACCCCGGGCCGGGCTGCCAGACACTCACTGTGGAGTTCCCCGCCTCGGCTGCCAGGCGGGCAGCGTAGCGAGCGATGAGGCGGTGCTCTTCATCTAGCCGACTGGGACTCTCCAACACACTGCCCAAAGTCACAGACAGAGAAATAGATCACACACACACACACACACGTCAGCGACACTGACCCCTGTATGAGAAGCTTGCTGAGTCAAAGGGATCGTGTCTGACTTTGTAATCGAGGCTAATTTAATGTTGGACGGTTGTTTGAGTGTTGATGGTGCGAGACAGTGAACTGAGATCGATAAGAGACAATGCCGGATGCCGAATGCATCTGTGACTGGGCCGATGCTCGTTCTGACCATGTCCTCACTGACTTAAAATGTCAAATACGACATGGGACTTGAAATGGGCGTGGCGTACGGCGTGGCGTACGGCGTGGCGTACGGCGTGGCGTACGGCGTGGCGTACGGCGTGGCAATGAAGAGTGAAGTGGAGCTGGAATGGAGCCTGGCTCCATGTGACTCTGACTGGGGAGTGATCGACGATTAGGACCATTAAACCCGATCTGGCTCTGACCCCTCTGCATCAAGAAGCACATCTTAGACTACCCAGGCCCCCCACACACACACACACACACACACACACACACACACACACACACACAAATCAGTCTTGTGATCCACTTTGTATTAAAAATCGTCTCAAATCAGATTAAATCAGAGCTGCCTGTGTGATGAGAGCCTTTTAGCTTCTGCAGTGATGACATCTTAAAATACTCTTCGGATGATTCAACTTGTTTCAGAGATACTGCCACCTGATTTAAAAAAGAAAAAGAAATAATTCAGTTAGTCTGCACTAGGGAAGTGTTTTAATTTAGTTTACTCTGACGCTCCGGTTAAAGCGCCGACAGAGCCGGATGTTTTTTGTAGATTCAAAGTAATACATTAACGCATATCAGGGAGCTGCTTGGGTTGGATGCATGTTGAGATGTCTGGCATCATCAGTATAAAAGCTGCTCCATCAGGCAGTTTCCTGGCACCACCTGACGGTCTGTTTCAGGTTTTGGACCGAGATGCATTGATTGCCTACGAGCACCGACTAGCATCTCTCCCATAGACCTTTTATTTTGGTTTCACAATTGAAAATACCAGCATTTTATTTTATTTTCCTCAAACACAAACACATCTCAGACTGTGTCACTGGTCCTATTTTAGTCCCCAACATAATGGTTAATGCTTTTTAAATACTGTGCTGTGAATGGCCTGATGATGATTTAACTAAAAGGTCAAGACATTTAGAGACACACAGATCCAAATCTTTAGAACATCTGGAGGGATCGGGCATCTTGTTTTGGATTTTTCAGATGTCATGATGTTGCATGTTTACTTGGTATCAATACACTGATAGTGATAACAATATATTTTCTGAAATCTTTATCGCATCCGAAGACACATTTCACACTGGTATATCATTACTCTGTAACACAGGGTTGAATGGTCCGTCTTATTGACCGTGATGATGGTCTTTCAACGTCACTGAAGCTCGACAGCTTCAAGATGATTTTATGCTTCTTGACTCATTTAAATCTTGAACAATTAGATAACCAATTTTCACTATTTGTGACATATTTGCCTCGTAAGCTGTTTTGGATATCGGCTATGACGATCCACATCACTTATGTACAGCTTTGTGGGCTCAGTCACAATCGTTCCGTCGTATGGTTGACATGAAGATTGTTCTAAAAAGCTCCACGTATTAAGTTGAAATTAGTATTTTTACTTTGTAGTAAGAAGATGACTTAAAGTAAAGTGTTACCAATTACCAAGATCATTTGATGCATTTAGAATATTCTGTTGTCATGTGTGATTAAATTTAGGGCCAATGTTAATTTACTCACCACCAATTGTTTTATCCTGATCTTGCATGTGGCGCACGGGTCGCACAGTTAATGACAGACAAACCGCCGCGTTTCCACTCCGACTCCCGACAATTCTCCGTTAACTCTGAATCCAAGCTCATCAAACTCAAGAGAACGTTCTCTTTTTTTCCTTTTTTAATTTTATCTTCCGCCGCCGTGGTTCCGCATGACTAACGGGTAATAAATTGCGGTTTGCCCTTGGAGGACGAGCTCGTGGTGAGCGATTGTCTCTAGGAGGGAGACGCAGAGGGAGGGAGGGAGGGAGGGAGGGAGGGAGCCATGTCAGCAGAGCCAGACTGAGATGGAGGCTGGAAGCACAACACACACAGTTCCTCACATTCAGTCATTTGAACTTTTGCACCGACAACACTCAGTCATGAATGTACGTATGTGTATTTCTACTCAGAATCTGAAAGGCTCGATTAACGAGAAACGCTGCCGCTCTTCATGTCCGGAGGCTCGTGAACTGGGGCAGAGCCACGAGGAGCTCTGAATTATTCAGCAGCAGCGTCTTTGACTCATAGGCCCTGCTTGTGAGAGCAGGCCGACCGGTTGCCGGGTAATTATGATAATAGATTAATATTTACAAACCAAATATGACACAGGGAGAGGCTGGTGGGAGCCGGCCTCCTGTTCTCCTCTGCAAGGGAAGCCTGCTGCTTATCTACCGGCATCCACACTCACTCCCAACACAACTTATCTGGGAAGCGTCACGGTGGCTTAATGCGCAATTTCTACCATAAATATGGCAGCTTTGTAGTTGATATGCCCCCCCCACCCCTCCACCTCCCTCTCCGCCCCCTCCACTCAACCACCTCCGAGGCAGCGGCTTCGACCTCGGTGCACGACATCTTTCCCGAAGCAGCTCTGAGTCACGGAGCAAAATGTCAAGACAAAGGTTATCAGCCTACTTCATTACAGCCACGGTGAAACAAACCTCATGAGAGCGCCGCCTCGCTCTTGTGCACACCCCCCACGCGTGACGTCTCCCCCCCCCCCCCTCCCCCCCCGTCCCCCTTGGGGCTGGATACCGCCTTGGGTGTCCTGATCTTGTCAGCCTCCTTCAAACCCCCTCTAATCTCGACGCTGTCAGCCCTCTGAGATGAGACTGCACTGCACAAAACGTTCATCTCTGCAAGAAACTTAATCTGGTATTGATTGTTAGCGTTGCTCTAAATACAGATGGCAATTCTTCCAACAAGGTCGGGTAATTACACTTTTAATGCAACAGAGAGATTGTAAGGGAACGTCGGCATGAACTCGCCGCTTTAGTTTCACATTTTGAGGTTCAGCCTTGTGGAGATGGAGATGTTTCTGCAGTGCGCATAATGCCCTTCAGCTGCCGGGGTCCTTGGTGGTGCTGTATGATATGGGGAAGGGGGGGAAAAAAGGCCACAGACATCGTTCAAGCTCTTTCTGAATTCTTTAACAAAAGTCAGTCTGGATTTCAACCAAACACCAGATCCCCAAACCCTCTGCCCTCTTTCTGCACACCAGACAGTGACGCCTGGTCCCTTCTGAGGTGCCGTGGGAAGTCCTGAGTCCCTGAGCCCTCTCGTCTTGCAGACGTTAATTGCCGTAAAGATGTGAGATGCTGTTCACTGAAGGGAAAGATTCACGCTGCACAGACTTGCAGGACACAGTGCAGAACAATCGAAGCCGCCTCAAAGTGCTCTCCATTACCATTCACAACCTCAATGGTTCATTAACAACGGGAGCAAATAATAATAGAGGTGGCCTTTAACTGAGAGGGGCAGAAGTGAGTGGACAATTAGGCTACTTTCCTGGGGCTCTCGCCCACTATCTGCTTCCATGATGAGGCTCCAATTCTATCATGATCCGTTTGTCAAATCAACCCATTAGTCAGCAGTGCTCACATATTCTTCATGACAGCAGAACAAATGTTTCTCTAAAAATACGCTCACAAGGGCTCGGACGCAAAGATGGGTGTCAAGTGTGAGGGAACAAACAACAGTCAGATCTACGCCGCCATTCTCGCCGTTTCCACCGATGAGAGAGAGCCTGTCACCCATTCCGAGTGAATTCTGCGGCATTAAAAGAGTCTATTTTTGCAACGTGACATTTTGTCGTCTTTCGAGAAGGCATCAGCCAATTACGTGGAATAATAAGGATCCCGTCTTTCGGAAGACATGGTGCGTTTGGCCCGGGGTGCTTACCTTTTGGTAGGTGTTGGTGCCCCAGAGGACATGAGCATTGTGTCGTTCATGTTGTTGGCCGCTGGTTTCGGCTGACTAAAAGACAAGATTAGAGATCTTTAATGCTACGCTGCAGAGGCCTGTGGGGCTTGCCACCAGGGAAATGGGGTAGAGGGCATTTGCGTTTTATTAATAATCATGAATCAGCGACCCTGACTTCAATTTAATCCAACTGTACAAAAGAGAATAAGCGGGGAGGCGGGGGGGATCATTCTACGGTGCACTAAGTGTGGTGCACAACATGCTGTTAACAATATAATTGACTTTTCCAGGAATTTATTTGTTCCTCGGGCTTTGACCTAATTAGCAGGAGCGAGAGAAACAACAGCAGACAAGGAAACGGCTCAAACTGGAAGTCCGTGAAAATCTTTGAAAGGTGACATTGCGGGCGGTGCTATGAGAGCGTAAACAGAGCGGTGTGGTCCATCTGTCCGCTGCCTCGGTGGCCCCCGCGAGCTCGCCGGAGCCCAAACCCTCCGACCATCAAAATACTGCTCAGGTGCCTTTTGTTCTATTGTTGTATTTACAGCACTCATTATTGCACAAAAGGCGCCGATCAGCGGTTTCTTTGGCCTAAATCACACTATTTATATCCACATTGTGGAGCGCTTCTCTGCCACGGTGCCACAAAGTGCCTCAACAGCACACAGATTATTGTGCTTCTAAAAATAAGAGCATGAGGCTGCATCATTTCTAGATCATTGATCGTATTCAAATAATTGGTTAGTTCTCCCTAAACCATGGAAGCCCATGAGGGTTAAGCGGATTCTTTTTAAAGAAACGCAATCGAAATCATTTATCGGTGCATACGTTCACATTTCCCTCAGGACTAAGCCCAACAGATTCAGCATAAATCCTCTATATATTACAACACAATCCTGCTTAATCTGATGTTGCAAACAGTAATATCGAAACCCGCTGGTCGTAAAACCTGCACAAGCTGCCTTCTGGTCTCCTTCGCAGGCAGCCGGCGTGTACAATCACTCACAAGTTCAATGTTTGCTTCTCATTCAGCGCTCGCTGTGTTCTAACACTCCACCCTGAGGGCGCAGTAAAGAGGAGACGCGGGACATCACACTTACCCCCGTGGAGAGAGAAAGCACCTGCCCGGCTGGCACAATACATCCAACTGCTGCTGTTTCCAGATGCCTAATCTGCTCGCTACTGAGCGAGCGAGCATTTAGAGCGACCACACCACTGCTGTCTCCAAGGAAACTCAGAGTCACGTGACTGCATGACGACGTCTCTCTCTCTCTCTCTCTCTCTCCCTCTCTCTATCTCACACACACACACACACTGGATCTTTCGGAAATGCCACTGGCTCAAAACACCTTAATGTCAACTTCTAAAAAAGCACTAATCTACTCTCATCCCTGCCAGTGAAAACAAATTTGCCGCTTGCAGCCCGTACTATAATTGCATTTTACACATCTCAACTCACCCTCTACCTTCAGCGAGTTATATAAGTCAAAGCTTCTCGCTATCCTTCTATAAATAATCATCAGTCCTTTTCAAGCACACCGATATAACTCCTGTGGAACTGTAGGGCTTCTTGTTACGTAAAAGTACTTCCTTTTCCTCTAACAGCCGTCCCGACTCCTTCCCATCCGTGCCCACAGTCCGGCTGGAGAAATGCTGATTAAAGTCCAGTAATTCAGCCGCTGCCTCAGAGGTCAAACTGGAGGGAGTTGACACAACATTCAGGCAATAAAAGATCAAAGTCTGCAATGCGCCGAGCCTCGTGCTACCTGCGTGCCGCGAATGACAACGTGTCATCCTTTCCGTGCACTTGGCACTTGGCCGGGGCACGGCGGTAGATTAAGTCTGGTGGGGCTTCATACGCGCGGATTCACCTTATTTCTGACAAACAACGGGCTAAAAATAATACCACAAACATGAAGCATCCTCTCCCGCTGGCAGAGGTGCTCACGTTTCCCCAATGCCTCGGCCATATATGAAATCACGCACACAGAAAAGTGAACAACATGCCTGTTCCCTCCATTTTAATGCCTGTGATGAAATTCGAATAGGAGAATAAAGAAAGATGGGATTTCTTGGGATTACTGTATATAGAAGAAAATAATAAAGTATTAATGAACATGGCACAGAGACTGTGACACTAGTGTCACTATTTTCGACGCTGTTTGATGTCTTTTGGCAGAAGCAGCGCGCTGTCTGAGGGTAGGAAGCCGTACCATCGATTTAAAGTTCCCGAGACAGACGATGGATCCCAAAACTGCAACTCAACTCTTCAAAACTCACGTCCCCAACAGCCTCTCTGACAGTTCTGAGTGGAGGGAAAAGTTCCCGGCTCAGCGCGCCGTTAGTCTTTGCTGTCAGTAAATATATATTTTTTAAAACCTTTCAGAATAGATTCCCTGAGCCTGTGGGGGATGCCAGCGGTTGGAACAAGGTGGAGACGCTCGTCTGTGAGGTTCGGGTGTATTGATCACACCTGACGCTGTAGCCTGATTCTGCCATTGTTACTCACGGTGACTCCATCGGCCTCACACGGACCTCTCCTTGATCACGTAACGTCACCTCTTCACAGGCGACATTCATCAAGATCGGCAACGAGCTGCAGTGGGTTTTTATTTAGAATAGAAATAGCAATTTTGTCTGTTGTGGATCAACGATAAAATGATTCAGTTTAAGGGAAGGATTCTGTAGCAACAGGGGAATCTTCACTGGAATGACAGGCGTACAATCACGGTTTCATTTCTCTGAAAACCTCCAGGAACAAGTGGGAGTTGTTCCATCAGTGGCAGCTCTTCCAGAAGTATAGAAGTGAGATTTACACTGAGAGTGTTGGATTTAAAAGAATAGTTCAACTTTCTGTGAATCTTGCTCATCTGCACAGAGCTGGAGGAGCATTCGCGGCTCATATCACAGCTCCATCAGTTAAATAAGAAGCTACAGCCAGCAGACATTTAGCTTAGCTTAGCGGGTGTTTACACAGCCCACCTGAAACCATCATTTGTGGCATATGGGGGTTTATTTGACATTGAGTCTCTACATCTCTTTCAAAAAATATATAACACGTAAACTAGTGAGATTAAGAGGTGCTGATAGTCTGATTTTGTCACTTTTTCTCCCTCTTTTCAGTCTTTTGCTCAATCACAAAATGTTGTGCCACATTCCAAACCAATTATGATCTGGATGTTTTCACTGAGATGAGCACAAAATGGACTCGAACAAACTCTCCCATGAAAACATTCTGCAGTTGGAAGAAGTGTACAGTTAAATATGGAAGCCTTCCGTCTGAGCCACAATTGAGGCTGACAGTCGCCGATGAATACATATTTTGAATGGCTGTCAGGTTTAGGAAGCATCTTTTCTTGGCGAGGTGGATGAGAGGCGCTACTTCATTACCACGCACAAATCAAAACGGAAAGGCTTCTGGAACCAAAAATAGACATTTTTCTTCAAAGACTTTGACAATAAAATGGAGACAGAGAGACGTTCGAATGTCTCAGGGGTCAACAGTCACATCTATTATCCAAAAAGTCAGTGCACAAACAAACATTCAATGGCACCGTCCTGGAAATGCCATCTGCGAGAGCATGAGAATGCACTTTGTCAGAGTCTGAAAGAAATCCATTAACAACAAGAACTTTGAAATTTCTAACCAACTAGTTTTAGCCACACATTTTATTTGAATTGTTATAAATGTACATGTGCGAGGTATGCATAGGTTGGGGCATAATTGCTAAAGATCCTCCTGCCGGTGGACAGAGCCGAGATGTGACGACTGGTTCAAAGATGACTGCATGTTTCCTGCAGTAAAGCCAGAGATCCTGTGGATGTATTTACTCTTTTCCCTGGCTGTCACTGAGCTGCTTTCTCCCCCCGTGATGAAGCTCACTATCAGTTACTCACTGACACTTGCCAGGAGCGAGACCATGCGCAGACAGCTTAGGTTCAAGGTCCCGACTGGAATACCAATACGAGGATTTTGTTATGAAATGTGGCCCGAGAAATGTTGAGAGTAAGTTGACAGATTTCCTGCGATCCTATTAACGCCATGAACACGAAAAATCATGAATGACTTTTTAAACCGGAAACATTATAGAAACAGAAACATATAATGTGGCCGATGTATCTCAGTGCTGGAATTGATTGATCCATTTTTCAACTGAAATGCAAATGAGTCTGCAGGGTTAAAGACGGCAGGAGAATATAATGCATTCCCTATGCTGACTTGAATGGGCCTCAAAGCCCGGAGTGTGAGATTTACAACCCCGTGCCCGTTTCAGTGCCAACAGATTGATGGGGACGCCCGCCCTGCTAACGGCAGCAGTGGCTGAACCTGCGTAGTAAATCACCATTTCCACGTTAGCCAATGATTATGGTCCTGACATCTTATCAGTCGTGTAGCGACAGGAAGCGGAAAGATGGAGGCGTTTACACGACAAGAGCAGACTACAGATCCTGAGCACACTGGGGCCTCGGCGTGCGGTTAATCGACAAATCATTGGGTTTCCCCCAGTTATTACACAGCCGGTGGCAGCAAATGTTTCGGGGATGGCTACTTACACAGTGTGCGTGAGGTCCTGAGGTCTCTCTGCCTGCTCGGGGAAGACAGGATGTGGCGGCTCTCCGATCGGGACGCAGCCGAGAGATTTACTGATCGCGTGGCTCAACTTTTTGGCCGGAGACTTCTGGGAAGAGGGCAGAACCAACAAAGTGTTCATCAGGTATCTGCAGCACTCCATGGGAACGATTGGTTAGGTTGCCATTGGAAACCTTTTTTTTTTAATCGGCAACCAATGTTTGGCCTTTGTTTGCAATCAGTGGCGACAGAAAGCAAAGAGCAATATGTGCGCCCCGGTGTCTTCAGCGGGATGTGAGAGGGTAGTTGGCTGTCAAAGCCGAATCAAAATCGATTGGAGGTCATCTCTGAAAGGAGAGGCGATGCAGCAGCTGATGTTGGTGTCCCTTGAGGGGCCCACAAGCCAAGACATCAGTGCTGAAGGACCAACAGAGAGGACAAATAAACAAGCCACCAGTGACTTGCTGGACTCATAGATGACAGATGCACTGGGGGTATTTTGTATACCCGGAATAGAGGTTTGTACACGTCGATACTTAAGATTCAAATTCCACAAAATATCCACTAACACGCAAAAGATTTGGTTCGGTCATTGGTTTAAAACTTTATTGTTTTAATGATCTTAATTATTTTATGTTACGTTTTAAGCTGACTTATCACCACATGTCATCTTTGTCCCTCCAAGTATCAGGTGACTGATGGGCAGCGTGGGAACAACTGGCTCGCCCGCATAACGTGCAACTTGCACATTGAACAACGTCCCACATCTGTTTCATAGAGACGTCCACTACACAAATCTGTCACAAAAGCAGTAAAACATCAAGGAACAGATGCATCCACATAACCCTCATGATACACTTCATTAATGTTGTTGTTTTTGTTCCTATAACAAACAGTGGTTTGTGTTGTATGCACCGTATGCAATGTCATTTAAAAAGATCCCTCAGGCTGTGAGTCGTGGACTCTGGGATTGCTTGGAGAAGGCGACAGCGCCACGTAAAGTTGAGAGGGATCTGGGCCTACCCAAGAGGAGTGCTCCTTCATCTGGTGCTGGTTGCTATGGGGACCGTTAGCATGGCCGCGCCAGAAGCAGCTCTGGCAGAGCTGGTAGCCGTGGCACTGCTGGCACCGATAGCGGAAACCCATCATACTCTCGCTCCGGCAGTACGAACATTCCACCGGATGGAAGACTGGAGGATAAAAACAGCAACAAAGAGGAGACACAGATCTTAACTTACCAAGTGGTGGCTTTTTTAATTACTTTCTTTTATTTCTCTTCTATTTATTTTCAATTGAGACATCTCTAATTATTTATTTGTATTTATGAAGCTGTTCGTATTTCTTATCTTATAACTAAATCTTTGAATACAGTCACTTTTGAGACAGTGTTTTACAACCTCGTAGTCGACATAGAAGAATTTACATTAATAAAAAAAGAGATAAGTTTAAAGCAGTAGTTTCTTAACTAGTAGGCCTTTAAACTCTATTAAACAGGAGTCTAGGAAAAGGTCCTCAATTAAGTGACTTAAGTGAATCACTATAGAAATACTGGCTTACATTCAGGAATCCGCCTTAATAAAAGTATGTTTTAACAGCTAAATGTAATAAAGCGACTAATTAGTGAAAGAAAAGCTGGTGTCTTGTTGGATAATCTACAGCACAGTATCCTGTTTTATAAATAAATAAAATGTTATTAAATCTGTAAAGTCTCACGCAACCCAGTTACAGTCCAATATTTGACTCTGAAATGTATAAAGTAGCATCACATTTTATGGTTGTAGACTGCGGCCTCCTCACAGGTTTCAGATGTTCTATGAGCCGTTTTTTCTGTATTGAAAATGTGATACGAAGGTTAAGCGTGAATATGGAGAGCCGAGGCGTCCTGATCTCACCGTTTTCAACATTGGCAAGTCGGTGCATGAGCGGCAGCCACACGAGGCATTGAGGGGGGGGGTCTGCCATCAACACGTCCAAAAACGTGTTCAGCATAATCTTCTTCTAGATGCAAACGCACACAAACGTGTATTAAACAAGACGGGCGAACGATTACGGAACGAGAAGAGGACGGAGAAGGAGAGGAAGTTCTCCTCGTACCTGCTGAGGGAAGCACGTCCGCACCGAATGCTCCGTGTAGCCGAAGGAAGGGCCCTCGAACACGGCTGTGGGGAGCTTCAGCACCTCTCGGAGGAACTGGTCAAACTTTGCAAACATCATGACTCCGTTTGAGTCAGAGATCTGTGAGAAAATATCTGCGAGGACATCATGTGTCGGGTTGACTCTTCTCAAGTAAGATAGCCTTTAGTCATATTATGTGTGAATGTGTTGATCCACAATCTGTCTACTCTGCATCATGCAGTCAAAGCCGATTCATGTGGCATACGTGTTCCAACGGTGCCCTCGTGTGCTCGATGTGAGCAACTACATGGAGTCCGATTTCAGGAGATCAAGCTAACAACGACAAAAAGCCGCTCCTGCACATGCATGTGATCTAACGTGGCACATCTAGGGTGCTTAGAACGGTACTTACAGCGTAGTTTGTCCACAATCTTCCCTCCGCACATTGTCGACAGCATGGCTTTCATTGAGAAAACCGTCAGCTTCCCATGGCTTTCACTGCAGGGGCAAGAGGTGAAAAGCTTTATTCTCATCCTCATCTGGTCTGCAATGACCTGTAGATTCTGGTTGCGTATATTAGCAGTCATGTTCTTTTCTTGTGTTACTCTCACTCTGTGTTTTAGCTTCTCGTATTATCACACAAGTGTCACTTAATGAAACTGTGACATTATAAAGTTACATACAGATTCTTTCTTATAAAAGACGGTGTCATGTTTGCAGAGAAATGCTGCACGTTCCAGTAATTATTTGACCCGAGAGTTTTGCTGAGATTGGAGATGAAAACGTAAAGATTAACATATTACACAACGGTGTATATGCCAAACTAAATTGCATGATTGCATTTTTGATGTTGTGTGTAAAATGTCAAAATTCATGAACTAAGCCCTAAATCACAGATTAACGCGGTATATTCAGGTCAGGCCTCCTCAAGACCTCTTTAAATCTCTCCAGCTCGCACACCAGCTCTTTCAGACTCATTTCTCTCCGGTTTCCAAGCAGAGGTAACCGAGCACACAAAAGCTCTTCTGCCTGATTCGGTTTTGGGCGTCGAGGGACAGATAGGGAAGCGGCTTCCTGATCGCAGGCAGCCATTTCCACAAAGTCTCCCGGATAATAACGGAGCGGGACCAGAGCGGCCTTACAGATGAAAGTGAGCCAACTGCGCGGGTCGATGAATGGACGAGGCGCGAGCGGCCAATCAATCGGCACCCACAGAGTACAACAACGAGAGAGAGAGAGAGCTTTCCCCTCAATACGTGAGCTCCGGGACGCTGTGAGCACAAAGCAGAGAAGAGAGTCTTTCTTCTTTTGTAACATAGCACACATTTCTGTCTCGGGTTTGACAGTTGTGTATTTGATCCAACGTTTGTGAGCTTTTTGGACTCATTCCTGAGGCCGTAAGCCTGGCTGGGTGGATAGTTTGCACAAGAAGCCGGAGCTGACGTGGTTTCCACACAAAAAACAAATGACCATCACATCTGATTGTGAAATGTGAGAAACGTTAACAGCAGAGCTTTACATGATCTTCACCACTGAATTGTTTCAACACTTTAATCATGATAAAGGTTTGCTGTTTTTAGTGTATTACAGAGTACCACTTTGCCTTTAATACATGAATCACCTGACTTTATATTAGCAGGCCAGGTAATTATTGATAGGACTTATCAAATATCTCACACACTAGTTTATGTTAATTGTGTGTGAGTTGACTGACTAAAGCTAAAGAGGAGACGTGGTAACTTTAGACTGAGGCAGAAACAACTAGACCCCCTGACTTTGAGCAAAGGTGTGTTTTTACCTGCAGGGATCAGGACTCCCACAAGTAATTCAAATAAAAAGGTTTTAACCTCTTTAGGCCTACAGATATCACTTTAAATCGCTCCCAACCGGTGTGCAACTCGAAGGCTCACAAGTAGAAGAAGCTCTTGCGGGATCCCCCAATCTGCATCAACGCTGCCCAAAAAGTGCTTCCAAAGACCCCCTCGGCAGAGCGCTGCACTGATCCCGTACCTGTCGTAGGTGGCCACCATGAAGTTGAGCAGCAGCCCGATGGACTGCTCCACGTTGATCTGGTGGGTGGTGGGCAGCCGCTTGTTGAGCTGGTAGTAGATCGAAGACAGGATGGTCTCCAGCCGCGACACGTTGATCTCTGCGTTGTGGTCCAACGTGTTGAGCCCGTTGTCACGAAAGGCTTCGATCATGTTCCAGACATCCACCAGATGAACTGTAAGGGGCGGGAGAAGACTGTGAGTGGCGGTTTACCGTTTCTCCTTGGCGCGTGAAATCGAGGGGAAAATCTGCGTGTGCTTACGGTTGCATCTCTTCTGCACAAACCGGAGCTTGCAGGCCGTCCTGTAGGTCGACAGTCTGATTACGTCGAAGTTTTGAGCTCCTGCAGAAGGAAAAGAGCGTCTCAAATAAATGCGGCTAAATCGGACCAGTTTAATCATCTCAAATCAACGCCTGTTCACACTATCGCCGGCCTTGTGTGGGAGCAGTCATGCTGTTGGTGTGGGAGACCACACATCTCCCGGGCAACCTGCAGCCGGTCGAAGGATTACATGAGCTGATTATGAAACGAGACTCCTCCGGTCTTTCTTCTGTCTGTCGACTCCACTCACTCATTTCCATGAAGAGCTGTCTCTTCTCCACCATGGCCTTGCCCCGTTTGCTGCCTTCCTCGATCATCCTGCGGCACATCAGACAGCAGAGCGTGCAGCGCTTACAGGTCACACTTCCTAATAACACGGCTCAGAATCATTGCAAGTGATCTAATATAAATATATAGTATGCAGGCCATTGAGTTTACAAGGCTCAGACCGAACTGTTACTTAATTACTTGTTACTGTTACTTAATTCATCATTTGAGTTGGTGAAAACATTAGAGACATTGGATCCAGTTGTATATTTTGTAAAAAAAAAAAGTATAATTTCTTAAATTGACAAAAATGTGGCTTGTATTCAAGGAAATGAGTTTTTGGTTAATACGCTTGATCTCATTTTGCCAAGAGGTGATATCACCCCTAATGTCCTGGATGCTGAATATGAAGCTACAGCTTAGTTTAGCATAAAGACTGTAAAGCAATCAACTAGTCTGGCTCTGTTCCAAATAACAAAAACCCCACCAGCTCCTCTAAAGCTTGACAAATAACTCGGAATATCTTATTTGTTTAATCCTTACAATAAAGCGAGGACAAGTTGTGGTTTTGCATCAGCGGCTTTTGGCTTTTGTTGTTCCGAACTCGGCTAACAAGAGAAAGAAAAAAAAGAACCTTCACTAAAATATCAAACAATTTGTTTGAATTGTGTTGTGACATCTGCATTTCTGAAGAGATTATAAAAATGATTTCACAGCGCACCCGTCTAAAAATGAATCTTTCCCGCTAAGACTTTAATCCTCAGGATGCAGGTATCAGATTCTGAAAGCGGGAACAAATCCTCTCCGTCATTCCAAAGACTCCACTTCCATTGAACTATCTGAACTTTACCTTTCGCTCTGACGTGCGATTGAACGTCAGCGTTTCATTGTTTGTGTCTTGTGCTTTTTGTTTCAGCACTCACACCTGTGGAAAACCACCTTTAAAACAACACAGGTTTCCTTACTTCATTCACTTCTTAGTTCGACTCTTCTTTTGGTACAAGTCATTTATTCAAGGGGATTTTTCCTAAAATATTGGCCATGTTAATTTGAAAAAGATGTCTTCAACAGCACAAATGTTACAAATGTGTGTGTATGTATTAGTCGCTATTTGTATTTGGACTACACGCCACAGATGCACCATGTCTTGTCCCTCACAAGTAGAAGAGTTCAGTATTTACCTGTCGCTGAATGTCAAACACAGCAAAGCGCCAAACGTCGACCCTGCGAAGAGAAGCCACATCGGTGAAGGTGTCTTTTCACTTGCTGTCCCCGTCGCTACGAGAGATAAACTATTCCTATCTGACAAAAGTGGAAGTAGACTTTTGAACGGGTAATTAACGCCTTGCCTCTCCGCCCTCCTTCGAGGACCTCATTAACTCTCAGCGTGGGCTCCCTCTTCCTGTGGAGATACTGGGGGGGCCGGCCGGGGAGCACTCCAGTGCAAATGATAATTGTGCCTGACATCCCGCTCAGCAGCGGCTGCATCCTGTGGGCTTAATGACACCGACGGAGAGAGCGGCGCCAGGGGCCCCCCCAAAACATGTCCGGATCACATGCGTGTACAAAGGGCCAAAGGTGGTGGGGGGGCGGGGGGATCAGCTGACCAGCAGCGCATGAGCACAGAAACACGAGGCTATGCTGCCCCCGAGGACGTCTTCTCTCTTTCAGTGGTTCTTATTCCCCGGTCACTGAAATGCAGTCACATATTTCCGTCCTCCAATGAAATGCTCTTCCGTCTTGGTTTTGGAGTAAAGAGCTCAAGGGGACGTCTTTAAGTGTTGAATTGACTTTGATGTAAGAAAAAGAAAGACAGAAGATCTTCTCATTTTAGAAGCTGGATCCAGAGCGTGTTTGTCATGCTTACCTAAAAAAAACGACTGAAAGGATAACTTGCTTATCGAAATAATTGCCAATCATTGCCTGTTAATGGACCCATATGAGGCATGAAGCCCTTATAACTTAAACAGCAATTCCACTGCGCTGAAAAGACAGCATGGCATCCTGCAGCCCGGCAGTCGGGTAGAAGGATTCACTTTGGTCATCATGGCAATTGAAAACACTCGGTCAGCATAATTGCATATTAAATGGAGTCCCGAATGGGAAACACTCTGTGTATTTTTAGAGATGTCAGAGGAGCTGCTGTACTTGGGAGGAGAGGGAAGAAAACATCTGCTATGCAGTGGGAGACCCAACAGACACATGTCAGCAAAACAAGACAATGGCTCGTTGTAAATATTCAGCCAGTGGGGTGAAGTGCACAAATTCATGAGTAGGCAACTCGGGCCCATCAGCATGGGAAAGCGTTATTTGTAGGAATGAAAAAAAAAGGGACCGCAAATAAACGAGTTCAATGCAAATAATTATTAATTCGGACACCAAATGATTTCACAGACCAGAATTAGCGATAAAGCTCTCAGTCCAGTGAGATGTCACGCGTTGCTTTGAACACATTTTCACATAAATAACCACGAGCCGTTGCTCATTGTTGACGTCAGAGCTTTCCCTCCTGACACGAGCAGACTATGCGCTCATCGCGACGGGAGCGCAGGTGCGCTTCGCTGTAACCGCACCTTCAGCTGCGAGTAATGACAACATCGTTTTGACGCGAGTCGACGGAAGGACTCGCTTGCTGCAGCAGCACCCCCCCCTCTCCCCCCTCCTCCCCCCTCCCGCTGATATCACCCACTTCTCGAGACACATTTCTCACCGCGAGCGATCCTGCAACACTTTAAAAAAAAAAAAAAAGGAAAAATCCCATCCGAAGCGACGGCACAGCGCAGCCATGTTGGCGATCTATTTACCTTATTTCCGCATTGGGGATGCTGCGTCGTGATGCTCATATACATTTTTCTTTTTTACGTGTGTGGGGGGTAAAAAAAACAATGGCAATCCTGCATCTCCTCAATTCTCATTGACGTCAGGCATGCTGGCCTTTACCGGAGGAAAATCACGCAGGTTGCGTTTAGAGCATCATCACCATCATCATCACCATCACCATCATCATCCTTAGCGGCAGCGGCAGCATCCGATGGGGAAGGAGAAGTGGTCCGGGGTGAATACGGAGAACATTTCCCTCCGTCATGCACAGTCTCTCTCACTCTCACCTTTTCCGTGAATCCGCGCGCGCGTCTGCCGACGTTACAGCTGTCCGCGCGAGGAGAAAAGGCCCGGAGGTTCCATCCTTCACATCCGCGCCTCTCGCCCCGGTTCATTCGCCTTTAGCTGCGGTCTGCAGGGGCACAGAGAGACGTACGAGCGCCGCGCTGCGCTCGGCATCACCAGCGACCCAGCGGCAGAGGACGGCGGAGCACAGCACCACCTACTACACTTTTACGCATGTGCGCACGCACGCTGGTTAAAGGCGCACTGCACGCTCTGGAATGTGTGTCTTCAGCGCGGGAGGGGTTGGTACGATTGTATTATACTTTTACAAAGATTGGGGAATCCAAAGAGAAGGATTTGAAAAATCAAATAAAACACAGTACAAAAAACACTGTGTTAACCTTTCCCATTTTACAACAACTGGATTCATAGTTGCCACAATGCATTAGCATATCTGGGAGTCGTCCCCCCTCACATTCGTTATACATATTTCCTGCATCTTAGGTGATGTCCCTGTATAGTTTCCTAACATTGCAGCACATGGCCCTCCGGAGGACGCGTTGACCCCGCAGGCAGGTTAAGTCACGAGGTTATGAAGCTTCTTTTTTGCCATCCAATCCATTTGACACGATGTCTCGGTAACCGGTAACCGGTAACACAAGCCCCAAATGCAACGATGCCCAACACTCAGCCTCCGTTGCCATGGAGATGACTGATGACATTTAGCAGCTAAATTCGCCCAGAATTGACCAGAATCCAGATGTGGATTTTTATTTTTAGGTTGGATGTTTCTTGCCATAATTTTACAAACAATATCAACGTGGACCTGCGGTTTACAAAGACACACATATTTATTTTATAACTGAGGATTTAAACTGGCGAGTCTCGTGCCAATCCGAGCCACAGAAGATTTATCAAACAGGTCTATTGTAAAAAAACAAGGGCTAGTCATTAGACCACCACGGCCCACTTCTAGTAAACATAACTACCCCGATATGTAAACTCAGGCTTTCTGCTTTTTGTTAAACTTTCAATCACAAGCTGATATTAAACATGGAACAATGTGTGAGACTTTCTTTGTGAGCATTGACGTCCCTCTGCGTGAGACAAAGAGGAGACATGACGCTTTTCTTTTAATTATTTATTCATAATAGTCTATAACTTCTAATAAAATACACTTTGTTTATAAGTGCTGATTACTATTTTACATTCACCCGGAGTTTAAATGGAGACAAAATGATGCAGACATATTAAAAAGATTCATCTAGTGATAAAAGTTGACATTTTAAAAATGGTGTTGATTGTCCACGACACGTTCTGGACAAAGCTTTATGAACTGCTCTTCTGGTAAGCTCCGTGTCAGCGGGGACTGCTGCCTGACGCACCGCTCAGTCCTCAGAACTAAGATTTCAGCTGCCTTTTGAGTTGTTTGATTGTTTTGTGTTCATGTTTTTTGCAGTGCAACCCAGTCCCCAACTGTACAGGAGTAAATACAACATCCTAACATCACATGCAACCAAATAAGAACTTAATATTCATGGGGGATATATTCAATTTGTGGAAACAAAATTAAATACAGGTACGCCAGCTTTATTGAAATGGCCCTTAAATATGTGGAAGGCTCTCCTGACTCTCTCCATGTTTCCACAAGCCCCGATTTAATAAGAAATACATAAAAAAATTGACTTTATTTAAGCAAAGGGTGCTTTAAAAACGTAAAGTAATGACACAAAGGTCAACAGCACAAAAGGTTCATATAAACGACATCACCTCTATGGGAAAATATAGACCAACAGATCCAGGAGCAAGAACCAGAACTGTCCCATACAGGATATTGATGAATGGGCTTGATTTATAAAAGTCAAGTTATTCTCTGTCTGGCGGTCTGTCCAGGAAAAAACTGACTGCCAATATAGTATTATAGTAAATACCCTGTTGATATTCAAAAAACAATTAGCAAATAGATTTTTTTTATATTAAAATATATTAATTAAAATATATTACTTTGTGATTACAATATTACTTTCTGTAAAAGGTGACTTTGGAAAGTTACCTTAAAAATGATTGCTATAAAACAGGTCTACTTTGTGCCTCCAGATTTTAAAATAAAGTTGATACACAAACACCAAAAGAAAAAGCCGCTGAGTCGACGCTCCACACTGCTGTTTTGAAAGTTATTATATGGTACAGTGACGATTCACACTGTGTTAACTTTATCCAAATGGCTGTAACAACACCAATGTTCACACATTGTAGTTGTTGTACATTATATAAACTCCATGCAGTAATATTTTGTGCTTAGGGTACTTCATTCTCTGAATGATTCTCTGGAAAAAAGGCCATTTAAATGTACAACCACAGTACAACCACTTTCATATTGTACCGCCAAATCGTTTTGTAAAACTGAAGCGTGTTCTGATTAAATCACTTCATGATGAAACCTTTAGCGTTTTAGCATAACTTACTGTTGCTCTCCATTTTCTTTCCACATCAACAATGATTTGTAATTAAGAGGATTGATTTAATCAATGTGTGCAGCACAAATAAAAATAAATCTACATCAAGGCATATACCGTAAATCAACAAATATTTATAGTGAAAAAGCTTAATTATCTTCATTTTCTCCCTTGGCCGGTTTATTTTTAAGTGTTATTTTGACCGTTTTCCACTGCTGACCTTTGAATATAAACATACGATCATGAGAAAACTCACCTCATGGGTGACAATATCTACAAACTGGCTTCTTTGGGGAGAAAATGAAGGTTCACACAGTAGGAATTTACTCTAGACCTGGAAAATATCTCAATTTGCCCAAAGGAAGATGTCTGTAATGTTATATATAAAAGTTTCCAAACCTAAAGTTTCAATGTACACAGTTACTACCATGTATCCAGGTGGTTTTCAAGTGCTTAGTCAAAAACTAATATTGTTATGTGCAATCCTCACAAATCAAGCAATGTATTCTTTCTAAAGCTATTCATGTTCTTTTTAGTTATTGTGTGTGATGAGTAATAAATGTACAGTTTTTACACAAAAAGAGTTACTGTGCGTTGTACTTTCCTGCCATGCGTGCATAAATGCCAGGAGGTACTCTACACCAAATGATTATCATAAGCGCCCTTTTTTGCCATTAAACCACAACTAAATTGGGCCCAATAATAAAGTGTCAGTATTATTAACAAAACAGTCATTATGTTCTACAAAAATAGCAACATTCATTTTTTCTCTCCTCTTTTAGTTTCAAACTACACGTATATACTATATATAGATTTATATATATATAAAAATATATGACACTAACCCTAGCCGAGTGCAAACATTGCCAGACTTTACCTTGGTCACACATCTCACACACTACTGAGTTGATTGAAAATCTGATTGACATCTCTCTCAAAAAGAGCTTTTTATAGTCGTCGAAACAAAAGACCATCCAGTGTAAATCCTTCCATTTCGCACAGCGGCCGCGTGATGGTTGTTTCGTCCGCGGGCTGAAAGCTCTTCACCCCTGCGGCGACTGATTGTCAATGACCTGCTCCTGCTTCGCGTCTGGCTTCAACACGAATCAAACCGCGACCTCCGTCGCGAAGGCCTCCTCGTTTCATATCATCGCACGACTAAACACGACACGCACAGTTTGGAGGGGCCGATGCAGTCGTCGTGGCAAAAGGCTCCGCATCCCTTGCACACGATCATCGCCTTCAGTCTGCAGTAGCACTTGGACTGCACCTCCTCCATGTCGGCGCCCTCGATGAACGCCCGCTGGGGCGAGGCCTCGCCCGGGTCGCCGCGCTCCGCCGAGTGGCCGGCGGGTATGGTGGTGACGGTCACGGAGAAGGACATGACGCTCCCGCCGCCGTCCGCCTCGGACGAGGCGGCGGGGGAGCACACGCCCGCGGCGCTGTGGCTCAGGGTGTGAGGTACGGACATGCTGATGGTGCCGCCGTAGCATGGCGCCGCCGCGGCTTCCTGGTCATCGAGCGTCCTCTGCGCGTGAAAAGCAGCCTGCCGCTGGTGGTGGGGGTCCGCTGGCGTAAGACACGGCTGGGAGTTTCCTTGGGTACTAGTGCGGAGTTGCAGGTGCCTTCGGAGTGACTGAGAAAAGGAGCTGGCGGCGCCGGGGCAGCTGTGTTCGCCGCAGGCCGCGCCGTCCTCCGATCCAGGCTCGGTCTTTACGCCGGGGCAATGCTGAACGCCTGACGCCTCGTCAAGCTTGGCTATCGAGAATCCAAGCTGCTCGCTTTTAACCACAGCGGCAGGGAAGAAACATTTACTGGCGGGTTCTTCTCCCTTTGCCGCCTCCTCTTCTTCTGTGCTTTCCCTTTTTAAACTGGACAAAGACACGTTGGAGATGACGGACTGCTGCAGTTTCTTGCCCTCCTGTCCTCGCCCGTACGTGGACACGTTGAGCAGGTAATGCCCCGTCATGGCAGGCCTGGGTATCCTCTTTCGACCCAGAAGTCCCCCCGTAATCCTGGATTTGTCCTGGCGTTCTTTTGCATGCACCAGCTGGTGGACATCGTGCTGAGGCCCCACGCCAGCGTGAAACTGGCTCTGCTGGCCTTTCCTCTGCATTAGAGTCTGCAGGATCTGCTCCTGAGTCTGCTTGTCGGGGAGTTCCCTTTGGTGCCTTGTGTATTCTGAGACCACTCCTCCTGCTGCATTGAAGTGGTGGGACAGTGGCTTATCTGCCCTGTGCTCAGCAGAGTGCGCCGTCCTCCCCTTACTACCGCAGGGTACGTTTGACATCTTCACTTCCAAGGTGGAAATCGATTTAGGGAGGATCTTCTCCAACGGAACCTCCTTCCCCTGCAGAAGCTGAGTGACCAGCGTGTTATTTGCACGTGCACAACAGCCGGCCTTTGTTGATCCAGCAATGGTTTCCTGTGCCTTCAGGGCGTGCGCATGAACGCCATCGGGTGCTGCACCGACCGAACCAGCAGATTGACTTTGGACGTCTTCGTCCGTTTTGCTGGGGCGAGATGTATCAGACGACTTGGGGCTTGGCTGACCAAAAGATTCCAGTGGGCGAGAAGGAGGCGTACCGGTCCGACTGCTGCTGCTGGAGGCCGGTAGCCTGGTCGATGCCTGGGGGGGCGTCGAGCTGGGCGACGGCAGTTTCTGCTCACCGCTGCCTCCGCCCGGCCCCGGGCCCGGCACCGCTCCCTTCGATGCGACCCGCTGCGCCCGGGCCAGCTGAGCTTTCGCTTTGATGTCAGCCAAAGTGCGAGCACCGGTACGGCCCGGGCTGCTCAGCGGGGCTGGGAGAGGAGTCCTGGGGGAGACTTGACTTGGTGACAAAGGAACGGGAAGAATTCGTGCCACCGGTATCTGTGGAGTTAAAAGAGAAAAGGAGATTTTATAATAATACCACAAGACTTGCATTGAAGTTTCTCCCAAATATAGATAAATACAATATTTATCAGCAGCAGAGAAATGCGGAAGGGGTTTGAGAAATTTCTATGCATCATTTCCCTAATGCCTCTCTAACTACTGCGGATGTGTGAATGCCGCCTTCTGCAAAGAAGCAAGCTAAACCTTTCTTTAGCCTGCTTCTTTGCACCTTCACCTCTTCTTTTCTTCCATGAAACCTTTCTAGTGCACTTTCTTGTTTCTTGCTCTTCTGAGTTTGTATCCCTGTGGTTAAATGCACCCATTGTAAGTCGCTTTGGATAAAAGCCTCAGCTAAATGACATATAATGTAATGGTACGTTACTTCCGTTTACTCAAGAGGTAGCTACATGTTTCCTACCTTGAGTGGAGGAATCCTGTGATTTGTTGCCGAGGTTGGTGTAGCAGGGCTAGACAAGGATGTCGCTGGAGGAGATACAGAGGAGACTGAGGACAATGAGGACACCGAGGTCAAACGGGGCCTTTTCTCTGGTGTCAATTCGTCGCCGATCCCACCGAGAGATTTCCTTTTCAGCGGCTCAGAGTCTTCGGCTGGCTTAACCACAGACACCTGTGGCTGGTCCTCTATTACCTCCAAACTAGCCGATAATGAGCGGCTCGTCTTTACGGGCAGCTGGGGGAGTTTGGTTTCCTCCTGCTTCACTTCCTCTTTAAACTCCTTCTCAGGCAGTGCACCTGCTGAGGCCTTCTCAGTCGGCTCCTCGGCCTGCGGTCTCTTCGCCGCAGGTGTCGGCCCGGGCTGCGCCGTGCCGCTCAATTTACGGCCCTCGGCGTACTGCGCCCGCCGCGTCCTCATGGGCTCGGTGGTGGGGACGGGCTCCCTCTGGGCAGACTGCGTCTTCCCGGGCTCCTTCGGGGGCTTGGCGTCCTTCGCGGCGGTAGCTGCAGCGTCGCTGTCCTCGTTGACCTTGGGATCCACCGGTGCCTGAGCGGCAGGTCCCGTCCGATGAGGCGGGGAACGGGGCCCGGCGGACTCCGGATTCACGTCAGCCTTCGTCAGCTCTTTGGATTCCTCAAAGCTGAGCCCAGAACTAGTCAGAGACAAGAGGAAGGCACACGGATGGACCAAGAAATCAATGAATCAGGTGATCTCGCTCTTAAAAGGAACACAGACATTTCTGAACCATTGAGCTTGTGAAGGAATTATAAGGAATATACAGTACACTAGTAGTGAAGTGACATTATTTTCACGGGATTGTTAACTTTCTTTTTTTTAATTAACCTAACAGGTTGATTCAACATATCTTTAAGCAATACGATGCTGTAAATAATACTTACTTTTCCCCATAATAGTTTTCAAAGAAGCCGTCCTTCCAGAGCTCAACTCTTTTTTCCTTCTCTATTTCTTGGCGTATTCGTAGCTGCAACTCAGGGGTGAATTCTCCTGTAGAGAAAACGTTCTGTGTTGTAGCACTGAACCTTGGTGACATGATTATATATTATTAATTATATTATGAATGTGAACTGAATGCAGTCATTAGCAGATGGAAACAGCTGCACTGACCCTCAGCCAGTCTCTCCTTCCAAGATTGAGCCGCTGACGTGAAGAACTCATTGTTCAAGGCAGAACTGGTGACCTTCTGAAGGCCGTCCATGCAAGCCTGGGGGGGGGGGAGGAGGCACAACGTTATGACTAACACCATCATCGGTACGGGGACTTCTGCTTCTCATATACGATGCACAGGACATTTAATGAATGCTGCGATGAGGTTAGCTGTGTGGTTAATGCTCAGGTTTAACACAGTTTCAACTTGAGTGCTAGTTCATGTCAGAAACGCAAAAGAAGGAGAATTTTGCAGCCACCTGACGGTCAACTTCAGGAAGAAGTTTGAGCAGCCGCTGTTGGCAGTCAGGAGGCAGGACGGAGAAGGTGTGCTTGTTGATGATCGCCCTTAGGTTGGTGTTGACCAAAATGGAGTCTGGAGTTTCCACATCTATTTTGCACTTTGTACGTCTTAGCTGGCCTGCAATGTCAAAGCAGAAGCAAAGACGATCACGCAACTGAGGCTTTGGGTCGTTTACTCCAACGCGTCTTGTCATTTGTTTCCATGAATCGACTACACATCTGTGGCGGTACTGTCCGACCTCCCTACTGTAATAAACCATTGCAGTCGTAATTCATTGTGACATTACAAAATGTGTTTTGTGAGGTCATAGGGAAGTTTTTCTTCGGCCACCAAAATGGAATCATTCCTCCCTTGAGTCGAGGTGGACTTTGATGCCTCATTTGAAAATATTCCCCTCGGGCGTCCTTGAGAAAATATAGAAGTTCACCAGCCATTGGATTTACTGAGTAGATGTCTGACTGACCTGCCCCAAGGCGGCCTGACCTCTGAGAAACCTTCCGAGGGACGACTGGGCGGCACAAGTCTGTTTGGAGAGGAAAAGTAGAAAGATCTAACTGTTTCCACAATGATGCTGCCAATTATATGACTCATGTTTGGAAGATGGTGGTGATGGTGATGCAATGCCTTCTGTTGAGCAACAATAACAGGACAATTCTTAAGAACTGCATCTGTCATTCGAAACTCGCTTATTATGATATGACTGGTTCAATATCCCAAATGACTACTATTGATTCCTTTTTATATTGCATTTGACAATATAATAGCTGCCACCTACCGGTCTTAGTAGCACTGGTGTCGGACATATCTTTGATGGTTTTCAGAAGTAGTCTAGGACTCTGGCTGGTTGGCATCCCCCCCTGTCTGCGCTGGTTTCTCTGTTGCTGCTGCTTCAAGGCCTGAAACAGAGAAAAATAAGGAAGAAACGGACGGACATGAGCAGTATTAGAAAAACGTGTGAAACCCGCTGTTTTCCCTGCAACCCCTCCTCCTTCCATCCATCCATCCATCTTCAAACCGCTTATCAGTCAGGCGGGGGGGGGCGGGGGCAATCTCAGCTAACTTTGGGCGAGAGACGGGGTGCAGAGACGGGGTGCAGAGACTGGGTACACCCTGGATTCGCCATCGAATGGCAGGGCTGACACAGAGACAAACAACCATTCACACCCACGGGCAATTTAGTGTTACCAATACTAATCTACAGAGCATGTCTTTGGACTGTGGGAGGAAGCCTGAGTACACGGAGAGAACATGCAGACTCCACACAGAAAGGCCACTGCTCGCCTGGTTAAATAACAGGTGAGTAGCAGTGCAGCAATGAAGCATAAGTTGCATAATACAGGCATAACGCAACTCTGCGTTGTGAATCTCACAAGAATCACCTCACAATGTCAAACGATAAAAGAAGCAATCTAAGAAGATCCGCCAATTGTCTTTGTTTGGTTTTAAGAAGAAAATACACAATAACTATTTTTGCCCAATCGAAAAACCTTCCTGTGTTTCCTACGCTCAGTAAATGAATACAAATTGCTCCTTCACAGCTAAAGGCCACACCAGCACAGATGGAGTGAATTACAATCTGTCCAATCAGGTGAAATCTATTTAAATACAACACAAGAGCCACAAACAGCCAAAGGGAGAAATGTTGAACAGGGCGGATTATGAGGACATTGACACTAAAAAAAAGCAGCTGTAGGGATTTTTCCTGCCACCTCATTGTTTTGAAGCCTGAGATGTTTTACAGGAAGGGAACGGAAGGATAGTTATTGCAGCCAACATGTTTATGTACACGTTTAGTGAAAAGGTGTCAGCAGACAAGTTTAAAGAATGTGGTGTGACAATAACTTCTGATCTTAATAAGAGGTGCAGATTGATTCAGATTGACATCAGAACAGGTTTTTCATATTAATAGTACCAGTCTCCTTTAAAAACGCCACACTGTGTATGTTGACGCAAGTAAAACTACACAAACATACTACTAAACGTAACAAGAGTGCATTTGTGTGAAGGAGGGTGTGGCAGGAACTTGTGCAGCAACCAAGACGTGTTTACGCCACTATGAAGATATCATTAGCGCAGTCGAGGAATAAAGAACGTGCTGGCGAATGTGTCTGTACCTGTTTCAAAGCTTTCTTGCCGTGTTTCTGCGAGGGAGAGATGAGTTTACCGGCGGGGACAGAAGGCGACGTGCACCGAGGCTGCGGAGAGGACGGCTGTGACTGCAGCTTGGAGGGAGCTACCAAATACAAACGCACAAAACAGATGTTACAGAATACACTTCCTGAGGCTGGTTTACACACTTTACAACGTCGGGCTTTTGTTTGGATGAAACCGAAACCAATGCCTTGCACAAAGAAGCAGGTTGCATTACGTCGCTCAAATAGCATATTCCTTCAAATGGGCAGAACAACAGCGAGATCGTTCACGTCAACCTCTCTGTTATACATGTATACATGTATATATATATATATATATATATATATATATTACACACACACACACATGTAAAAAGAAAAAACACATTTGACATTGCGATACTCTTTGCATTGATTGCTTCAAAAATAAAACAATATCTGCATCCTCCCACTCAGACCCAAGGTTATTTGCTTGGCAGTTTCTAACTAGTGCATAATGAGGAAGTGGTCACATGTCATGCTGAGAAGATCCAGTTTCCTGTTCTAACAATCACTTAAAATATTCAAGCGGCAGAGAGAAATAATGAGTCATTGATAGCGCAGTGTAATAATTCCTACTTGAGGAGAAGATCATTCTCCCAACTCGCTGTGCATCCCGTGCAGTCGGGCGTGCTATTCACAAGAAGATGATTACACGGCACACAAGCTGCCACGGCGTGACCTTCATGTGCAGCCTGCCGCTGCTCTGATGCAAAATCAATAAAGGACCCTTTGGACACGGTGCGTCTGCTTAAAAAGATAAAAACCCACCTTTTGCATTCATCATGTTTGACGCTCAGTGTATTCCAAGACTTGTTTCCTCTGAGGAGACGATGTAATTTATGCTGCCGCCTTATTCGGCTTCTTCAGCTGGTTTCCTTTGCTTCCGCAATGACTTTTCTCAACGGCTGAGAAGGGGCGTTAACTGCCGTGGTCTTAACAGAGCTCGCTAACCAACCAGCAGGAAGGAACTAACGAGTAGAGGCACAATTCCTACTTAGGGCCTCATCGCTGCCGATGGTGGCAAACATGGTGTATTTGTCTCCTATTGACAAGCCTTCATTCTTTAGCTCTATAGACAGAACTTTAAAAAAAATCCCACTTGAACATTGAAGTTTGGCAATATTACATTTCTTGCAAAGTCCTCAACCTAAGTAAAGGCATGTAGTGATATGCAAACGGTTAGCATCGATTCCGTAGGCGGTGCACAGTACCTCTTCGCATCCACCTTCCTCTCCTGCCCTCTCGTGCGAGGGCGCTGCTGTCGTTTTCTGTGCTCTGGGAGTCCGACAGATTGTCACTGCTCTCCTCGGAGCCCTCCTCAGACAGTTCGTTTGCCACATCGGAGATGTCCTTCTACATATTATGGAAAAGGGAAGAACGGTTATTCTCAAGCACCGCCTGCGTCCATCCCACTTCATACACATGGAATTCAACCAACGCCCTCAGTCTAAGAGCACGCGGGTGCCCATCTTTGGTTACTCTCTCATGACGCTAACGGGAAGGAGGTTTTCCCGTTCTTGAAGTAGACTGGCAGCCTAATCTTTTACACAATAGTGGCACGGTAATGGTGGGCTACCTAACTAACTGACCTTTAATGTGTAGACCCCCATCCTGCCTGGGACTTTGTAGAAGATCCCCTCCTCTCCACGAGAGTTTGTGTGCAGCATTGCGTTCAGACATGCCAGCGGCGAGGTTCCACTGGATCATGAGGGGGGAGAAAAAAGCAAATCACACATCGTCTTCAAACAGCTGGGAGAAAAGACGCGAGAAGTGGAAAGGCTGGTCTGATATCCGGTGGGGGAAATTGCTACAAAAGCGTCAAGAGAACATGACTTCAGGGCAGATTGACATCAGTGCAGTTAATGAATTCAATGTTTTGAACAGAATCAGTTGAGTAAAACTAGTTCATGACAAATCTGCTGTAGTTAAGTCCAACATTTTCATAGCATACTTGAGTTAATTAAGGACTCAGCCGCCTCTGTATCCAGGGAGACATAGTGAGGCGGAATTTCTTTTTTTTCTGTCAGTGGAAGATGCAGTATGCTATGTAAAGTGAAGTTAGAAAAACATTTTGTAATAAAACAAATTGAGAAAAATGCAACATGTGTTTAACAAATATTTCCCGCAGGATAATTTATCTTTTAACCCCCCGTACATATTTTGTGGATAGTGTAACTGGGTTGATTTTTTAATCAATAGAATGGGAACATCTCCATCAGAATCAATCCTTTACTTTTTCATAATGTTGAGTATATTTTTATGCAACAAGTGGATTATGAATTATAGCAAGTCTAGTTAAAACACTGTCTATATGCAAATGCACCCTAGGCCATGTTATTGTTAATAACATGCAAAAGTTAAACCCAGACAAAGTAGCATGGCAGTGAGTTTGTTAAGATAAGGGGTGGGGGCTAGTATTTCTTACCTTCTGGATGAGAACAGTGACAGTGAAACAAAAAGAAATGAAAGAGTTATTGATTGAGTAAAATAACCGTTGCTATGTGAACACGAAAAAAGGGAAGTACTGATATAAGCAATCAATAACAGCGGGAGGAAGCGGTGTCCTCCCTCTCTCTTTCTCGGGATGATGTCTCCTATCTGAAAGACATTTGTTGTCGTAAGGCGAAGATACCAGGATCATATTTACCTTATTTCTTTAAGTCTTTCTCTTTGGATCACCTGCAAGATCTCCTTGTGGCTCATGGGCGTGTTTGGGTATTTCTCCAAAACCTAAAAATAATAACGTAGCATTATCAAAAACAAGCTCACAGTAGAGACTTTCCCTCCGGTGTTCAACGTACAGGCTTTCTATTTTAGTCCCAGCTTGTACAGTCGTGTCGAGCCTGTAACATGTTGAGCATCTCAGCAAAACAGGACTCGGAGTAACGGTATCACAGGGAATGTTAACCATCGCTGGAGTTTAACGTCGTGCGTTTAATGACCAGCCTAACTGCAGATAACGCTTATGCACAGCTGAAAGGTGGACGTCTACATAAACAACGTTGAGCTTTAATTATGAGTCAGTTGTGGGGAGTTTTGATATGTTTGCGGTCATTAGCATGCTAACCTAGGCAGCTAGCTATAGTGCTAGCAGCATTCATTATATTCTGACATATCGCCAAGCGTTTGCTTGTAATATATTAACTTGGTTACGTATTTTGGCGACAAGGCAGCGGATTTCAATCTTAATTCAATGCGAATATTCTCTGTTATACCGCTTTCAGTTTGCGACTCATATCAAACTTGTTGAAGAACTAGTACGCGTTAGCAGGAGCTAGCGTGCTAGCCTGGCTAGCAGCGGGCAACCCTGACGTGATCAACTTCGGGTTTACTTTATTCGACGTTCAGATCGTGACAAACATGTCACCTGCGGCATGTGGACGCAAAACACACATGTGGGGGTTTTCTTTTTTTCTATTTTTCATTTTTAAGTAAAAGACGCTTCGGGTGCACACACAGCCGACAGTTGCCTCGACGCATTACGCTGCACCGATGACAGCTACGCGGCTAACTGGTGACAGCGCTCCTTCGAACGCCCAACCGTCAACACGGGCCTCGCGGGTCGTGAACCCGTAAACACAGTCGTACAAACCGGGAGCGATCAGAGGGGGAAAAACAACCACGACCAACGGCGGATTTAAAAAACAACAACACCACCTAGAATACCGTTTTAGCGGCTTCCGCCCACGTCCGCCCTTTCTTTTTCTTCTGCCTCTCCCGCATTGTTGCCGTCTCTTCCCGCGGAGCAGCGTTGGATGTGTCCGTTCCAGTTGGAAGTGTTGCTTTAGTCACCGTGGAAGATCCACTCCGTCTGCCATGTTGGACTTACTGTAAACGGGTCACGTGACTCCGGAGGAAACGTCAGCTCACTGTATGAAGCCGCCGCGGCGAGGTCTCCGGGGTTTTATTTGTTTATTAAGCTGCCCGCTGGAATTACGAACCGGGATCGCAGTAAAAACGGTTTGGGGAAAAATATACAGCAGTCAGTTCAAGATCACATCCGTGTTTATTCTCACGCGTAAGCGAACGCACTTTGTCACGACTTCACAACTATGACAAAATAAGGCAGCTAATCAACGGAGCATCTTCACTTTTGGCTCAAAATGACATTGCCAAGAAATTCAAGTAACATTCATCAAGCATACAGGATAAAGACCAGGGAGGCCCCCCAGTGGTTGGGGCCCTCAATTACTACTTTATGTTGTTTTGGCAAAGACTAGGTACTTATCAACTTGAGAATTAAAAACTTAAAACCATCAAAACAATAAACTGGTTTTAATAAGTTTGTGCTGTGCTAATCATTGAGACAGAGGTAAGCCATGTGCTTTGTATAAGGCAACAGTCTTCCTTTTTCCTTTCCTTGGAGTTGAATACATGCTTACTAAAGTAATTCTTTCTCAAGAAAAAAAAGATGCAAAATCAATTTGAAAAATGTAGGTAAAATATAACCTGGCCCCCCAACCATGAACTAAGGCCAGCCCTCTACACAGTTGACGCAGATCACATATCAGGGGCGCTTGTCTGAATGGGACTTTCCAGTGGAAGATAGGAAGCAGATGATGGTCTTTGTCTCTGAGAGGCAGAAGAGGAGCTATGAGATTGTGATGTCAGAGTTGTGGATGATGAAGATGATGAGATGGATGTTGCTCGTGATGCTTGGTACCTGTAAAACATTAAAACAAAGATAAGGACATTTAAAATGCAGCATTCTATGGTCTTGCGTCATACATTTTAAATTATTCCACAAGATTTAATGGTGTTGATATCAAATCAATGTACGCATCAGTAGGTATTTATTTTAAAAACTAAGACTAATGCTGGATTTGAGTGTAAAAAAATGTTGGGGGAGGAAATCAGTGAGCAGAAGTAAATGCTGTATGAAATAAAAGAGTAGAAATCATGTAAATCCTCTTGTGTATTGATTTAAACCCACCTTTCTGAATTGCAATACAAAAAGGAAATATCTCCATAACTGAACCCATAAATATGTGCTCAAAAATGTATTTCAGAAACTAGGGTAGAACATTCCTTTCTCGGCTGTTGTCTCACCAGGATTGGGACTTCCTGACCCGTGACGACGCGGCGCTGCCCTCTCTAATGGGACCAGTTACCAGGAGGTCGCACATCAGCCTGGGAGAAAAGGCTCTCTCCAGGTGAGCGCCGTTCAGTTTCAAAGTGAACATGGTCGGGGGAGACATGTCTAACTCCAACAGCATTATGTTCTCAGCCTGTCGGAACAAACACAAGTGAAGATTACAAATTATTATTAATAATAATTATAATGCAAATACATGTTTTGTATGTTTATTACTTGAAATTAAGCCAATTTTGGAGTGCTGTCTTTTATTTGTATAATATTCTTTTAACTTTATGGGCTAACATTTAGTTTATTGTCACACAATGTAACTGTTAAAGCTGTAAATAGTTTCCATAGCTACTACAGCCGTTTCCACGTCCTCTAGGTCCAAGTGGGAGGTTGTGAAGAGGAAATCCGTGGCGCATAATCCCACGATTTCACATCTTTTGCCTCTGCTGTACTTTTTGCCAACTGTCCGAGCACTGACCTGGTATCTGGATGGGGCCCCAGTTGCCGTGGAAACCGCCATCTGTGCATATTGGCTGATTGGCCTCTTGTATCCAACAGCAGAGAGAGGCCTTCTCTTGACCTGAGTGGGGGCACTGGGATAAACACACAGGAAAAGACGGGTTTGTATTCTGTTTAATGTACATGGCTGTTGAGTCTCCAGCTTCCGGAAGCTTCTCAAGTGCCCCATATATGGTCAACCAATCGATTCCCAGCGAGGGAAAGAAAACCTGTTATCCTCGCAGTGTTACCTTCCAGTCAGCTCTCCAACGACATCAAGAAAGAAAAACACCACGCGTGTCTGGTTTTCTTTATACAAAGGCATCTGTTTACTGGAAATGTAGTGCATACATATCCATTGCATTTAGATTCATTTGGCTTTACAGCTTTACAACCCTTCTGTGTGCATGTAAAACACAGTGGTTTTCAGCTAAATAGACATAATCCAGAAGACCATTAGAATGATTTGAGAGGTGCTACAATCACAATTACTCGGGTATAGACCCACTGTCCTTCAGCCTGTCTGATGTATTTATACTTCTTTTACTGGTTTTCTACATTTTCCTCCTGCCGATGCATTTAGGAGTAATATGTAGAGGTCAAATGAACCAAAATAGCAACTGCAGAGTGACAAAAAAATAAAATCCACAAAAAACAATAAAAAGACACAATATCCCTTAAAGCTGTTCTGCATTGTGGTCTATTTATGTAAATAATTGTGTAGAAACTTGTTATCTCTGCTGCTCGTGTGGCGGATTTCACACAGTAGGTCAGTTTTATGCCGTTTGTGGTTGATGTACTATTTGTTTTGGATGATCTTTCTTGTTTGCAGTACCACTCCCAGCAGGCAGCGATCACTGACCTCTCTGATGGAAGTACCGGCTGCAGTGTCCACTGATCCTCCTCACTGTCAAAGTACAGTCTATTCATGATCTTGTTCTTCACCTCTGGAGGTATGAAGTTCTCAATCAGGAGATATCTGCAATAGGAAACAGAACAGCGGGAAAATTGAAGAGGCGGCCAAGAAAAGTTTGTGTAGTTGAAGCAATTTGAGGAGAGGTCCTCTTAGTAAAACCTTTTATCCCATGACAAACCAAAACAAAATGCTGTCTAAGAAATATAAAGTATTTAATTTCCTGCCTGGAGAGATGAAGAAAAATATGCTCCGACATTGATTTGCTGACTTGATCATAATAACATTAAGGAATTCTAGGAGAAATTCAAAAGCGTATTTTTCATCAAAATGCATATCTTTGATATCAGATATGTTATGACCCCTATGACCCTCTGCAAACACAGTAGAACACAGCTCAACGCAGTTTTTAACATGACAAAATGTTCAACTACATGGTAATGCCACACTGAAAAAAATTAATGTTGACGTTTGCAACATCGCGCCATTTAGGATGAAACGCTTTCTGCCTTCCCCGTCTTTCAATTCATTGGGAATGATTTGAACGCGACGGAAATCCACCTGTGACGGCGATGTGAAACAGCAGCGCAGGTACACGAGCGTGTACTCCCTGCTGTCACTACTCACTTGTACTTGAGTTCTCTGGTGAGCTCGCTCTGCGTCTGTTCGAGCTCCTGTCTGGTTATGACGTGTTCGTCAATGACGTCTCTCGCCTCTGCCTTCACCAACTGCAGTTTGGCGTACAACTGTGGGCATAGAGGACGCTGGTATTAGTGAGATGACGCTGTTGTTACCGGTGAGACTAAAGCTGCACTGGAGGAGATGTTGATGATACAAAACACACACACACACACACAGAGGCTTTCATTCAGAAAGAATCAGAAATAAAAGCCCCGGAAACAAAACTGATGCTTAACAAACTGCTTTGCATTATGATTCATTCGTTTTGGGATCTCACCCTCTTCAGCTTTCTTGTCTTGTGATCCACCTCCTGCTGCAGGGAGGAGAAAGTCTCTCTCATTTCCAAGGTCTCCTCGTCCTGCAACATCATCTGCTGCCGGATCTCACGCTCTCCTCTTATCTGCAGCCCAGCAAAGGTATGTGTATGTTATAAAACAAAAAAAAACACACCTAGAAGCATTAAATAGACATTATTGTTGTTTTTCTATACCTGTTCTGCAATTTCTTGCCTCTTCAGCTCCAGCATTTTTTGCTGCTCATTGGTGTGATCAATTATGGTCTTCCCTCCCACTAACAGTTTGCTCTCCATAGCCTGTGAACAAAGACAGACAATGAATTATTCATGTCAATTTCTTTTGTTCCACCAGTGTCTCATTACTCACACTCTGTGATCAAAACACGCACCTTGTATTTCTCAATGATCTTCTCCAAAGCATCTTGATCCCACTGCATGTCCACCAAGCTTTTCCTGTTTTCGTTCAGGTGCTTTAACCTCTCACCGCCCCTCTGGCACGACAGAGCTTTGGGGAAGTCACTTTCATCCTTCAAGTGCCGCCTGACCTCAGGTTGCTCTTCGAAGGCCTTCCACACCTCCTCGTCCCTCTCCCTGAACATCTCCTCCTCCGTGCCGGCTATGCTTTTACTCAGTCTCTTGCTATTCCTCCTCCTCCGCCGCTCTTTGGCCAGCATCCCTCGCTCCTCCAGCTGGGCTTTCAGGCGCGCGATCTCCTCCTGGAACTCCCTCAGCAGGGCGTCTTTGGGATCCTCGTTGATCCGAGGCTTGTTCTTTATGTTCTTGGCCCTGTTGGCGTACCTCAGGGTGGCCAGGGATTCGTCAAAGTGCTTGTGCGAGGGCCCCACTGTTGCAATCATGACCGTCTTGGCGTTGCCCCCCAGCGAGTCCTGGAGCAGGCGGGTCAGCTTGGAGTCCCTGTACGGGACGTGGCTGCTCTTCCCATCCACCAGGGCCGATATTACATTCCCCAGCGCCGACAGCGAGAGGTTGATCTTGGCTGCTTCTTTAAGTCTCTGCCCTTTCGCACCCGTCTTGCTCTGGCGCTCGCTGCCGGCCAGGTCGACCATGTTGAGCTTCCCAACGCGGATGTGGTCCTCGCCATCTGGTCCGATCTCGCTGCACTCCACGGTTATGACAAAGATGGCGTGAGAGCGAGAACTGCGCTCGTTCATGTTGGTGAACCCCACGGACCTGGACTGGGATCCTATGTTCATCACATGTTCAATCTCAGCGGCGTTCTTTGTGACCACCGAGGACAGGTCCTTCACATAAACCCCACAGTCAGGGTGTTCTTTGAGCTCCAGCTTCCGGTTATCTTTGCACAGCAGATCTCGGATGTCCTCCTGGTAGATCTCGAGGTACGATGACCTCACCAGGTACTTCTGATTCTGAGTCCTGGATATGTGTGTGAAAATGTGCTGGAATGAATTTGGTATGACGCCTCTCATCTGCGGGTCGTTTGAAACCCCTTGCATGGTGTGCGTTTTACCGGTCCCGGTCTGTCCGTAGGCAAATATGGTCCCGTTGAAGCCCCGGAGCACGGAGTCCACGAGGGGTCTCACGGCATCGTCGTAAATGTCGCCCTGATTTGAATCCCAGCCGTACACGGAATCAAACGTGAACACTTTCCTCGGCTCGTCGGGTGGCGCCTTCGGCTTCTTGAGGGTGATCTGTCCCAGTCGGTCATCAATCTGCAGGATGTCTTCACAGTCCGCGGTCTCCTCGCTCCTGCTGATGGGCCGGCATCGCACCACCACCCGCACCGCCTCGCAATGTTTGGCTTTAGGCATTTTGGTCCATAACAGAGTAAATAGAATTCGGAAAAAGAAAAAAAAGTGCCGTCAGTCCGTTATAAGGGCGTTCTCTCTCTCAGGTGGTGTAATGTCTCTCGGTGCCAGCGGGCAGACGCGCCCCACGTGGGCCGCTGCGCTCGGCCCGATGGAGTCGCAGCATCTCTCCGGAAAGGAGCGATGTCACCGGCTGGTAGAAGGGATGCTGCCTGCTGAGGAGCGGACACTCCCCGCCGTACACGCCCTGCTCTGCGGACAATGGAAATCACACATGTGACCCAAGCAACGAATTGGAGCGCAGCGTGGTACGCAGGCGTGGTCTCGCGGTGTTGATAAATTACCCTGCACCTGACACTTGAACGCACCTTAACAGAAGAAAAAAAGGCAGGTTTGATTCCGTAACAAATTTTTATTCGGACTTTAGATTTACAACATTGTTCAAACGAGGCCAGAAAACGTCTTCAACGTACAAAAAAAAGACACGCTGAAACATCCTGGTAGACATTCATTAATAATAGAGTTAATTCATCAGCTGGGAAAACGTTTTAATTCTTTAACCTCCACAGTGTCTTTCATTGGCAATGTGTGAATAATTAGCCTCCATCTGCTTCTCAAGCTATACATTACCATCAAGTAAATCAATGTTAAAGTACAAAAAACATCCAATTGTTCTGACATAACACACTCAGTTGCCATTTTATTGGGCGCACTGGATAAAACCATTGACTCCCACCTTCATGAAGGTTATATTGTCCTACATTTGAAGGCCAAGGACTGTATTAGACTGCAGAAACAAGATGTACTTAATAAACTTGCAACACAAGTGTATTCCAATTGGGTTTGCCCCCGATCGGGTTATACATGTCAGGCACATTCTAGTGGCGGACTGCAGGTCTATTAAATGCTACCGGCACACACGGTGAGTCAGTGGTTCACATGTGGAATCTCTTAGTAGAATCCTTTGCGTGATCAAGAAGGAGCTGGCACGGCGTAAACTGATTGCCGTAGACCGCTTCGTATTGCCTCATCTTCTCCACCAGCTTGTCGGCACCAAAGGAGTCCACGAAGCGGAAAGGTCCTGCAAGCAGGAAGACGCCATGTTTAGAATTATTGTCAGAGGATACATGTTTAATGGATAATGGGGATATTGATCTAGCATTGTTAATTTTTATAATTTGTGAACAACAGGGGGTTGCTAGTTAAATAAGGCTTATTTCAATAAATCCATAGTTATTCTTTCAGACTAGCCTGGTTCCAATCAGGTCATCAGGCTTAGCTCCACCTCCGGCTAAACAGAGTCACTGAACTATAAATAACAGATAAATTAAGTTCCATAATTCATCCTTAAATATGCCTCGTCACTGCAGATCCTCGGTTTTTTTAAATTCACATAAAAGACAGAACAGGACGCCCTTCGGGCTCTGTCTGTTTATAAAGGAAGCAGCCTCGGGGCACAAGCAGCTCATATGACAAGGACTAAGCTTGAACTCTGACCTCCAAGGCAGGGCGGGAATCCCAACCCAAACACAGCCCCGATGTCTCCTTCCAAAGGGTTGATCAAAATGCCCTCCTGCAAACACAGCACGGCCTCGTTGACAAATCGGGAAACGAGCCGGTACTGCACATCAGAGTCCGATGAACTGAAAAAAAAAAAGAAAAAAAAAAAAGAGTCATGTAAGAGTAAATCCCTCAAATGTAGATGGCTCAATAAGATTGTTTTAAGTAACAAATGAGACAATTTTACCAACAACTGCATGTGATTGTAATTTTACAGACAGGCACAGGGTGAGTCTTGATCACTGCTTTGTCCAATGTCAACTTACACAGCGGGATTTGGTTTCATCCTGAATTTCTCAAGGACATTGCCAATGTCTGGGTTCACCTCCTTGGTCTTGAGGCCTGGCTGATAGATGTAGCAACCCTTTCCTGATTTGCGACCTAGGGAATAAAAAAAAAAAAAGAATAAATAGCAAGGAATGAATAAAAAAGGAAACGTGCAGTGTACACAACACAAAACATTTTATTCAACAACTGTGCAAAATGCGTCAATGTGAGAAACCACACCTTTGAATCCCAGGTCCACCATGGTCTTCAGAACCTCCACATTTCCTCCACCGAAGCGGGAGCCAAAAGCTTTGCCGAGGTCCTCGGCTACATGGGCGGCAACGTCAATACCAACTTCATCAGCCAACGTAGCTGCACCCACGGGGAACCCGAAGCTTGTGGTGAGTGCATCCAACTTCTTGGGGTCAACACCTTCCTGTGAATGCAAATAGATAGCTTAACCACACGCTTAGCAGTTAGGACAGAAGGACGAATAGGCTTTTTTCAAATTAGCTGATCGTGGACAGTCATGATCCTAAATCCTAGTACACAACAAAACAGTGTTCACAGATGCATTTTTAACCGGTAATACTACAAACCTGAAGGACTCTTACTGCCTCAGCCAACATGGGAGCCAGACACCTTGTTGTATAGAAGCCAGGTCCATCCTGCAAATACATTTGTAAAATATACAATTGAAGTATATATTATAATATATATATATATATAAAGTTCCTTTCAACAACTCAATTGCCTGTAACGGTGTCTTTTTAAACTACACAGGGAATAAAGACAACAAATGAGGCGTAACCTCACCCTGACAACAATGATGACTTTGCCCTGCTTCAGGCCGACTGCCACAGCTGAGGCTGTAGTGTCCTTGGACGTCTTATCAGTGGTTATAATTTCCAGGAGCTGCATCTTGTCCACTGGAGAGAAGTAGTGCATCCCAATCACCTAGGGATACACAGAAAGTATTCAGCAACATTGTTTTCTTTCATCTAAAAAGGCACTTTTGACACTACAAGGCAACCGGGTACCCACCTTGTCGGGTCTCTTGCTGGCCGCAGCAATATCCTTGATGGGCAATGCAGATGTGTTGGTGGCAAATATGCAGTGAGGGGAAACAACCTGCAGACAAATGTCTGTTAGAATGTGGCTCAAAGTCACACAATACTGCCCTGGGCTTTGCTGCTAAATACAGAGCGTGGACTGATATTTTAACTAAGTAAGTAGTGTCTTTTTGTAACAAAAGCACTTGAAGCCTCTTTCCAGTCACACTTACAGCCTCCACCTCCTTCAGGACTGCGTGCTTGATGTTAATGTCTTCAAAAACAGCTTCGATAACCATGTCAGCCTTTGCGAAGTTGCTGTAATCCAGCTGGCCGGTCAAGTTGGACAGTATGGAGTCCCTCTGGAATGACGTGATGTTCTTCTTTTTGGTCTTGTCATTGAGCCTTGTTTAAAAAAAACGACATTTTAAATGGAATATAGTATCCCATCAACCTTCTTTAAAAAAAAAAACTAATATTGAAATGCCAACCCACCCTTTGTACACCTGCTGCTCTCCCCTGGCCAGTCCAGACACAGTGGTGTCCTTCAGGACCGTGTGCACACCTTTGTCCACAGTCACCTGGGCGATGCCTGCTCCCATCAGACCTGCTCCCAAGATAGCCAGAGTCCTAGTGGGCAACAACAAAAACAAACATTCATCAACTACCTTAAAAAAAGCAAGAGTCTGTGAATCTTATACTTTATTTACTCAAAAACAAAACCTCAGGATAGACTTTGTTAGCAATCAGAGTAAATATATCAACACCACTATCAGACCAGGCTTTGTCTGTTAGTTAACAAGTGTTAACTAAAATAAAACAGCAGGGTTCCTTTATTAATTAATAAAAAATATTTTGGATCATGTGTTAATCGTCATATCGGACAAGCATGCGAAGGCAATATTCACTTACTTGACTTCTCTTTGAGGAGTTCCAAAGCGGTTCTTCTTGCACGCTACCTGACCCTGGTATAGACCAATCAGGGCTGCGGATTCGGAGGTTTTTGCCAACTGACCAAAATTCTGTAACAAATCTAACAATTAGCGATGTTCACTTATACAATGACAGAGTTTAAATACTGTATTGGACAATGGCGTAGGTAAAGCATAAAAAAACCTTACCTGAGACTCAGCCAAGTATCCGGCCACTGGGCCTTGTTCAACTCCAGCCTTTACGCACTGAAGTGAAGAAGAGGAAAACAGTTTCAAACTTTTAAAAATATTTTATGATGAGTAACAATGCAGGGAAGCCAATAGAGAGAGGGAGCCAACTACAAGATTTTCCATAACAATCACAAGAAAATAAAAGTTTTCACAATTTTATCACAGACTGTTACTGCTTAGGAGGAATTTTTACTTACTTCAATGATTTTCAGGGGGGCTGGATAAAGCCCCTTGCTCTGCTTCATAACTTTACTCTGGACAGTGTTGTAAATCTGATTTCGGACCAACCCAAAGCTCATAACGTAGTCTTGAATTTCTATAGAGAGAAGACATTGAATCTTTATTGTAGTGTTGTTAATTGACCTTAAATGACTACAGAGGAGTCAAAAGCTCAATAACAACTTACTCTCCATGCTGCCTTTCACTTTATGGATAGGGATCTTCTTACTGACGATCCCTCGAGCATATTCAATGGCAACTTCCTCAAGGTAGTCCATTGTTCTCTCCTCTGGACTCTTCAGCCCAGGTCCTGCAAAATAACCATGACCGGTCAATTTATACTAAAGATCAACAATGAACTAATACACAGTCAAATACATACATACTAAAGATTACAATTTCTACACATCGATACATTTGTTTACTACCCAGTTGCAGCAGTTCAATATTATCCGATTGTATGCGAGTCAATCTTACCTAAGGGGTCTACCAGTTGGTGGACAAGCCCCATCTTCTTGGCTTTATCTGCCCGAATATTTCTTCCTGTCAGCATCATGTCAAAGGCATTTGGTAGACCAACCTACGGTAGTGAAAGAAAACCTGTGTGAACTAGTTTATTATCAATACTCCCTGCATCATGTTTTGGACAGATGAGTCATGGTCCTATGCGTTGAAGGACAGGCTGGTTGAATACTATACATGATGGGCGGGGGGATAGAATCGGTGTGTAGGATCTCCAAGGCCCACGTAAACATCTTAAACCAATTATGAGATAACCAGATTATTTTGCTACTCAGCGTAGCCATTTTAGGTCTTGTTCCATCACAAGACAACATGTTATAATGTCTATAGGACGCTTTCACACATTATGTGCTGCATGGGTTTTATATTTAAGGGTTAACACTCCAGGCCCATTTTGCTTCCATAAAATGTTTTCTTACAGCAATGAAAATAAACACCTCCAAAAAACACATACTTGGTCTATTTGCTAATGTAGAGTTCTCCTGAATTCACAAAGAGTTAACATTAGATAATCCCCTAATGCGCATATTTAAAAATACATTTCTAAAAAAATGATCTTAATGCAAGTAATCAACTAGTTAAAGTTCCATGGTGATTTGTTATTGGTTACATCATAAAATCAAGTCATTCAAAGAGGAAATCTGGGGAATGTAACTGCAGTACTAACCATTTTGGGGAGCCTCTGAGTACCACCTGCACCAGGCAGAAGACCCAGCATCACTTCAGGAGTACCAAGGACTGTTTTCTTACTTTTGGTTGCAATTCTGTACTGGCAGGCGATGGCAAACTAAAATGCAAGAAGAGCCCATTACATCCGATTATCATCAAATCATTTAAAATACACTAAAACATATAGTTGAGTTGCAGAAATAACTTTGTATTTACCTCCAAGCCTCCTCCTAAACAAGAGCCGTTAATGGCAGCAACAATGGGCTTCGGTGATTTTTCAATCCGCTCAAACATCTTTTGCCCTTCTTTAGAAAGTGTGGTGACCTCTTCTGCATTGTTACAGCCCTGGATCATACTGTAAGAGATGTTCAGTACATCAAAGAAACTCCAAAGGTAAGGACATTTTGAGAATTCATTCAAATACAAGACCTTAATTTAGATCATGCTAAACTGGATAAATAAAAACTGGATAAACTAACAATGTAAATTAATTCTACTGTAGAAGAACTAACATAAGAAGTAATTATTACATGCACACTCAACATCAAATAGGCAGTGAATTGAACGAGATTGCGCTTACTTAATATCAGCTCCAGCTATGAAGCAGCCCGGCTTTGAGGAGATGAGCACAGCACTTTGAACAGCGTTGTTAGCCCACACTTCATCCATTACTTCTGCCATCTCCTTTTGCATTTGGACTGACAGTGTGTTCACCTGGAGGGAGACGACACCATTAGGTAGACATACATCACAAAAGGGCACAATTCAGAGGCGTAAAGTGTCATATTTGTGATTTATGAGCGCACACCTTGGAGTTTGGGTCGTTGATCCGTACGACAGCAACATCGCCCTTGACTTCATAGTTCACATGGGTACGGGCTAAAAATAGGTAAGGAATATAGTGGACGGTGAGAATGTGTCAGTAAACAGGGTTACTTCTACGCATGAACTAGAACAATATGATAAAAATAATAAAAAAAATTACCGAGCATTGCAGGAGCTACTGAGAAGGTGCGACATGTGGCACCTGTTGAATAGCAACAATACACACATTATAAGTGCGTTTAACATCACACATCATCCAACCACTTGATTCACTTTCATGGCAATATTGATTGAAAATAAAATAGAAACATTTTGAAACCTATACACAACCCGTCTCAGTACAAGATACGTGTGACGTCATGTGACACGATGGCATAACATTATGGGTAATATTGCTTTGACCCCGGACGGTCTCGGCCATGCTGTGTAACCCAGAGGAAAGAACGACCCTTCACCTACATCCTGCGCCTACCTTTCACAGGCTAGTAATCACAATGGCAAACCAATGGCAAACACTGGAATATCCCAGTCTACGCGGTCTTGACAGAAGCATATTTAGAGACCAAAGTAACGTCAGTAGTTAACAGTTTGATTTTTTTTATCAAGGACTCTGTAGCAGCTTGCTAACGTTAGCTGGCACGGACGTCATTACGTTTACACTTAACCTTGCTCGCCGAAACACAAAGTTCCCCTTTAAATGAATAATCCGTTTAGTTATTCGTACAGATACGGCTATGCGTCTGTTGAAACACAATACTGTTGTATGAATGAATCCCCCCCCATCCTACACATTTCTGGACCTCAGGAGCTAACAGCTAGTCCAACAAGCTAATCACCCTCAGACGCAGAGCAAATCACATTTTCAGCATTATTCACCACGTTAACTTGCGTTCAATGTTTAAAACACCGGATACATTAGGTGTTTACCTGAATAGAGAGCGTATCTCCTTGATGTGAATCTGGATAGAACACCAAGGGCTCGAACACCAGCCATTTTTGGAGCGGAGGTCAGTGAGCAGTGGTATGAAGTGAAGCTAACTAGCTCGCTGTCAAAGTGCTGCCGCTGCGGCTTGCGAGGCGACTTTGAGCCGCTTCCTGAAAGCCGATCGGTCAGATCAGCAGCTGATTGGTGGTCGGTGGAAATACCCGCACGCCATTGGCTCCCTTTGAAGCACTCGCAGCTCATTGGTCGTTCGGGAACTACAAAACGCCTCTTATGGTCCTACTTCCTGAGCCTGAAATGAACAAGACTTCGCAGTGAAGTGGACTGAAAAGTTTTGAATTTCAACTTGTTATTAAATTTGTGAATACATATTTGTATTTAATTACAAAGTTATTAGACTAGATGAAAGCAGTAGTAGCATACTGCCACAGGACAGAGGTAGAAACAGTTTGAGACGTGTTTTATTAATGCATTTCCATGTCTTTAATATATCTTAATATAATATAATACCTGTCGTAACTATCCACCAGTTTGTGCGAGACACAGAATGAGATTACTGACAGTAGTAGACCATTATACTCCAAAACAACAACAAAAGCTGTGACAACAGTTAAAATGTACGGCTGTCAATTATATTAGCTAGTGTTTTATGATATTTATTTCATCCCATAATCGGGAATTAGGAAAAAAGAATCAGGAACATTTATTGATAAAATATGTTGGACATTAAAGGGATTTGATGTGGCGGGTGATGCATAGCATTGGACAATAAGTCAATAAGACATTGGACAAAAAGAAAAAGAAAAAGAGTGCAGGAGACAAAAGCTCTGAACATTTAGCTATAAAGCACAAGGAAAACGTTGTTGTTTTTCGTACATGTGTTTCACGTTTGTAACGCTGATTTGTTTAGTTTTTTCCTTTTTCAGTTTTTTCTCACAAATATACATTTCAACTTCTTTACAGCCACACAGTTTAGATTCTAGACAATTTTCTTACAACACAAAATCAAGTAAAATAAAAACATAAATAGACTGACAGCACAAAATTTTCAAAGAAATTGGAAGATCATTGTATCACAAAAATGAGATATAACAAAAGAAATGCTTTGGAGATCCAATTTTAAATGTCTTTTAATTACATTTAAGGAATCAGGAAACATTTATTGCCAAAATATGTTAAACATACAAGGAATTTGTCTTGGCGGTTGGTGCGTGACAGTAGACAGTGTAACAATAGACAACAGACAGCAGTGCACAAGTAATAAAATAAAATGAAATGCTAATGCATTGGGTTAGTAGAATAAGGCTATGGATTAGTATAAAATAAGAATAAAGTTAAAAATTAAAAATGTTTAAAAAGTTAAAAAATATTTAAAAATATAAAAAAATAAAGTGCACTATCGAACAAGTGAAAAAAGTGACAAGTGACGACAAAGTGAGGAGTGACAACAAAGTGACGAGTGAGAAACGACAGTTAAAGTGACATGTGCAGTATGAAGCAGAGTGACCGGTGGGATGTCAGCGTCAGTCAGTGGGGGACCGGCTCTGTTGATGAGCCCGACTGCCGACGGAAAGAAACTGTTCGTGTGGCGGAGGTCTTAGTCCTGATGGACCTCAGCCTCCTGCCAGATGGAAGGGGCATAAACAGGTTTTGTCTGGGGTGGGAGGGGTCGGCCGCGATCTTTTTAGCTCGCTTCAGAGACCTGGAAGCGAACAAGTCCTGCAGGGACGGCAGATTGCAGCCGATCACCCTCTCTGCAGAGCGGATGACACGCTGCAGCCTGCACTTGTCCTTGGCTGTGGCTGCAGCGTACCAGACGGTGATGGAGGAGCAGAGGATGGACTCGATGATGGCCGTGTAGAAGTGCACCATCATCGTCTTTGGCAGGTTGAGTTTCTTCAGCTGCCTCAGGAAGAACAACCTCTGCTGAGCCTTCTTGGTGATGGAGCTGATGTTCAGCTCCCACTTGAGGTCCTGGGTGATGATGGAGCCCAGGAAACGGAAGGAATCCACAATAGTGACAGGGGAGTCACACAGGGTGATGGGGGAGGGTGGGGCTCTGTTCCGCCGCAAATCCACAACCATCTCCACTGTCTTTAGAGAGTTGAGCTCCAGGTTGTTCTGACTGCACCACGACACCAGATGGTCAGACTCCCACCTGTAGGCGGACTCGTCCCCACCAGAGATCAGTCCAATGAGGGTGGTGTCATCCGCAAACTTCAGGAGCTTGACCGACTGGGGTTCAGATATCAAGGTGTTGTTAGCCGTTCTACCAAAATTACATTTCTACTCCAAACTCAGTTTAAGCAAAAAAGTTCTCAAATATTTCATCAAAAAAGGGATGATGAGTAGAAAGCATATAATTTGAAAGGTCCTTTCTGATCCTTGTGTTGAAAACAGTACAAAGGTGACACCCTGTGTGCAAATCGGTAAACTACATTATACTGACCACTCTTTGAGATATCAATTGTCCCTAAAGATTTTTTCAGGTTTAATAACGGACGGAGATAACTATGAATTAATAATAAAGGTTCAGTCTGGTTTGTGATGCAAACATTTTTAGCAGCACACTGCATTATTTAGCTTTTTGTTTCTTTTCAAAAGTGTATGAAACTTTTTAAAATTAAAATATATCACTGTTGCCTCACACAAAAACAGAAAACGAAATACAAAAGAGAATACAAAAGAATCACCTTCTAATTATGACTTCATGAACTCATCTCTTCTGGTACTGCCATTACAACAGGAAGTGGTCATTTTCTTGATATTGTCTATCTTTGCCAGTAAGTCTAGTTTATGACCTCTATCTACCTTGTATTTAAAACAAGAGGCTGGAGAATTCAATTTCAGAAAGATCATTCAATATTAATATTTCATGTGCCTGACCTCAGATTATTTGTCAAGGATTCATCTTCAATGAATAATACTAGAATGGTAGTAGAGAAAAAAACGGAGACATTTTACTTCAAACAGCAGTAGAAATATTTATTAGTTTTACATGATCAGATAATAGTTTAACTGAATGTTATTCGGTTAAAAGTGACTTGATTGTAATGGAGTAACTGTGCCTTGTTTGTACGTGTGTGTGTGTGAGTGTGTGTGATTTCCTTCAGGTGTGCTGGCGATGTCACTCCTGCAGCTGATCAGAAGGGGATTAAATGGTTGTGCCAAGCCAGAGTGGGTGGGGGTTGCTTCAGTGGAAGCCAGAGCGGAACCAGAGAGGTTGTGAGGTGCTGACCTGCTGACGTTTTGGGAGCCAGTAAAGAAGAAGCCATACGCTGTACTCGTCTTCCTTTTGGAGATTGTTTTCAGTTGCCTTGTGTTGTTTTCCTTCATTAAATGTCCTTGTTTTGCCGTTGATCCAGATCTCCCGGGTTTATTATTTTAACTTGTTTACGTCCTCCACCCCTAGACACTTTAGGGACGTAACATAAAATAAAATATGCAAGTACAACACAATTCCCTCAAGAATGGACTACAGTACTTGCTCTCAGGCTTTAGTTACTCTCCAACTTGTAAGCCACCATATATATATATATATATAGATATATATATATCTATATAGATATATATATATCTATATATAGATATATATATATCTATATCTATATATATCTATCTATATCTATATAGATATATATATATCTATATATTTATTAATCCCCCACACACACAATTCAGTCAATCAGCAATGATTATTCAATACAATAATATATTATTTAATACAATAATATATTATTTAATAATACATTATATTATTGAATTCCTAAACTGCAATACTTTTCCTAAAGCACAATTGATTCAACCTAAAAGTGTTGCGTTTCTGACCTTTGACAGCACCATGCACAAGTCAAGTCAGCGCCAGTCTATTGACGAAGGCGGGATCATTTGTCGCTAACTCGAAAAGAGCCAATCAGAGGTGAGATTTTCACATAGCAACCCCAATCAGCGAAGAGGAGCTGTCTGGTTGCGAAGGTAGTGTTGGTGTACTGGAAGAAGCAAGTGTTTCCTTTGGGTTCGCTGGCAGCTACGTTTGGTAGCAACACTCTGCCCATATATTTGTTAAGTAACAGGCGTAAAACTCTCCTGCTATCGCAAATTAATGTGGCAAATCAGCTTGCGAGGTGAACGTAACCTTGTCTAAGAAGCATCTTTACACCTAATTAGAGCAGGAAACTACGGTGCCATCCCCGATGGAGGGATCTTCCAAAGAAGGTGACCTCTTTACTGTGAAACACGAGCTGAAAAACGGTAAGTTATCTGCGAGCTAAACTTTTGAAGCGGTCCATGTTTTAGTTTGCCGGCCATCCGTCGGAGACGGCGCGCACACGTTAGCCGGCTAGCTGGTAAGAGACAACTGTCACCGTCGGTGGACATTTACGGCGAGCGCAGCCGTTAACGTAACAAGTCCAACCGCGGCGGGGGGGAGGCTAACGCTAGCCGACTGCCCCCGTTACTAGTCACACGCCTCTTACCTCGCGCCCACCCAACCGTTACATTTGTGAGCTAACCGCGACACCACTGCAGCTAACCGGGAGTTAACTGCTGCTGCGTAACTCCGCCAAATCTGAGCGGCGGTGAACGCCTTTAATTAACGCGTGACGTTAATTGCTAACGTTGAATGGCGTGGCTTTGCGGCGTTCTCGTCGGTTAGCGCACACGGGTTCCCGCTCGGAGGAACAGACAGCTGTCAGGTCCGTGGAGTGGATGATAGCTCGGTTTCAATTCTGCAAACCGCGCGGGGCAGAGGAACGTAACGTAACTTTCCCCCCCCCCCCCCCCGACGGTAAACGGGTATCCTCCGCACCCTCGCTGCTCTGCTCACTAACGGCAGATGACTGCGCATCGTCCTCGATGGTAAACTAGTGACGGTGCGCCTTTTATTCCACCCGAGTGACAAGCAGCCTCGAGATGCGACCAGCGGCAGCTCGAAACGTGTTCAGCACTTTTATGTGATTTAACAGGAAGTTGTAGTCGGTTGATGTTGCGTTTCCGCACTGGCTGGTTGTTTAGTGGCGTGTCCACTAGTTCGGCTGCTGAACGGAGTCGGACAGTTGGTTTATGATGATACGCGGTGCCGCTGTTCAGGCTGCAACATGACTGTGCTGCACCCCCCTCGTTCACTGCCCTGCCCTAAATATGCTGTCAGTCTAGTTGTTACATGCACGTGGGTTTTTCTTGTATGTTCAGAATTTTAAATAATGATCTGCTTTGCTTTGGGTGCTTTTGACCTACTGAGGACATTTTATAGCAAAAGCAGAAGATTTTCGGGCTGCTTACAAAGGATTTCTGTATTGAAAATGGTAAAAAATATATAGCAGGTTACATAATTGTATGGTTTGACCACTCATGGTCATAGTTGTGTTTATGCTTTGCACAATACCACAAATGACCAGGTTGTTGGAATTGTTACAATTAAACTGAAAAACATTGTTCAAGGTAAGCTTTTCATTTGGACGGGACATTATTACTTCTCTACTGTAGACTTGAGTCTCGTGTCTTGTCTAACAGTTGGACACTTCTGTCAGTCTATTAATATACGCCAAAATTCAACTTGTACTTGTGAGATGAGCTCGACAAAGGTGTTATGCAACATAAACCCTTGACCTCAGATTTGAAGGACTGTGTTGTTGTTTTGCAATGATACTTTACGCAGTTTGTGTCTTAACGGTTGCAGCATTTCTCCTCGTGCGGAACAGGAGAAGGAGCGGAAAAGATTAAATCTGCCACTTTAATTGCTCAGTAGCCTACTTTCACAGTGTGGGACACAAAGGATGTGTTCACAAAGGACATGCATGTCCAAGAGCGTGCTATGATCAGTCGTCTTTACAAGGAAGCCATGATTTAGAAAGACACAAGTAGCTCACAGTGTGTGCTGACTTCACTGAGGATCACTGATGAAAGATAATGAAATCATTTTGCCCGTTAGTGCTGCAGATGTGGCTGCAGTTGCTCGGAAGATTATCGCATACTGCTTTTTTAGATTTTTGCTTACATGAAGGAAGTTTGCTATTGAAACACTTTGCACATTTGGATTAAACAAATTCACCTGTGCATTTGAAGCCCACTTGCAGTCTGACTTAATTTGCCTCAAAGCATCATGGCTGTGAGTCTCTTTGTATCAAAAATAAATGGATGAATACATGGTTTATATCATGGGTGCAAGTTGTAAAACACAGAAGAGGACTGTAATGTGCCTTCTGGTGTCCAGTATTTGGCTAAAACAGCTGATTTGAATGTATTCACAACTTTTCTGTGTCACAGTATTCAATAGACTTTCTTCACTATTGCTTCTTTTTTTTACCATTTTAGAATAGAAACTGCTATACTGTAAAGAAAGACCAGCATTGGAGCTGGTCTAAACACTTTTAGACATATCAATTTGCATCAAATACGCAACTATTCATAACTAATATTTTGGTTCATATCTATATTATTTTTTAGTGAATGGCTTTTTATGTTAATTGATAGCGTCGCACCAATCATGCACACAGCAGTGAGTGTGCATGAATAGTGACTATTCATACATACATTTTCGCACGTTTCAGAATACCCTCGCGTAGTCAATCTTTGGAAAAACACATAGAATAGAAATATTCTTGATTATTCTTTAATAGCAACTACTGATTAATACATTGTCATTTCGTAAAGATGTCAATATGTAAAATCTCATGTAATTTTCTGTGAGTGAATAACCCAATATGGAACATCTCTACATTATAGGGCAGCACGGTATGGACAGAAATCCATATTTAGAAAATTAATTTAGTATTTAGAAAGATTCCTACGGTATTGCGGTATATCACGGTATTGCTTTTTCAAATAAACATTAATTCATTGACCCCGAAAAGGACCACGGCTACCCGAACAGCTGTTGTTAGCTCGTTAGCGTGTTAGCTTGTTGTGGCTGCTAGTGTTTCCACTAGAGACTCGACCGACTTTGCAATAAATTATTTTCTGATCTAACGTAACCTACTTAAGACCAAAACCAAAACCCCTCCAAACAGACACAGCTTCTCTCTTGGGTCCAGTTGTGTTGGTGCATCTCTGGTCATGTTGTTCCTCCTGTATCGCTCTTTTCCGTGTTTTCATGTAGCAACAGAGTTACTTGTTGTTGTGAGCTGTACCCAGCATGCAGTTTGCCGGGGTAATTTTTATAAACGTACAATTATTAGAGTTACAAATTGTTTATGTGTCACAAGCTGTTGTGTCGTGCTGTTTTACCTGCCTTTTGTCTACAAGAATGAAGTACTTCATCTAATTTGTAATAATATCAATTCATTATTGTAATATTTTATTTCTCCTCTGACTCCAGCCAACTTGACGGGCCATATAGAGAGGGTGGGCATTGAAAACTTTGAACTATTAAAGGTGCTGGGCACAGGAGGTGAGTGGATGTTTTCTCTTTAGTCTCTTTACTAGAAAGTTACTTTGAGTTGATCATCTGCATTCCAGTCCGGCATCCAATATTGTGTGTTTTAAACTTTTGCTCTGCTCTGATTTAAATGTTCTGTCCTTGTTTACCCAAAACACCAGCATATGGAAAAGTGTTCCTGGTGAGGAAAGTGAGTGGCCATGATGCGGGGAAGCTTTATGCCATGAAGGTTTTGAAGAAGGCCACCATTGTACAAAAGGCAAAGACCGCCGAACATACGCGGACCGAGCGACAAGTCCTGGAGCACATTCGCCAGTCTCCATTCCTCGTCACACTTCACTATGCCTTCCAGACGGATACCAAGCTGCACCTCATTCTAGGTTAGGATTTCTGATGCAATACAGCCATGTGTTATCCCTATACAATAATTATCAGCTTCATGATTGTCTTTAATTCTGTGATCAGAATGTGTTTTTAAAGTATTTGCACTTTCCTGTAGAAAAATGAATCCGCATATGATTTGGGATGAAACGTGACCTCCATGATTTCCTATCTATAGATTATGTGAACGGTGGGGAGCTCTTCACACATTTGGTGCAAAGGGTGCGATTTAAGGAACCAGAAGTGGCTTTGTACAGTGGAGAGATTGTGTCGGCGCTAGAACATCTACACAAGGTAACCTAACCCGGATTTAACACAGCCATGGCCTCTTGTCTGTTCAGAAGGGATCTATTCATATGCACATGCAATGTGTTTCACTTTCTATTTGCAGCTTGGGATTGTTTACCGGGATCTGAAACTTGAGAATATTTTGCTGGATTCAAGTGGTCACATAGTTCTCACAGACTTTGGCCTCAGTAAGGAATTTGATCAGGTATGGAATATGTGTGTGTGCGTGTCTCCATATCCAGTATTTCCCACCAAAACGCATGTTTGGATCCGTGAGGTCTAGCAAACATGATCAATGCATGTCCTTCCTCATAAAACATTGGCAAATCAAATTAGTCTTAGATATTCAATTCTTATGTACAAACAAAGTCCTGCTCTCTTGCAGGCACCAATAATGTCTTGTTACAATTTTTTATTTTTATGTGTCTGTTAAATTTGGTTGTTGTTAAAACAGGTGGAACGGGCATTTTCTGTCTGTGGCACCATTGAATATATGGCTCCAGAAATCGTGGAAGGAGGAGAGTCTGGACATGACAAGGTCATTTGAATGTTTTATGTTTTATGCTGTCGTCCGTTTGATGTAATCAGGTGACCGGTCTCTCCAGCCTGTATTTCTGAATGTGTGCGCTCTCCAGGGAGATTTTTCCTTTAATCTAGTCCCTGGTGGTTTAATTTCATGCATTCCAGGCGGTGGATTGGTGGAGCCTCGGCGTGTTGATGTATGAGCTTTTGACTGGCGGATCACCCTTCACTGTAGATGGAAATGAGAACTCTCACACAGACATTGCTAAGTATGGTTTCTCCCTCAGCCATAGTTTTCAGACAACCTTTGGTTAAATCACTCTACAACTCTGACAATATCTCTCTAACACATCACAGGAGGATCTTAAAAAAGGATCCTCCCTTCCCCAAAGACATGGGACCTCTGGCCAAAGACCTCATCCAGCGTCTCCTCGTGAAAGATCCCAAGAAGAGATTGGGCTCAGGTCCTAATGGCGGGGAGAATGTAAAGAAACATCCGTTTTACCAGGTGAAGCACATTGCTTGTCTTGAATAGTTAGAAAAGCTAAGCGGCTATTACTCCTTTTATTGTAACTGCTTTGAGTAAGTTGCGTTAAGGAGTGTTTGCATCAGCTAGGTTAATAAGGACGGTTTGAACCACAATGTTTTTCTCTATTACCAAACTCACTTTAGAAAATAAACTGGGAGGACTTGGCAGCTAAGAAGGTCTCGGCCCCGTTTAAGCCAGTGATTCGAGATGAGCTGGATGTTAGCAACTTTGCAGAGGAGTTCACAGAGATGGACCCCACCTACTCCCCCGCAGCTCTGCCTCAGAACTGTGACCGCATCTTTCAGGTGGGAGTTATGGCTTTGTTAGACAACCAGACGTTTGTGGGTATGTCTCTTCTTTTTTTTCTTTTTTTTTTTTTTTTTTTTTTTTTTTTTTAACATATTTGAACATTCCATTGCACTCTCTGCAGGTCATCTATATTTGCATTTTCTTTGTGCTGGAGTGTGTCTGGGCTTTGGTAGCAGGCAGTGTGAGATGTTGACATGGATGAAAGATGCATTATGCACTATGCACTTTTTGTCTGCGACTATATTTGTCATCCTCCAGAGCAATTCAAGTAATCAAATGAAGTTTTGAATGTCCTCAAAAGGTTGCTGTAAGTCAACATGAGTCTGTCTGTGTGCACTGGTATTTCAAATTGACTAAAGACTCTTTTATTGAAGTAATTGCTGCCATATGCAGATCTTATTGAAGTAACAGATGTGAATGACTATTTTTGATGTAGCTTTGAACCATAATATGGCCCACAACTCTGTGCCAGCTGATGGCTGTCTGATGTATTGCATGAAATTTCAACACTGATTGCCTTCTGGATCCTTGAGCTCGGTAGATCAATAGATCCATTAAAGGGCTTCTCTCATGGAATAAAAGGTTACACTTTGAGAGCATCACCACGTCTGTCTCGGTTACGCCTTCTGTCTTTGATTGCCAACTTCATCTTTGCTTTTTTCGCTCTCAGCTGCCATTCACATAGTCTGAAATGTTGGGTTCTTTATAATTTGCAAGCCTAGCAATCTGAGATAACGACAGCAATCCCAATTTTAAATCGCGCACTTGCTCCCCCACGGTGCCTCACAAAACAAAATTAAAATTGCATTAAGACCGCCAAGATGTAATTTCACAGCAGAGCAATCAAATATTCAAGCCTGGCAATTTAGGGCATCTCATTCATTCACCACCCATCCTTCCGTCCATCCATGGCTGTCACTACATACCAAACAGCTGTTTGTATCGGTGAAAAGGGGAGAGAGCGAGCGAGAGATTAATACCATCTCAAAGCTTTGGGTCCCCCACAGCTTGAATTAAGCAGGCAACGCTCCACAATGACAGGTCTAACAATTGGAACAGCTGGACGGCCGCTGTCACTCACAAGTTACCAGAACTGGGTTTATTGTGGAGCTGACAGGCTGGTTTGATGTAGAAAACGCTGAAGACAAAAGCCAAACAATTTGAAGTTTTACATTAAATATTGAAATATATGGAGGATTATGATGCTGCAAATTATCTTTGAGGCTGTGAACTGCAGCAACGGTTGTTTCATTTCCTTCTGTTCTCGTAGTCCAACCTTCACTTTAAAATGTAAACACTGAGAGTTTGTGTATTTCTGTGTGCAGGGCTACTCTTTCATGGCCCCCTCCATCCTGTTCAAGAGGAATGTGGTGATGGACGACCCCGTCCAGCTGTTTGGAGGCTCTGAGAGGCCGGGCTCTGCTGCGGTGGCCCGCAGCGCCATGATGAAGGTAAGACGAATGCACTTGGATCCCCGGCACAAACACACTTAAGATAATGGCTGCTGTCACAGAGCGATGAAGCCCTTTTCCTTCTCTCCACTCAAACTTCTTTTTTTCACTTTTTTTTTTCCTACTGTACTTGTTTTACTCCCTCGCACTCAGTTTTCAGGCACAATCATGTTTGTTTGATGCTCGTTCATCAACATATCTCCAATGTTATCATCAGCGCCCTCGGTACCTTCTGCCATCATTGCAGTTTTCAAGAATTATGATCAGAAACAGCATATTTGTCATTTAATGTTTTTCAGCCGAACTTAAAAACATCTTAGCAATGTTTTATTTATTACAAAATGCTAGTGTATTTTGATGAAAAGGAAATCCACATTGTGTCATGTAAGCCATGTGAGCCTGGTTCTTGCCTACTACTCTTTTAGTGCTTTAGAAAGGGGAAGTTCCAGCCCAGCCGCCCGGGATCAATACTCTCCAATAGCGTCTCAGCTCACTGTGCTCAGCATGTTTTTATGCCATTTTCTTTAAAAACAGGAAGCTACTTAACAGCTTCTTGTCGTATCTTGCTGTGAGCTTTAATATTTGGATAATCTAAATCTCTAAAATCTAAAAAAATCTTTTTGCACATTTGTCACTTCCACGTTTCTCTTTTTATGTAACTTTTATCTGAATTGTTAAACGGAACAGAAAAGAGAAACGGTTTGCTCCTTAAATGGTTTTCTTGGACCGCTTTGGATCAGTGGGTGTTGATAAACGTTTGAGAACATGAAAGAAAAATTGGATTTGAATTGTATGATCACATCACAAAATCAAAAAAGCAGAAATACATTTTAAAAGTATAGTATATTTTTGAAAAATGTTAGTATAATATGTAAAACATATCTTCTAATATTCTGTATAGTATGCCATAAAAATGAAGGAATACATGTCTATATACGGTACTTATATTAACCATGTCACCCAATAACCACTGACAACAGCCTGAAGTCTCTTATTATGTCATAATAGTCCAAATATAGTCTGTCAAATATTGTCATAATAAAGCATGTTTAAAACAACTTGTTTTGGTCCACTATCGCCCGTTTGCAGGACTCTCCTTTCTATGTGAGTTATGAGATGGACCTGAAGGACAGTGCTTTAGGAGAGGGGAGCTTCTCCATCTGCAGACGCTGCACACACAAGAAGACAGGGCAAAAATACGCTGTCAAGATTGTCAGCAAGAGGTAAAAACTTTCATCCTACCTGCTCAAAGTGTTTGTCTACACGAAAAATCTGACGTCTCTCGCTGGCAGAACTTGGACCCTTTTATAAGCCTCCTCTAAACAATATATTTTAATGAAAATGAAATTGGTCTTACATTGCTAAATAATGTCATAATTTGACTCTATAACATACTTTCTCTAATCTAGAGATGCCAGATGTGGGTTAGGATTATGTTAATGCATCTCTGGTCACAAACCTGCATATTTTTTGCTATAAACTGCACAGAAAACAACCAAGCTTTGATTGTGCGTGTTGATTGCAGTCCAACACTGTACTCCTACACTCTGCCACGGACATTGTGGCGCCAGGTATTATGGCTTTAATAAGAGTAAGCTTCCACCTGACAGAAACGCATGATCCTCCTTCTTAGATGGAATTTGTCTGGTCAGGGTGAAGAGAATAAACAGAGCAAAACTGCAACTTACAATAAATATATGGAGATGTCTGAAATTTAAAAATGTAACAATTTGAGAACTGAAGCTTGTGTTCTACTCGATGAATTGTGGGAAATCACAGTCCAACCCATACTGTACTGTGCAAATGTCTTAACAAAATATCATTCATTAAAAAGTTAACAAATTATATTTAGTTTTTTTTTGCCTTTGGCTTTTTTTTTCCATTTTAGTGGCGTTATCAGTTGCTAAATTAATGATTCCATCAGAGGTGTCCTGTGTAGACCAAAAGGTCTTTCTACTCATGTTATATTTTGTGATGGTTATTGCCCTTCCGGCTTGTGTTTGCTGTAGGATGGAGGCACAGACTCAACGGGAAATGGCGGCCCTCAAGCTCTGTGATGGCCACCCGAACATTGTCAAGTTACATGAAATTTACCACGACCAGGTAAGGTTAATCGCTGCAGAATCTATTGCAACTGTGAGTTCTGCTTTGCCTGCCTCTCCATGGAGCTTGTGGAGGCTGCCTCTTTAGTAAGTGCTGTAACTGGAACAAAGAAGATTAATGGGGATGCTAGAAGCCCTCAAGCTCTTTCTTTATCTCTTCATTTTTGTCCCATAAACATCTCCCTGGGTGCTTGATGTTTCACAGTAAAGGTATTTTTAAAGTACAGCTGTTCAAACCGCTAAATAGAAACAACCTGGATTTACTTGTGTTGCTAATCGAGCCGCACACTCAAACTGGACAAAGCATGCATGTGTTCCAACTGTAGCTTACCCCGGTTGTTGGGGATGTACGTCCGTGTGGCTGACTGTGTACAGGTTCATTAGCCCCGGTCCTTCAAGCCCAGGAGCACCACTTTAGTCCTGATGAGCTCAGTGGGGTTATTACAGTACCTCAGAGCCCTGTGACCCAGATCAAAGCAGCGCTGCCTCGCCTCGCCTTGACCGAATTCTGCTTTTGTTCCCAAAGCCCAGCACTAATGACAAAGTCCTACGCCGTCACCCAGACCAATTATTCCCTTCCTATTTTGTTTAGCCCCTTTCACTTTCACTCGATGCCATTATGGTTTGATCTCAGCATAATTTTTTCCTGTTCCATATTTATTATTCAACAGAAATTGTCCTCCAACATTTTGCACGTTCGCAAGATTCAGCTGCTTCAGACATAATCTCCAGGCTGTAAAAATGATTTGTGGGGATATCAAAGATTAATGGTTAAACATGAGTATAGTTTGGTGAAAAGTGTCAGAATATGTTGTGTGTTTGTGTGTGTGTTCTGCTGTAGCTCCACACGTTCCTGGTTCTGGAGCTGCTCGGTGGAGGGGAGCTGCTGGAGAGGATCCGCAGAAAGCAACATTTCAGTGAAACAGAGGCCAGTCGCATCATGCGGAAACTGGTGTCGGCAGTCAGTCATATGCACGATGTGGGTGTGGTGCACAGGGACCTTAAACCGGAGGTATTGGACGCACACGCAGCAGGACTTATGCTCAAAATGATTTGATAGATACAGACACACTGGATTATAAGCTTTTAAAACAGAATGGTCAAGTTTTTCTGACTTTGTTCAGATCTGTGGTATCGTCATTCTGACTCTGCAATCTTCCAGAAAACAAACGTCAAATAGTTTGACCCTAACATGGGTCCAAAATACCTGTTCAGATAGGCCTTGGTGTCCAATTTAGTTCACTCTTGAGTGGACCAGTTTTACTGAGCAGAAAGAAATGATTGCTGTTCGTGTCTCCAATTGCTTCGTAGAACCTGCTCTTCACGGACGAGAGTGAGAACTCTGAGATAAAAATCATAGACTTTGGCTTTGCTCGCCTCAAACCACCAGACAATCAGCTCCTGAAGACTCCCTGCTTCACCCTGCAATACGCAGCACCAGAGATACTCAAGTATGACGGCTATGATGAGTCCTGTGACCTGTGGAGTCTGGGGGTCATTCTGGTGAGTGAGTGTGGGACACCAGAGCAATGCTTCGGTTAAAATCAAATTTGACTGAGGGAGAATCATTCACTATTATCTCCACATTAGCCCGCCGGGAAATAAACAAATGAGTAGCCTGTTAAGTGTTTTATTTTACAGCTAGTTGAAAGAAGATTGTTAACATAGTGGATGCGAAAGGAAAGCAAATGAAGCGCTTTCCTGGCTCCCTTTGATTCAAATTTTAAGTTTGATACGTTTTAAGTTGTTTTACCAATAATTGGATCACTTTCGAATCTTTACATCTCCGATGTGCATATATGCATATGCATATATATATAAATATATATATTTATATATATATATTTATTTATATATATATATATATTTATATATATGCATTGAAAAAATACGTTTTCAAAGACCTCAGCTCTGAAGAGCTTTGCAGTTGTGTCTCATAATGTTAACCAGATTAATGTTTAATCACGAGCTCCACAGAACGATGATTTGTTGACGCTATGCAGTGTATGGATTCATCATTTGCTGCAGGCCCCCCCTCTGTGTCTGAATGCACTCATGTATGTTTGCATATTAGTGCATGTTCTGTTTGATCGTATTTGCGTGATCTCCCTCTCCTGTTCAGCGCTGCACCCTTCTGTCTCCTGTGGTGAGCACAAACAGTTTAATACTCACCACGGATTGAAGAGCAAACCGCCCGGCTGTCACAGCCGGTTAAGACGGCGCTGATACAAAACGTCACCTCCCGATAGCGGGAATGTCGTCTTTATTCAACCTTTTTTAGTGTAGAGGAGGAAAATGCAAAGGAGTGTTGAGAGAGAGATTTCTATAATGGACCCAAACCGAATCTAGGCTCTCTGACTGTTGTCTGACACGGACGCCCCCTGGGGGGGAGATGAGAGTAGTGTGCTTCATGGAGCTTTGATGAAATGGATTCTGACAAGCCGTGTGCACAAAGCCCTGGAAGCAAAGTGAGCAAACAAAGAGGGAGGGAGAGTTCAGGACTGATCCTGCGCTGCCGAAAGGGCTGTTCCCAACTTCTGTCATTATAATGAGAAAATCAGATGTAAGTGGGCCAAGGTGAGCGCATGCTGTTCACTCATCTGAGCACAGGCCGCTCTTCTGTTTAGTGCTGTTGCAGCCACGGTCAACGACATGCAGCTCAACGGTGGAGAAATCGGTCAAGAGGTCCTTATAAAAGCAGATCTTTTTTAACACCACGTTCACTTTCTGCAGTTGCCCTTTTTCAGTTCCTTTCTCAGCTCATTATAGGCGCCATGATTTACAAAACAAGCATGTAGCATATGCTGCGCTGCACTGACAACGTGTCCACTTTAGATGTTTAAGCAGTAAAACTGTGTTCATGGTGACTTGACAGCAGATGGTGGGGTTTTTCTCTGTTTGCAGTACACCATGTTGTCCGGGCAGGTGCCTTTTCAGTGTCAGGAGAAGAGCCTGACCCACACCAGCGCTGAGGAGATAATGAAGAAAATCAAACAGGGAGACTTCTCTTTTGAAGGCGAGGCCTGGAGGAATGTGTCCCAGCAGGCAAAGGACCTGATACAAGGTGAGTGGGGGAACTGCTGGAAGTTTGTGAGTAAAAGCACATTTACACTTCTGGGGCCTCATTTATAAACGTTGCGTACGCACAAAAGAAGGCGTACGTCGCTCTCCACGCAATAATTGGTATTTATAAAAAGAAAACTTGAAAAAATGTGCAGTCCTTCACGCAAGCTCGGACCCATGCGTACGCACAAAAACGGGTGAAATGAGAACCGTCGGCAAATGCAAGAAACACGCAAACGTCTGTGAAAGTGTGTAAAACTAGACTATTGTAAAAGAAATGCCAATACTGCCTCTCATAAATAACACGAACACCTGTTTGTTCGATCTGCAGCGTAAAACAAACAGAAAAAAAGTGAAATATATTCTTCAATAATATCGGCATGTTATGCAATTCATCCTTAAAACACAGCTGTTGCTTGTCAGATGGAATCAAATGGACGGTAATAAAATGGCGCGAAATGGCTGATCTTGCGCTCTTAGAAGATGTGGCAAATGGAAGGATTCGCGCTGTAGTGCAGCGCACCATCGGCCTGTTTAAGGGCAGATGGCATTGCCTCGACTGCACTGGAGGGAGGTTGTTGTTTACTCCTGAAAAGGTGTGCAAAACCGTGCTGACATGTGCTGTGCTACATGATGTGGCACAGCTTTGAAACGTGCCTCGACCCCCTGATGCCGATGGCTGTGTTGGCCCTGTCCCCGATCCGCAATCATTCCCGCCAGTCTCTCATCAAGAGGGGACATCTCCGGTGTCCACTTTCCCCAGCCGGGCCAGACACACTTTGGCGATGGCGCGCTAAACGCTTTTTCGCATCCACTTTCAGACCATTTTTTCTTTATTTCGGCCGGTCCGAGGTTGTGAGGCTGCGGCATTGCTCTGCAACCTTTTGGCACTCAAGTGCCTTTTTGGCATTAGTAATGTCCACACTGTGCCCTCCAAAAAGCATTTTACTTCTCCTTTCCACCTTCCAATGATACTTTCGACTTCACACTGAGTGAAGTTACGTTTCTTGCAAGCTTTTATAAATGAGGCCCCAGGTGTTTGTGACAAAAGCATACAAAGAACAGGTATAATCTCCCCTGTAAAAAATAGGCCGATTGTTAATGGGTTTTTCATCATAATTAAAAATACCGGCTTCCTTCTACTCCAATTTCAGATCTGATCTGAATAAATCTTTCCAACATTAAAAAAACATGGCAGACTTCAAAATAGTTGCTGTGTATGGAGTTGGTGTCTGTTTGAGAAGAAGTGTCAAACAGGTTTGGACCGACATATTTAGAAATTGCGGATATCCAGGACTTTTGTTCCCTTTTTTAGTCACAGATTGAACTTTCCACTCACAAAGTAGCTCACAGCAACTGAGGCACCCGAAGAGGATATCTCGCCCGCTCCTCGTGGGCGTATTTAGAGCACCAAAGGGTAATTATCCGCGTCTTGTTCCTGCAGAGCTGTTGACCGTGGACCCAAACAAGAGGATTAAGATGTGTGGCCTACGTTACAACGCCTGGATCCAGGACGACAGCCAGCTGTCCTGCAACCCGCTCATGACCCCGGACATTCTGGGCTCCTCCACTGCCTCCGTGCACACTTACGTCAAAGTTACTTTTAATGTAAGAGCTGACCAGCAGTGCAGGCTTCTTTCAGATTTAGGGTAGAAGTCCTTGGGCCATGGCGAGGCTTCCCTTTGTAAACGTGGGTTGTGTTGAACAATTTTTACAAAACTGGTGGTGCTCATAAACAGAAGGCCACTCGTAGACACATTATTTCTAGGTTATTTGTTTTAAATGTACTATTAGGCTAGTAAAAGTTCACTGTGAAATTGGGAAAATATTGTCCAAACGAATGTTTTCTGTTTATTTCATGAATGACACATTTTTGATTTTATTAGTAAAATCATGTTTAACAACATTTTTGCAGAAAAGAGAGAAAGCATCCAGAGATGCACCGATCTGATATACTGGATTACTATCGGTGCTTATGCTGTACCTGAAGGATTGAAGCTCAATATCGGCAGATATTCTCAGTTGAGGAATCTCAATCGGGAAAGAAAGAGCAGGATTAGTTTGGGGCTGCAACTAACGATTATTTTAATAATTTATTAATCAGTCTTATTTTTTCGATTAACCGATTAATTGGATTTTTTTTTTAAGCATTCATTTACAGCTTTTATTTTTTTAAATAGTGTACAAAAATATGTACATCTCTGTTAAGAGGGAACTAAGCTGTCATTAAATAATTTATAAAAAAACACCAATTGGAGAACTTAACAGGATTGTTTTAATGTCAACCAGTGGTACCAGTAACGGTCCTCAGGCCACAGCGGGGGGAAAAAAACAATAATAATTCTTAATAACTCGATCACCTATCCCCTTTTTTTTCTTTTTCTTAGGCGTTTAACAAATGTAAGCGAGAAGGTTTCCGCCTACAAACGGTGGACAAAGCGCCACTAGCCAAGAGGAGGAAGATGAAAAAGACGAGTACCAGCACAGAGACCCGCAGCAGCTCCAGTGAGAGCACCCGGTCCTCGTCCTCCTCCTCCCAGTCACAAGAGAAGACGTTCCCAGAGGACAACACCAAGCCACAGCCTTCCAACATCCCGCCCGTCAACACGCCCGTTGCCCTGGTAACCGACTCTGAGCACCGACCAGAGCATCCAGCCTTTCACTTCTCAGAAGGAGAGTAAAAAAAAAAAAGGGCGAGAGTTTCATGTCCCACAGGGATGGCTTGGACCAGCATAGAGACGTCTCTCTTTCCCTCCGTCCCTGGCAGTGCTCTGCATCCGGCTCCATTTGCATGGGCGTCCGCACGTGTCCAAAGCCCCCAGCATGCAGTGCGAGCAGCAACGACTGTCACCTCAATATCCTTCACTAGCAATAGCCTGTACCCTGTTTTTCTTATTTTGCCTCTCTCACTTTCACACACGCAGACTGTTTCAATCAGGGACCGGACCAGGAAGAAGTCGTCACCAGTGTCCAAACTGGGAAAAGGGCTGCCCCACTCCCACTGCCCCGGGCCTAGACTGACAAAGGAGAGACGCGGCTCGCTCTCGGTCAGCCCAACGTACCTTGTTACCTTGTCGCTGTCCTTGCCTCCAGAGGTTCTAAAGGGAAAGTCGTAGTGTTTACATCGTGGATTCTTTGTATTTTTTGGGGAGAAAAGAAATACGTGACGTTGGTCCACTTCTCTGCACAATAGAGCAGGTTGTTTATATGTGAACTTTACAGACAATTTACAAGATTTATTTATCATTAGCTATATTGTTAATTTATTGATGGTCAATATTGATCTGAAAAGAAATAATGGATAGTGTAAAAAAAAAAAAATATATATATATATAAAAGAAATACTGTTAGTCTATGTGTTATCCTATCAGCTTAACAAAGACTGTTTCCATGTTCTTTCATATTTAATCATCAGGCATAAAGCTTCAAGTAGGCTACACAGTTCTGCAGATGCAGTGAGACTTCTGTAAGCAAGAAGAGATTAGCACCATTTGCTGCTAGTTAGTGGTTGTCAAATGTATGTTACCAAAGTCCTTTGGACTTTTCTTATGGAGGCTTTTAAGATTTTTGGATTGAACTGCAGCTATTTCCAGTGGTCAAAAAAGTAACATCCTTGTTCATAAGGATAAAAAAAGTAAACCTTTTTTTTATAGGATCAACCAAATGTTGATGTAATGTGTTCAGCCAAATGTGTGGTTTTATATTGCTGTATGGGGAGTTCTGCAGCCTGAGGGGATGTGACCCCACAAGAAGAGCTATATTTAGATGTATTTCTTCCCTCTGATGTGCGAGTATGACGATGTCAAGAGTCAGCATTGCTGCTGTTTCCACATGGTTTGACCCTCAAACCTGTATTTACCCAAGCAGTGGATTTGCCTTGTGTGGATCCAATCAGCTTGGTGCGAGTTGTTGCGTCAAGGAATTTAAGGGTTGCGTTTTCTGAGCTCCAAGAAGCCAAAGGGCGACTTCAGATGAAACAAGATCACATTGTTTGAAATTTGATTTGCCAAAAAATGCAATTAAATCAGGTAATGGACAGGTTTGCGTACCCAAGTTTAGGGTGTGATGCATTAGGACATTAAATGCAATATAGTGCAGAAGGAAAGGAAAAAAGGAAAGGAAAAAAAAATTGCCTATTGTGTCAGTGCCCAAAGTTTTAAACCTACTGCAAAACATGTACCCTTTAGTCCCTGAGGACCGACCGTACTTTTGACACCATCCTTGCTCTATTTACCATGTTGTACTGCATGACTGAAATGGTGATCTTTGCACTGTGTGACAGCTCTCATGTTGAGGTCGATATCTGGTTGGTATTTGCTCCCAAGTGCATGATGTAAACAGAAACATCAACCTCTACTTTCACTGTTTTTCGGGGTGTTCAAGTTCTCACTTGATGTAATGTGCGTTTGTTTACTTGCACATTTAAATATGTCAGATTTAATTTTGGACTGTGAGGTTTTACTGTTTGAGGTGTTTTAACACCAAAACCCCTCTTTACAACTGCTTGTATATTGTACTGTTCTGGTGGTTCAGCAGAGCTACAACAGGAAATGCTGTGCTCTGTTAAACGCAAGTATGTGTTCGTCTGTTTTCATGAGGATTTGGGAAATACTGTTGTGTTCTGTTTATATGTAGAGGTATTTGGGTTCAGGCCGTGAAACGCAGTTTCTCCTGATTAATCGGGATCCAACCTCTAGTTGTGCGTTTGACTACACTCTCTCATCTTCTTCCATTTAATGCACTCTGAATTTGAACCAAAGCATTAACTTCAAGGTAGCTGCATGAGATGTTTCTTTCATGCAAATATGCAAAGAGATGCTTCATATTCATCAAGGATTCCGTTTGTTTAGTCCAACTGATGAAATTATTGAGTTTTATTTAGTGTGTTTTTTTTGGTGAAGAGATTATAGGATTTGAATTATCCATATCCAGCACATAATTATGCTTAAAACTATGCATCAAATGTCACTATTTGTGTTGCTTTGGCCACTTAACATTGTGTGTAAAGGGCACCATGACCATACGCTGTATTTTCCCCTCATAGCATCGGCCACAATAGAAATAGCAAAGTAGAGTCCGTTGGCGTTTGAATCCTTGGAGCTGAACACTACAAAGCTCTTGTCTGACTTAGTTCGCATGAGTTCCCCGTCTCTGCCTCATTAAGCCTCTTCTCTCTTGTTTGGGTGTATTAATAGCTCAAGAGGAGGAAGAGGCAAAGTGGCCTATATTGAGCTCCGCTCTGGGAGCCGGGCGCTATCAGCTCGTGTGCTGCAGGGCTGTTTGTTCCAAAGAAAATCGCGTAGGCGCAGACCGTCTCTGTGGGACCCAGCTCGCTTTCCTTCGTAGGGACAATGACACCGTATCACAGGAAAGGGTTACTTTAGTACAAACGTCTCGAGAAGCCACATTCTTTTTAAACTAGGTTTCCACCCTTGAACAAAGAACAAAAAAATGTTTAGATTTGGTGTCCCATTGGCTCTATATTTTTGTTTTATTGGTTCCCTGGGAATTAAATGAAAGTTCACTGTTCTGGAAACAGTGCTTCATCCTTTTCTGCTTTTATCCGTGTCTCCAACCTGCTATTCTAAACCGTTTGTACCCTTCTGAAGTTAGTTTGGATCCATAGGATCTGGGGAACTTCTTACCGCTGTCAGTCGTGTGTGAGCCCGGTGTTGGTACCGAAGCCCAGTGTGTCATCTTGTGTTCTTTGTGACGATGCTGCGGCTGTGAGATCCGATGGAGCTGTCCGCGGTACTGAAGCCACCAAACCTTTACTGCATGTGTGGAAAAGGTCATCGAAAGCATTTTATGAAGGAATCTGATCAAATGAGGTGTAGTACAAGTCAAACGTTTGGATTCACGTTCTCATTCAATTGACTGAGTTCCAATGAAAAACAGTTCACACTATGTTTTGTGGATTATCAAAACTGATAATTATGGAAATTATAAATGGCAGTTTCAAAAGTAATAATTGCAATTCTGATGGCCACTTGAAACCAAAGGTACAACATCCGTCTTGGAAATTGGCTGAAAAGACTCTTAAATGATCCAGGTTAACTTGCGCCTTCCAGAGAGGTCGTCAACACAATCGGCTACAGAAGGGCACGTTTGTCTTGCTCAGAGACACTTCAGCAGCTACGTTGGGGCTTGAACGTGTATTTATTAGGGTCACTCAGCCCGGTGTTACTGTTAACAGATACGTGCGAGAAAGTTTTACTGTTTCGCCTCAAAGACGGAAACATTGATCATTTGATGTACAAAGGTTTGACATTCAGTCCTCAAGCCAACTTGTCCCTTTCGACATGATCACCATCGTCTTCGTCACGTATGTGCCAATGCTTGATTTCTGACTATTTTTCTCTTTCCATCAACTCTAATCATATTCTTGTCATGTTGTTTACTGAAGCGTGTCAACAGGTACTGTAGCAGTAATTCCCTTTGAGATTGGTTGGTATTAAACTGTTAAAAAAAACACAATCAAGCTTTAAAAGGCAAAACTTTGCACTTGCATTTTTATCATGCAATTGGTTTTTGTAAAAAGAGCAAAAATTCTTAATTTTGTACCGGTTCAGATGTTTAACTTATCCATTCGTGTGTTTTTGTTCTTTGCTGTGGGCCAACACATCTGAGCCCAAAATATAAACCTCAACAACGAATAGTACTTTTACTGCGAGGACCCCCCCCCCCCCCCCCCCGTGCACACCTGCTTTCTTAGGACACTGTGAACTTCATCATTCACACCATTGACATTCTGAGGAAGAAAACTTTGATTTGCTTCAGTAAAGGCTTTACTTAGTGGCTGAATACGTCTTTACATTTAATAACCTGGAACCAGACAGAATGAGTCTTTTAATAGATATTTGGTAAGTGTATTACTGAAGATATTTTGTGATACCAGGATTTGTGTGTATGAGAGGTCAGAATGACAATAAATGTACGATGTCCTGTCCATTTATTGGTCTTTACTATTAAAGTAGGTACAACTACAACGGTTTTATATTTAAAAATGCTATTCAAGGCCGGTTAGGACCATGGGAACTTTAGTTCAACAAGCAGCCTCTAGATGGCAGTGTTTAATAAAGTGCTTCTCAAAGAACACTTTCCTGTGCAGCATGACCTCCTTTCTGAGTTTACGATGTATTCATAGATTAGTAAAATATTAGATTGTGTGTTAGATTATGCTTCCAAAGCAAAATGCAATTAGTCACTCTGTCTGGCCGGATTAGAGTGTAGTCCGTATGTACCTGGGTGAATAAATGCATATGTATAACCAAACTAAGATGTCTTTAAAAAGTGATCTGTAATGTAGATGTCCAGTCATATTATTTTTGTGCTCTGATTAGAAGAATGATGTGCCGTGTGGATCTGACAAAAGGTTTCAAGTCTCTTTTAAAAAGCCCGGTTAAGATGAACCAAAATGTGATATTGTGTTGACAACTAAACAAGTGTGAGACACTTCAGAGCACTAAGTGAACTCTGCTGACAGGAGGCTTCTAGATAACCTTTAAAGTACCCATAGAGAGCAGTGTTTGTAGATTTGTCCTGTTTAGTTTAGCAAGTTAGGGTTGTATGTATCCTTTTAGAAAAGATTCAACTGTCACATGTTGCAATAAAAATATGATCTAATATTACTATTAGATTCTATTCTCCAATCGGGATATGGCTTGTGATTTTTTTCAATATCAACTATTAATGGTTTTAACTTAAATATCAGATCATTTACAAAACCAAAATGTACTTATTTATATTGATAGTTTTCTTCAGAGATCAGAAAACAACTACAGATCTTTTCACATGTTGGGAGCTATAAAATGAATGTCTGCCCTTTTTGCTTAATAATAAGTAGTGGCTGATTGACTTAATTAGAAGCTCTTTTCCTCACAGAGGACGAAGCTCATGTTTTCGCTGTGTTAACTCCCATGTACTGACGTGAGAGGACGCTCTTTGGCTCACAATCAGATGGACTGTGTCCGTCAAATCTTCTCATTAGAAAAGATAACTTCAATAAGGGATATTTGAGCTTTAGGGAAGCTGCCCTAAAAATTTCTTGATGACGAATTTATTTATTCCCAAATTGAACCAATAATTTGTACAGCGAGGATCCGAACAAAGCACGAAACCGGTCAAAGGCATCTAAATGCACAATTGCGTAAATAGTTTTCCGTTTTCCTTCTGTTTTCTTTCTGCTTTTTCTCTCATCAAATCTAAACGTCATCCAAAACAAGTCCGCTGGCGTCATGTTTAAGTGTATGCTGGCCCCTGCAGGTCAGGATCAGTTTGATACCGTAATTCTGCACAATATTTAAAAAGAAGTGCTGATATTTCTTGTGCATTGCTTTCAATCCACTTATCATGGGTTCACCTCGCTTGCTTCTACAGTACTGGCAGCTGCACAGGTGCACTCACAGAGCACTTTTGCTTGGCTAATTTTGCAATGCTGATGTCAATATGGACGTTCAGCAGGAAAAACTCATTACACAGTATATTCTGTGTGTGTGCATGACATCTATTTTCTTTGAGAGCTTTCTGCACTAAAATACTATCCATAACTAAATAGTCTGTTGTGTGCTGTGGTCAAGTATTCAGATGGACGATCTGCACTCTAAAATCCATCATTGAGGGTTCTTTGGGGGGAGTGGGGGCTATTGGCTAATACATCAAGATATGTAAAGAATAAGAAAAAAGTCAAGACAATGTGAGCCTTTGTTTTATAAAGCATAATTCTGCCTATTTATGCAAAGCACCATTTTGTTCACCTTCAAAGCGCTCTGTAAACCTGGAACAATTCCACTTTCATGTCAACATCTATTGATGTCAACCAACTTCCAAAATATTCTCCCCACTGTCAGTCAAATTCAGGTTAGCTGATTTTATTATAAAGCTGGTCTACAACATTTGACAACTTTTTATTATGGCATCCAAACAGGAGAAGAGACCTTAGAAATTGATATCAAGACTACAAAAAGCAATTCTAATTGCTCATGGTCACCAATGACCTAGAAAGTGTTGAAGCAGGAGGAAGTAACGAATTACATTTATAGGGATATAAAGTGGTATTTTTGTGAACTAGCAGGCGTACTTTTTAAAATATTTAATAAAAATAAGTATTGTACACAGCAACATGTCATGTCTGTCACTGAGTGGCAAAACAAAAGTCACATGACAAATTCCTGACAAACAGGGTGAGAATCGAGCAGAAGAAGAAAGCTCCGGAAGTGACGTTCATCTTTTTAAACCACGTTAAACTGGTGTATGATCGCACCTGCAATAATCCTGCCGCGATGAAGGCCCGCCCCTCTCTACATCTGATTGGTTTACCAATCAGACTCCAGAGCCAACCAATCCAATCAGCAAGGGTAACGGTATTGGCCAATCAAAGGCAGAGTGGGGCGGGTCGTACCTTTGTTTTGGTGGAATCGTAAATTGGTGGCCGGATGTGACTTTGAGAATGTTCCAAAATGCTCAATTTAATAAAACTACGAATGAATTTGTTATGATCTATCGTTAATATCAGCAATAGTGTATCTTGGAACAGGGGACGGAATAAATGTCGTATCTACCTGAATGAAAAAGTGACCCATATCAAACACTCGGTTATTAGCTGAACATCAGGTACATGCCAACAGTCTATCGCGCTAAATAAGCTTGTTTGTGACAAAGATGTGAGCGCAGAGCCTCAGGCAGCTCAACATGTTTGAAACTTTGAGGAGCGCAGAAAGGCAGAATGGACTTTTTCTACTTAGCGTTGGGAATGAACTACCTGGGGGAAGTAAAATCTGGATTAACGTTTGTTGAAGGCGGAAGGACAACGTTCAGACAGGTGAGTACAACAACAACAACAACAACAACAACATACTTGTTGATGGATGTGATGGAAAGTTAGCTTCTGCGTTGTTAATATTGTCTAGACATTTCTTAATTGTCTACTAATTTTTGTGAAATAGTCCCAGTTCAGGTTCTGGTTCATTATTGTAAATCTAAAGAGAGGAGGGCAGTTTTTTAATCATATAATCAAATGATTGAAAGTTTCATGATGATGTTCTTTTACTGTGCAAGTTGACATGATAATACGCTTTGTGTTTTTGGAATGTTTTCGAATGGTGCCAGAAGTTTTTTTAAATGAATAATTACATCACATAATATTATTATCATCATATTTATTGCAGTAAAAATATGCCAGTACTTTCATCTTTGGGTTGAAATGAAACTCAGAAAACCCTTTCCAGGGACATTGCTTTCTCATCCGTCATGTTTAAACAGGAGAAAATTATCAAAGGTACCCAATTTGTTACCAGGAGGTTTACTACATGTATCCTATAAAGGAAATAACACAACAACAAACAACAAACATCGTTGGTTAATTGGTTAACATGATTTCAGCATACTTCTAAAACAGGGGTGTAAATGAAATACACGTGGATTACATACGGCTAAAGATAATGAAGAAGGCTATGTTGAAATGCCAAAGGTTAAATAACATATTAAAACACTAACACTAATACCAAGAAGAAGCTGAAAACCAGTTGAACAAACAACCGCACAGTTGAATAAACCTCCTCCAAGAGAATGTGTCCTCGTATCAGGGAGCAGGGACATGAATGCAAAATGGGACAGGACATGATGGAGGACTTTAAGCTCTGAGCTGCAGCGTGTGTGTGTGTGTGTGTGTGTGTGTGTGTGCGTGTGTTTGTGTGGTACTCTAGTTTAACTATACCTGAAGATACTGACTGCAGAATGTCGTGAGGATTTGTGGTTCTCTGGTTAAGATCAGGGACTGCGGATACGTTTATAATAAGCCAGTGAGAGAGAAATGTAAGCCGAGGCAGTGATCTCTCAAGTATGGCCGAACCAGTGAGTGTGTCTGCTGGCTTGTGTGTTTCAGAGGGGGGGTTTAGGACTGTGGAGGGGTGAAGTGCCTCCATTCCTTGGGAGTGGAACGCATTTCCTTTTGTTGCCCTCCAATTTTTGACTGGTTTGCCCCAGCACATGAGCACGATTGGGCTGTTTCTATTATCCAGCTTCCCAGACCCCCCCTTCCCACCCCTCTATCCCCCCTCCCTCCATCCATCCATCCATCCAGCCATCCAACCCTGTTCTGCCAGTTCCCAAAGCGGTTGGCATTCCTGGGGGCCACCAGTGAAGCAGCTTTGGAGGGAAGGCCCGCCGGCTCCTGGGTGGCCTCTTGTGGACGGGCTCCAAGGGGAGGAGACAATGTCTTATTAATTGACTGGGCGTCTTGGGCAGAGTGCAGGAATTTGCAGAAGGGGGGAGACGCAAAAAGGTGGGTGTGAGGGATGGCGGGGCGGCACAAGAGAGATTGAGAGGGAGATTCACAGTCCCCCATTGGAGGTTCATTGACCTCCACCTTAGATTTATTCCCTTTTGATTTACATTGCTGCTGGGGAAGGTTTGGGTTGTAGTGATGTGGAAATCAATTAATTACCTTATAATTCAAAAAGTAATTGAGACGTTTTCATTTCTTTGTGATCAGAAGAGAGCTTGATTTCCAAATACAATAACTGTGGTTACACTAGTACGTTACAGACATAGATGTAAGCACTTCGTAGTGGATAAAAAGCCAAATATAATGACAACACGGTTTGACAATTGTTGTAAAGTGGCTAAATGCAAGTACTGCATATATGTCTCGGATAAAGTTACTTCTTCTTTTCTTTACTTACATCCTACTTTCCATCACAAAATATTTTATTTGATCAAATATGATGCATTGTTATTGATTAAATTACCTCAATGTATATAAAGCTTCTCAACTAAGTATATTAGAGCACTGTCTTAATGTTTAAAACGTCATGTATACATAAGTATATTTGGCTTTTTATACTGTGTGTGCTAAATCAAGCTCAGGTTTATTGTTGTTTTTCACTTACATAAATTACATAATAATTATATTCAATAGAGAAAACTTTTAATCAAGTTTTGAAATTGTGTATATATATATATATATATATATATATATATATATTCATATTCATACATACATACATTTATTGCTAAAACCTAAAAACATTTTTTTAGACGCTTTCTCTGCGTTCAAACAGGTTAAACAGGTTATTCTACAGGTTCAAAAATGGCAAACATCCCGACGGGCAGTCAGCCGCTCCACAGCAGCTTCCTGGTTTTGTGCACGTCTGATGGTGTGGGACAGGACAGGGAGGGGTTTGGGGGTGTACTATCTCCCCATGTGGTCCCCCCCCTCCCCCAGGTGTCCTCACCCTAATCCTGTTACATGTGTCCCCCATTAGCACTAATGGAGCGGCCATTGTCTCCCTGTTGTGTGCTGTTGTGCCCTCGGCCCAGTCACCTTGAGTCAGTAAACTCAGCCCTGTCAGGTTTTGACTGCTTCCCACACCCTGGGGTCTCCATGACGACGATGGACACCACCCCTGAGACACACACACACACGTCCTCCCACCCACTGACACACAGCTCTGAGTCTGCTGGGATGCCTAATAAAGAGGTGCGGAGCACAAATCATATACACATCAACCTTCTGCCCCCCCCCCATGACGGCAAAACCATTCGATGAATGTTCACATTTTATTAACGGTTTATTAGAGAACTATAGATGGTCTTTTTAATGAGCAACCTGAATTAATTATACTTCCTGAAGTAATTATACTTCCTGCATTAG